GCCACCAGCTCTGCCCCCGCCGGCGGCGAGTACGGTGCTGGCTACCCTGTTGCTACCCCCACCCCCGCTGTCCCTGAGGCTGCCACCTCCAGCCCTGCTGGCGGCAGCTACGGCAGCGGCAGCTACGGAAGCGGTAGCTACGGTACCTACTAAGCGCTGAATGCTCTCTCGTAGAGTAGCATGGCGTTTTGTTTGCATCGCATGTGTATAGGGTCACTTGGCCCATTTTCTTGCCTGTCCACTGAGCCCATTGGGCCAAGTCTCCTCAGGCAAGGGCCAGACGCGATGAAGTGGGTTACAATTGAGGTTGAAGAGAACCGACAAGTGTAGGTTCCCAGAGCAGTTTTGTTGTATTACATGGACAATAGATCCCTTCCCGTTTGATACACCTCTATCCCACTCTTCGCATCTACTCGTGTTTGTCGCGCTTGGGTCTTTGGCGCGAAAATGGGCGATGAGCGACATGTCTCATGACTTCTTGTTCCACCAACCTCTTTTTCCTATGTTTGTGTACTCTTGGACTTGTTTGAAAAGACCATCGGGGATGGCGGTTTACTTGCATTTATTCAGTCTAGCATCTTTCTTCCATTTTTGAAATCCTCTTTTTTTCTCCAGTCTTTTCTCTTCTCTCTAATCCCCCTTGCGTGAAGTGAACAACTTGACTCTTTTTCCTCCTCCCTCTCATCTGCCGTCCACCTTTCTCACGTGACCCGTTTTTCTACTAATCCCCACCATGTCGATATTATAACACAATATTTCTACTAACCCCATTGCGTCACATGGTTGAAACAAAGGCCCCCCGCCGCCACTGCCACTTGCTCATCTTACGCCATTTTTTGCAACATTCAATCCAATCAAACGTTGGGGTTGGGGGTGTGTGGGGCGGCTCCCATGCAACCTTGTTCTCAAATCTCCCTGCCGCGTGCCCTCGTTTGCGTACCTGCATATTCCCCCTACCCTTGCCGGTTATTTTTTTTCTTTTCCGTGACATTCCTATGGCCCGAGCACCTTCATCCTTGTTCGCACGGGCTATCCCTGTAAAGCCATTCTTGAGCTCTGTTCTTGTCATCCACCACTGGTGTCTTTTGCTCTCTTTTTCTCTTCTTTTCTTTTTTATCTTTTCAAGAGCCGTGTTTGGGTTTATTTCCCGATGATGCGAAATTGCGCGTGTGTTGTACGTGGATGAACACTGTGGTCTGATTCGATAGTAGGCGTAATATTGAATCTGGTGCCGCGCGAGTATGTTGGTGTGAGATGCCGGGATTACAAGCGCCTTTTTCTCGAGGCCATTACTAGTCTCGATATCTTTGGGGGGGGGACTAATTCGTTGGCAGTTGCCTGTGATTTAATTTCTTGATTATCGATAAAATCAATACTTTTGTTCATCCCGCGCATGCGTGTGCATTGTGTGTGTGTGCGTGCGTAGTGCGTTCTGATTGAATCGTTCCCATTTTCCTAATCCGCATCTTCTCCCCAATTGCATCGTCATTCTGTGACTTTTACATGACGGTGTAGAATTCGTCTTACTACTACTTACACGTTTCGCAATGCGCCATTCGTGTCCACCCCATACACATGTGTATGTTTGGGGTGTTTTCCCACTTCGTATCATGTTCCAATACGAGATTATGCTATACCCTTCGTTTTCTCTCCCTCTCGTGTAAGGGCTTAGTAAACGGCGTTTCTTGCGCCGCTCCCGCCCCGCGGCCAGGTGGAAAGTTTATCGGAGAGAGGGGTCTCGGTGTCAATGCGTTTGGGGCGCATGTAAGTATTATGCGCGGAATGGGAAAAAAGAGGGTTTAGGAAGGAGTCCCGTGCATATGTTCCTGCGTTGTTCTAGTAGGTGTTACCTATTTACATAGAGCTGAAGAAGGTTTGAGGCTTGTTTCGACGACGAGGTGTGGCGCAGAGTATCGTAGGATTGAGTGATTTCTTCATTTTTGCCCTTTTCAGATGTCTTCGCTATAGATAGAGAATGTGTAGAACGAATCGGATACTGAGTACATGACGTAAACTACCGATATCTTGTCGCCCTATTTCGTTCACTGGTCTACCGGCGAGTGTCATTTCCGAGTGAGCACAAAGTTTGCGATGCCCATTTCCCACAATCAGGATTCGCGCCTTCATCGCTTTTATTTTTACACTTTGACTATCATTTCGGGATTTGGTGGATACGAGCGTGATGCGCTTTTTTTATTTTCCAGGCTAAGTAGATGGACTAAGGGGATCTGCAAACATGTTTGGTGCGGGCTGTGACTCATTATTTTCCTTTTAGGCAGTGCGGATCTGGCGTGTTTTGGACAGATCAGCTCATGGGTCATTTGCTGGGTAATGTGTTGGGTGTGTGCGAGCTGTAGAAGTCATAGGTCGGAGATGTGGTATTGAGACGATTCAGCGGTGTGCATTGGTATAGTGAAATGGGTCAAGTAGTGATGAATTTCTTCTAACCAGTGCAACTACGTACATACTTATTAGCCAATTTACAGCACAACGATAGCAAGTCAACTGTGTGAAAGAATACTCCGTCTTTCAAAACTCCACCGGGTATCATGACTACAACGCTAAACAAACAAATCCCACCTGGACGCCACAAAATGCACTCTCTGTACCTTAACATTGACCCTAGTAATGATGATAAAAATATCCATGTCGCCGTCGTCCACTGTAGTACGTCGAGTAGTCTCTGGAACCAGACAAGCCCAACTGAGAGGCGACATTGATGTAACCCTCTTCGTTCCTTTGCAACTCACTGGTGTTTATATTACCGACTTTGCTTGCCAACAGTGCATCTGTATCCCAATTGGCACGGCAGTATGGGCAAGTCGCATTGTTTCTAGCTGCAGCCACCCAGTTCTGCATGCAAACCTTGTGTATATTGTTTCCGCAACTGGTCTTGCAGAATACAGTATCTTCCTTGGCATCAAGCTCGTCATAACAGATGGGACATTCGCCTTCAATGGGCTTGCGATTGCCATCCTCGCTCTGCTTCTCCGTCTCGGTGCCGGGGATGGGTGGCGCATTCCTCATGACTTCGCGCAACTCGGAGCTAACAAGAGCTAGCTGATATGCAATCTCCTCTCGCGCCTTCAACACTCTTAGCATGACGTATATAATGTGCTTGCATTGATGGCCTCCTTTTGCATGTGGACAGTCGCACGAGGGAACGAGGCCAATGGAGACTGTGTACACGTTGCCTGTCGTGCCTGCGATGAGAACCTTCTCCTCAGGCACATCATCGGTTCCGCAGCGCTCGCGCGAGAGTACCGTCAAGCGCTGTGTAAGCGCCCGTTCTTTTACAACGAGATAGCTCTGTGGCGCCTTTTTGCGAAATATCCTGGCCCGCTTCTCCTGAACAGGCGCGTCAGGGTCACGCTTGCTCTTCTTCGGCGGAGGCGCCTTCTTGGGCGAGTCTTGTGTAAGGTCGATAACTTCAATTTTGCGGCTACTAGATGCCGTGGGTGCATACCGGTGCGCAATGTGGGTATCATAGTCGGCGTAGGTCGTGAAATTGCGCTTGCGCGTCGCTGATGTTGACGGATGGATCGGATGGGACATTGCGCTCCTCGGAGTCCTCGATATATGCTCAGGAAAGGAGACCCTAAAATCAGGAGATTTGAATTGGAAAGAGGAGCTATGAACTAGCTATTGAGAGTAGCGTCCAGGGAAGGTGTGCGTTAAGGAGTAATGGCATCAATGAAGCTGATCCAAGTCGCCCTTGCTCCACGAACACACGTGATGACGTCGGTGGTTCCACATGGAATATTCCACTCCACACTTTCAATGCATACTACGGAACCCCGTCCAAATTACATTCAAATTTCTCAGGATACAGCATCGAATAGAATTGACAAATGACATCAGAATAGACATGCTCTGGCTCAGCCTTCTTAAGCCCATCACAACATGCCCATTGTGAGAGCGAATGCATCTTCTTTGGAACGTACAGTCTCATGTTGCCCACATCGACTCGGGCAGGTGGATGCATTTTGTACTCTAATGCACAGAATGAGAGCTGTATAAATTGTGCAATCTCTCCGTGGGTAACTCGATACCATTGTCAGCAACAAGTGTGAGCAGTTACACACAATGAAGGGCCCTGATTTACAACTGGTCTCGTAGTTTCTTTTCGTTGATGATACCCCTCGAAATACACGGTATAAATAGTGGTCCTCCAAGGCTCTTACCTTTATAGCTTTATCTTTATACCTCAATGTTTCCATGGTACACCACAAGCACCCTTGACCTAAAGGGTTCTACATACTACGAGATTCCAATGCCATGCTTGGGTGACCCATTCCGATATTGGACGCCAACGTCATGTCCTGTCGTCCATATTGAGCCCTCAGTGGCACCTGATAGCACCGGTACCGGAACAGGCAATTCTGATTTCCATATCTTCGACCCAAGTTAGCATCAAAGGGCAGATGTCGAGTCCTTTAATCACCATTCTCATGTACAAAGAAAGTACATTTGGCACAAAGCTCAGTTTTACTTTCCAATTCCACACCCCGCGTAGTCGCGACTCTTCTCTCGTCGACAATGGCTAAGCTTAACGTGCCACCTTCGGCTCATCGTCTCTCCTTCAACCGAACAACAGCTCAGGCTGTCAAAGAGACCACTGTGGTTCAAGAGCATTCCTTGCCAGAACCATTATCGCCGCCACCAGATATCGAAAGACACCGCACGCCAGCTGCGGAGGACGACGTATTCGGTAATGAAGAAGGTGCCGAAATCCAGTACAAGACATGTTCGTGGTGGTACGTATTCGAGCTCTTCCTAACTCACACGAAACCTCAAGTGACGCGTCTGTTTGAGGTTTCTAAACACGGCTTGACATGCTATCCTTCATTCCACATCTTGCTGACGTGAATGTTTAGGAACACGGGCATCCGTAAGCTACAACTCTCTCTGCGTTACCCCGCTCTGACAGTTTCAAGTAATGCTGGCCGAAAATGTTTCGCTTGGTGTTCTTGCACTCCCCCAAGCCCTGGCGATCCTAGGTATCGTTCCAGGCATGCTTTGCATATGCCTACTGGGGGTCATCGCCACATATACAGGATACCTAATTGGCGAATTCAAACTGGCGCACCCATCTGTGCAATCGTATGCCGACTGCGGGCAGCTGATGAGTGGGCCCATCGCCCGTGAGGTGATTGCTGTTGGACAAGTTTTGGTGTTGGTATTCATAATGGGCGCACATATCCTGACGTTTGCGGTTGCCATGAATGCAATGACTGGCCACGGGGCTTGCACAATCATCTTCAGTGTGATTGGACTAGGCGTTTCTTTCCTATTAGGGCTACCAAGGACGTTCAGGAATATCAGCTACTTTAGCATCTTTTGTGAGTAAAGAACTGGATAGCATGTCGTTTCTCCTGCTTACCATTTTACAGCTTGCGTTTCGGTAATTGTGGGTGTCACGATAACCATGATCGCCATCAGTATCCAAAAGCCAGACATGAACAACATGGTGGCCATACGACCTGACGTACCACTGGTCAAAGGCCTGGCTCCTGTCATGAACATTGTGTTGGCCTACAGTAAGTAGATCAATCCTGCTCTATGATGCGCATTGCCACTGACGCATTGTAGCCGGACATGTCGCCTTCTTTTCCTTTGCATCCGAACTCAAGAACCCACGCGACTTCCGCAAAGCTCTATTCTTTGAGCAGGGGATCGCAGTGACGTTCTATCTCCTCATATCAGCGGTCATATACTACTACGCTGGACCCCTCGTGTCCTCGCCAGCCTTGGGTTCTGCGTCGCCTCTGGTTAGCAAAATTTGTTTTGGCATAGCTCTCCCGACTATTATTGTCGCCGGTGTTGTCAATGGCTCGGTAGCTACCAAGTACGTCTACCTCAGGGTGTGGAAGGGCACAAATGAAGTGCACACCAACAGCTGGAGAAGCCTGGGTAGTTGGTGGGGGATTTGCTCTGGAGCATGGCTGGCAAGTTGGGTTTTGGCTGAGGCGATTCCAAACTTCAACTTGCTGCTGGGCTTGATCGGCGCGCTCTTCGGGAGCTGGTTCAGCTGTAAGTTCTTGTGAAACTTTCTTTTCCCAGCGACGATGTGTACTGGGCCAGTTGGTCTGACACGCACAGATGCTTTTCCTCCACTACTGTGGCTGTGGCACAATAAAGTCAATGGAAGACTATTCTCATCAAAGCGGCAGACAGTCTTTACAGTCTTGAATTCGTCGATAGTGTTGTTGGGGATGGCCATTGTAAGTGGATTTTCTCCCTGCTGGTTCGAGGCGGCTTGGCTGACCCTGTGTTGCAGTTTGGCCTGGGCATGTGGTCGTCTGGGTGGGCCTTGCATGATGGTTCCGGCGGCAAGGTGTTTTCTTGTGAGAACAATTGGCATCCCGTCAGTTGGGTAGCGGGAGGCACAGACGACGGCTGACCGTGTTGGTTACTATTCCGAGTTGGAGAGAAAGGGCGCTTCTCCTCTGGGACAGGGTCGGCCAAGGCCCCATCCTACCATGTAAATATTCTGGATGGCATATGTATACATAACCGTAAAAGCTGCGCGCATCAGGTATGCATGCGCAGAATGTTATCAACACGTCCAGTTCCAGTGCATGAATATTGACATGGTGGAAACGGGGAGCCGCGCGATGACGCGACCGGGGACATGCTTCGGTGCGTTACAGTGCAGCGGCGCGCACCACGACTCCTCACCTTACCAGCCAATAATAAGCGCCTCCCTACCCCAGCGCCCGTCCGAAATAAGCTCTTTCCGGAGGACAGACGCAAGCTCATGTAATCTGGCTAATGTCAATATGGACGGGAGTGCCAAGTGAGGAGGCTGGACGACCTGGCCTTGGGCGTCAGATCACCATGGGACACACCTCCTTGCTCTGCTGCTGATAAGCACCTACTGATTCACCGCGACGACTGGACTGCGGATCGCGCCATTGTTGATTCTGCGACGGTGGCACTACAGGTTGCTTGTTCGTACACATACTAGCCTTTAGCAATTGTCCTACCTTGACTCCCACCTCCTCTATCACTCATCCCCGAGCTATCCGCTGCCCAGCTCTTCCCCTAATCGCATTCGACACCCCCTCGCGACAACAACGCGACCGCGACCCAGCTTGCTAGCTACCCTTTCCCCCAACATGCCAGTCGAGCTCCGGAAGCGCAAGGCCGCGGCCCCAGCGCCAGCACCACCTGCAAAGAAAAAGGCACCCGCAAAGGCCAAGAAAGCCGACAGCGAGAAGACTGTCGTCGAAAAGGTCCAAGACGCGGTCGTCGAAAAGGTCGAAGCCGTCAAAGAAGCCGTTGTGAGCAAAACCAACGGCGCCTCGACTGCTAAATCCAGCGGTGCACCCAAAGTCGGCGACACAATTGACCTCGCCTCATTCGGCGGCGAAATCGAAACCAACGATGGCACCAAGACGTCGCTCGCGAAGCTCGTAGAAGAAAGCAAGGCCGGCGTAGTCTTATTCACGTACCCCAAAGCCTCGACTCCGGGATGTAAGTCGCGTCTCCCCCCACCCCCATTGCATATGTATCCGTTTATACTCACACAACGGTTTCTTCGGCATAGGCACAACCCAGGTCTGTCTCTTCCGCGACTCCTACACGCCTCTAACCGCAACCGGCCTCTCCATCTACGGTCTCTCATCCGACAGCCCCAAGGCAAACACCACCTTCAAGACCAAGCAGAAGCTGCCGTACTCGCTGCTGTGCGACCCCGCCCAGACTCTTATCTCGGCCATTGGGTTTAAGAAGGCGCCAAAGGGAACAACTCGCGGCGTCTTTGTTGTTGATAAGCAGGGTAAGGTGTTGGCAGCTGAGCCTGGCGGTCCCGCTGCAACGGTCGAGGTTGTGAAGAAACTTGTAGGGGATGCGGAGAAGGTGCCGGCGAAAGAGGAGGTCGAGGCGAAGGAGAAGGAGGAGGACAAGAAGGTCGCGGAGACAGCAGGTGAGGTTGCGGATTCGGCGGCTAAGGTTGATGCCCCCGCTGCCGCTGCTGCTGCTGCTGCTGCTTGAGGGATTTGGTGCGATATCAGACGTTTCCCCGGGTAATTGAAAGAGTTTTTGCTTAGTGAAAGTGCGTTTTGTTGGTGTGTTTTTCTTTTAGCTGGAACAATGAATACTTGAGATTTGTGTTACATGCGCTTGAAGAACGTGTGAGTAGGTTTACTACTATTGTTTCCTTGCGTTTATAACCTTGTAATCTAGCTACGTCCTTGGCTCCCACTTTTGGGTCCTTTTCACATGTCATGTGCATATATGGGTTTTCGTTAGCTGTATTGTTCGTTACATGTCCATGATACGACGTTTCCCCTGCCTTGAAGAGATGAGGGTTTTTGGTATGATGATGATAGGTTTAGGAATACTATTTAGCATTCTATAGGCTTAGATCTCGTGCTGCTGAAGGATAAACTATTGGTACGTGATTGCATGAATTACGGATGCGGCGTCCAGAGTATGTACTTGGTAGGGTTGGTGGATAACGACTATTCGTAGGTACTCTTGCAAGCACTCTTAAACAAGCATATGTCGTTTTTTTAATTCAAACTGCCAGCTGTGAGGGCATGCATGTCAGAAGAAACCCTCCAACTCTAAGGAAACACTCTCGACGAAGAATGAGGCTTGGAAAGTGATCATGGCATGATGCCCGAGGCATCTGCTAAATGACGTATGTCATGTGGGGGCCAAGTGAACGCGTGGGTAGTATCCTTGTGGCTGCTGTCTACACTGCGCCTCATGCCACTGGTAACAGCACGTAAATGTGCAGCACACTTACTGAATACCATCATCAATCGACTTGAGCCTCAGGATCGTACCACTGGTTGCGTAACCCATTATCAAACCACCGCGTCTCTGCGCCACAGAGGTCCTCCCTCTGCGCCGGCCACTTCAAGCACAAGATTTGGTCATGAGGCTTTACTGTAGATGAACGGAAACGAACGGCTCCACTACTTTCTGCCTTGTTATGGTGAAGCCTGGGCCAAGAGGCGTTCAGGCAAATGGATTCAAGTTGGGCTGTGTCTGCTTGTACTCAGCTGATGAGCCAAGATGACGTCTCATTCGCACGCGTATTCACATCCCCGTATACAATGCTTTCTACAGATGTCTGTCAGATTTCAGCCAGATATCTGCTAGGCACTAAGCCCCTAAATGGCAGTTTTCAAACTATGGTAGCGGCGACAAGATATGTGTCCCATGAACTGTGCGGCTGAGCATATTGCCCGGAACGAATCGTTTTACACAGAAAACCTTACCGGGCCAGTTTACTCAACATTAACAGGATCAAGGCTAATACGCGTCGCGTGGATATACCACTGCTGGGTTCGTTGCACAGCACAGACACTGAGTCCGGAGAAGCGCCTTGTGCGCCTTGGCACTTCACTGCACAGCCTACTTACCTTTCCAACCTTGCTATACTAGACTACTGTTCCTGGAAGCTCCGACTGTCTTGATACTCATCCCCCTCCCCTTTTGGTTCTTTTCTTGGTTTACATCCTAGTGAGTGCCACATCTTTATCAAATAGTTTATCCAGATACCATATTGTACTCAAGACTGGTCTCCAGCAGGGAGTACTTTTCTTTACTTTGTTTCGCAGACTGCTAGGCCCAAGCCAACAAGTTGTCCAAAACAGGTGAAATCAACCAAACTATCCATTTTTCTACATACTTCCAGTATTTTAAACAAGGTTACAACCATGATAAAGCTCAAGAGCCGTAGGCGCATGTGTGCCTACATCAAGGCTAAGGAATTTTTAAAGTCTCGACTGCTGCATTCTGTTTCGCGCCATGATGCTGCTTCGATCCCACGCAAAGTCTCTCGAATCTTTACACCGCCCCAGAAGGATGAAACATTTCAGCGAACACTTGACATATCCATCAGAAATGGAGAGGGAGAGGCTTGGTCCAATTTAACCCATGGAGTGGTCTTGTTCGACACGCAATGCGAGCACAACCTGGTCACTACCCAGTTCCTCAAGAATATCGGCTTCAAATGGCAGCCATCTACAGACAACACCAATATCATCCAGATGGACAACACCAAGATCGAATGTCTGGGTGAGGTCCAGGGAAGATGGCATCCGGTTGAGGCTCCAAAAGGTACAAAGGGCTTGAAGTTCCGACCACGCTACGAAATGTCCAACTTCAAGGTTGTTGATTTGGATACATGTGACCTCATCATTGGGAGCACCACAATCATCGACCTGCAGCTGTTACAAACAAATCGCAACTTCTTTGGTGCATTCCGTCAACTCCCTATTCGCGTCGACTGTACGTTTGTAAACTCACACTGTCGTTGCTTGATTGCTAACTTCAACATAGCAGCTAGTACAACCATCAAGAAGCAGCAGGAAGCAGATGAGCGCAGAAAGAAGGAACAAGAGGAGATGCGTAAGTTTGAAGAGGAGCAGGTATGACGCTGTTGCAACTATATCAATAAGATGGTACTAACATGGTTAGGCACTCAAGGCCAGAGGCTTCTACCCCAAAGCCCCCTAGCGAGACCGGAATGTCAATTGCCCAACCATCAGAGAGTTACCGACTTTACTACACTGGGCCGCTACCGGAAATACGTCTTTGGGTCGTTGCAGAAAGCAACAAGTAGCATTTGCGCTACGGGATACCACAACAAGGGTAGAGGGAAGAGGCGTAAGCGCCAGGATTGCTCTCACACGCCAGCTAAGGGGACATGGTGGGGGGGCGAGCACCATTTAAGGTGCCTAACGAGCGACCAAAAGCGACCCCCATCCCCCACCTCGGGCTTGACGAGCGCATGCATGCAGCAACCATTCCTCTCTGGTACGCTGCATGTGCCAATATTGAAAGTGTTATCTGAACAGGATCATTTGTGGGGGTTTGAATTTAGCCGGTTTCATTCTTGCCTTGCATTGCATTTTCGTTCGAGAACAGGTAGGAAGAGAGCAATTAAATTTAGCTACAACTGTAACATTGTTGGCGTTGCACTAGAAATCTACATGTTATGCTTTATGATTTTGTCTACGTCAACACCCATACATACTTTCGCCCATCACGGATCGTATCAACCCCCCTTGACACGATCCGACCCTACAAAAACAACTTGAACAGCTGCAAACCTAGGGTTTCGTTAGAAGAAGAAGAAGAAGAAGAAGAAGAAGAAACATTATCTGTATCCCATGGCTAAAGTACTTACGCAGCAGTAATAGCGAATACCTCCGCTCTCTTCGCCCCCGTCAACGCCATCAAACAGATTGACACCAACACATTAAACCCAGCAATAATACCCAACCTCGCAGACATGGATTGAACACGATATAGCACCGCAATCGAAGCGATTGGAATCAACGAGGCCAGGATACTAGTAAACCAGTACGTGACCCTGTAAACCGTGCCATCTTGATATCCCACCACCCCATGGACGCGCGAGGGCTTCATAAAACGCGCGCAGCCGCATCGGAAGAGGTTGATAATCGTGCTTTCTGCAGCCCAAGCAGAAAATGCGTCCTTTTTCTCGCGGGGACAGAGAGTGATGAGATCGGGATTTTGGGAGTCGCGGTCCAGGACGGAGCCCCAAATTCTGGCATCGTCGCCGGTCAGGGCATTGGAGCCCATTTCCGAGGTTTGAAGGTAGTTTTGCATGTGGTGGAGGTCCCAGGGGCTAGGTTTAGGGTATTTGAGGATGGAGGCTTGTTGGATTAGGGCGTCATCTGTTGGTATGAGTATGATCATGTTGTTCTTTAAGATATTTGGAAAGCATACTGTATTCTTTTAGCACTTGCCTGATTCGCAAAATGAGTGCCTGCTGCTCGCCCGCGTCAGTGTTTTCGGATCCCTTGAGCCAGAACCAGTTCAGTGCGTAGGCTGATCTCTTTCCGGATGGGTCGTTGGCATCAATTTGCTGTCGCTCTCTCAGTTTCTTCTCTAGGTACGCAAGTTCAGCTTGCATGTAGAGTAGGTTCTGGGCGTTGAGAGCACCGAATCTGCGAAACATGGAGAGCTCAGGCAGTATCTCCATTTGCGCTGCCAGCTTCGGATACCCGACGACATACTCCTGTAGCGGGTCATGTGGTGCGCTCATGCTTTTCTGCCTAGGTCAAGATATTGATGTCTTTGGGACGGCAGGCTGGATTTTCATGGCGCCCATATATTCTAGACACAGCATATCGCCTGCCACAGTAGAGATATCGTTAGTCCTATGTGTCCTGCAGAATGGCTTTCTTCTGCATAAGATTCCGTGGAGCTTCAGAATGAAGCTGCATGTGGTTGCCTTGTGAAGCAGGCTGAGAGTCTGTCCAACAAGCCGGGAGGGAGGTACATCGTACCTCATACCGAGCTACCTGTGTAACAATAATCAATACTAGTTCATAGTATCAATAAGGCCATGATTTTCACATATCGAGGGACCAGTTTCGTAGGCGCTCTGTACCAGACGCTGCATATGCCTGACTACGATGCTGATGCATGACAGCACGTCAAGGCGCTGACTCTTCGGCTGCCTCGAAACCTCAAGTAGCTGTGAATCCCGGTGAGACGCCTTTGGAAATGGCTGTGTCTTGGTCCTAATGACAATTCATGTGTACGTGAAGGTTTCATTGGGTGACTGTGAGTTGTCAGCTGCTGCACCCGTGTTCCGGCGCTACGTAGCGACCGCCCCCAACCTGCAGCCATACCAACTTGCATCGCCTCTCTGCGTCATTCAAAAAGTACGTCTCACAATACCCTTCTTCGCCCCTTGGATTTCAAGAGTGTCTACTTGAAGGCAACAATATTTGCTTGATAATGACTGATATCGCACGCGGACTGCGCCCTCATGGCTAAGCCTTGTTGTACTCAATCGACGACCGCAAGCCACCCTACGCACTCAGCCTTGTCACACATGTCACACGGCTGAACCAGGCATCGACTGCCTTCTCCTCGGCTATGACGCCGCAATCTCAACACTTATTCGCCCCGCTTATTGTCCCTTGGTAAGGGCACAGCCTCCACGGCTTGCACATGATGCTCATTGGACGTTACCCACAGTACACGGGGGTTGTAAGCGGCAAATGACGCCTGGGTCGTAAGACAGACATCAAGTTGAACTGTGTGACTCGTCTTGCCTGCCTCAAAAATCAGGTAAACGATTGGTTCCTCTTATATCCCATGTGGTCCTTTTAGTCACTGATACCGCGAAGGTCCTTCAACTTTAACAGATGTCCGCGTTAACATAACAAGATTTACTACCAGCACACTCAACATTCTTTTTACACACAGTACGTGGATTTCTTAAAAAAACTATGTCTCGATGGACATGCGGCATTTTTGACTTTTTCTCGCTTGCAGTAAGTTACTCTCCTCCCATTTAAAGCCGCTGTTGACATATGCCAGATAAAACACCAACTATACCAGCCAACTCAAATAGAAATCTTCGGTCGGCACGAAAATGAGCGAGATACCTGGAACTGGGCCGTGCTCACATGCGACCCGGGAGTAGATCATAACATTATATCTCATCAACTCGTAGCGGAGGTGCTGCAAGTGTTAGTGCAGCCGATAGACGAAAAGACGGAACCTTGTGTACATACATATGGACGCGGCGAAAAGATAATAGGATACGTGGATCTTACATGGTGTTTTGAGAAGAACAATAGACGGATGCAAACCACGCGGTTCTGGGTCACTTCGACGGAAAACCCTTCTTACGATGCGATACTCGGGCGGACGGATGCCGAGCAATGCGGTCTGATGAGACATAAAAGGAGATTTTGGTGATCCGTGAGACATTCCGGGAAGGGGACTTCTCGGTGAGAGAACAGAAATTCTCCTGGCTCTCAGACGGCTTTGCATATTATGGAAAGTCGCACACCTGCTTGAGTTTTACTCTCAGTATGCTTATTTCTATTGCGTGGCACTTTAGGTTTCTTAGAACAATGTATTTGTTATTTTAAATATTCTTCGTTTTTCTCTCTCTAAAGCACTCGGGTCAGGAGTCTCCGTCCTGTGCGTTTGGGGTTGATATTTGCTTGCCTAGAAATACTTTGCCATCGACAGGCTCTATCTGCGCCCAGATGAAATTGCTGCAATACAACGGAGATGGGATTTTTCTTGCAATTCTTATACTAGGCATACATTCGGAACCAACGCTACTTGTCGTGAATCCCGTTTTGCATTTCGCGAACTGGCCATTGTAGGTACTAAATGCTCAGAGCATGACCAGGTCATCTACACACATGAGTCAAAGCAACCACGTGAGTCGTCAGTTTCAAAATTGCAGACTCTATATCGAAACTGTAGATTTATAAGCTCATAGAGTGAACCTTGCCAATGTCAGTTTCACGTCCAACAATACTACATATGGAGAGGCTGATTAGCCCTATCATCATAACTGTATTCACACACAGTACCAGTGCTAAGAAAAAAGGCCAATCATACAGGAATGTGAGTATCAAACTTCCTCCATTTACCTCTCCCTAGCACAGTACCTGAATGGAATATATGAATCCTCAACCTCCTGCACAACAGTACTACTATCAATCTCGACTGGCGCAATGCGTTTACCTCTTTCTCACTGACCAATCGCAGCATCCCGCACCTCCTTCTCCGTCTTCAGAAGGAAAAAAGGTAACTGGGACAGCAACAAAAACACCGAGTAAAACAACCGTAGTTACAGCCGCTACCTTACCCATCGACGTTTCAGTCCCGTATTCCCCGTCCCACTCCCTATACTTCTCCCATTCCAACCAAACCTCACCATCGGTGCCTCGGCCCCCAAAAATCGCAGCATTATGAGCCTCCTCTTATACCTCCTCATCCATCTCCCCTTGTGCCTTTAATTCCCTCAGACGACACTGTAACCCCCTTCTCCCCATCAACCCAGTCTAGCCCCGCAATCTGGACAGCCACAGTTGTCAAACACATATGGGAATAGAAATTTAACGATACTGAGGCTCTCTCAACTATTATCGATGAGGCAGTAAATTTCTTCGAAAGTTTATACAACAAATTAAGATATAAATTCACTGTGTAGCTAAAGGGTCAAGGATGGACTATCTCATTTCCCTCACCTCCGCCATTCTCATTCAAGATAGCCCCATCCGATCCACTTTCCCGCATCTCGGAACCCTTGCCATAGGGTAGCGATGATTTCACTTTCTAGTTGGCGGGTTGAAGTTGGTGAACATGTCTGTTTTCGTATGGAGTTCTTGTTCCTAGGCGGTATTCGACCAGTTAGTTCTAGATAAGGTTGGTAGACTCGATTGCTCAATGGGAAGGGTGTTAGTTGGGTATCTTAGGATGCATAAGAGTTCAGCAGATGAAGTGATGTTTTGCTGTCAGTAGGAAACATATGTGCAAAAGAAATTAGACATAGCTACGAAAAATGCATCATCGACATTGTTTGCTAAAACTGCTTGCTGACGACATAAAAATGTGTTCTTCATTTGTATTCAGGCATTTTCTATTTTTGTTTATATGGATATTTCAATGTGTCATCATTCTGCACATTGAATCAAGCCTTGTATCCAGCCTCGAACAGACCCTCCTTCAAGCTTTCAATCGCCTTGGTAATGTCTGGACGGTTGGGATCTGTCACACTGACACCCATGTGGCCAAATCGAATGTATTTGGTGGCAATCTCCTTGTGCAGACCGCCGGCGAAGATGACACCCTTCTTAAGGAGGTTGGGGAGCACTTGAGGAGGTGTCATGCCCTCAGGAAGGTAGATGGCGGTCATACCAGTAGCCTGGTTCTCGGGCTTCGAAGCCAATTGCTTGAGGCCCAGGTCTTCAACAGCCTTTTTGACCTTTTGTGACGCAGCCTTGTGGGCAGCCCAGTAGTCTTCAATGGGCCTCGCGAGGATTTGCTTGAGGGCGGTGTCGAGAGCGTGGATGAGTTGTGGCGAGGGGGTCGCAAAGTAGGAGGGCTTCTTGGCTTCGTAGTTTTGCATGACTAAGATGGTGTTAGCATGATGCCGTCAGTAGTCGGGTGAATGATGGCTGCTTACTTGGTAGCCAATTCTTCCATGAACCAAAGTACGAAGTTGGCCGTGTCTTTCTTGCCTTGAACCTTTCGATTGCGCGACCAGAGACCATCATGATGCTCAAACCAGCTGGGCAGCCAATTCCCTTTTGCGAAGCTGTGAGAACAGCATCGAGCTTCCATTCGTCGAAGCGGATCTCTTCAGAGCCGACACTGCAGACACCGTCTACCACGACCAGCGTCTCGGGGCTCACTCGGTGGACAAGCTCGCTGAGTGCCTTGATCTCGCTCAGGACACCAGTTGAAGTATCCACATGGGTGACAGTCAGGATCTTGTACTCCTTCTCCTTCAGCGCCGCTTCGACCTCGTCGAGTTGTGGTCGTTCGCCAATGGGCGCCTTGAGTTGTGTGGCCTTGACGCCATATGTCTCGAAACAGTCGGCAAACGAGTCGGCAAAGTAGCCAGTGTGTAGGACGAGAACCTCATCGCCGGGCTCTACCAGGTTGGCGGCGACTTGATCCCATCCGAGTGTACCAGAGCCGGAGATGACAAAGGGTTGCGCAGCAGGGTCGGTGGAGACGAAGAGCTTGCGTAGGTTTCCTAGGACTTCGCTGAAGGTGTTTACAAAGGGTTGGCCGACATGCGACTCGCTAGATGTACTTAGTCCGGAACCTCATTGACATGTGACTGCAGCATACCTGTAATGGCTCATGGAGTTGAGGACGGCATCATCAAACTCAATGGGCCCGGGGATGAGGAGAGCGGGGTGTGGTGGTTGGCTGGACATGTTCTTTGGTGGTTCCGGGGTGGGTTCCTTGGTCTCCTTGGTCTCCTTGACTTGGGGCTTGACTGGCTCAACTTGGTTGACTTGTGCCTTGGCTTCTTCTGGCTTCTTGGGTACTATGCGGTTGCCGTGTTCGTCTTCGAGGCGAGTGGTGCGTTCGGTAGCAAAGGGCGTGTTCAATTCGAGGAAGGGCTTGGGATCTAAATGCTTGGAGACCTGGTTCAGACGGGACGTCGCCCGTAAACGAGGTGACGACATGCTAAGGCGGGGTTGGAGACGGCTGTTCACGGCAAGGAGACGCAAGCGCGGGGCTGCAAACATCCGGTACTCGGAGACCTGCGCTGGGAGGAGCGCAGAAGGAGAGAAGGCGAAAAGTGGTACAACGTGTCGATTGGGGTAAAGACGCGGCCGGTTCGCGTGCTGCTCGGTGGCACAGACGAGTCAGACACGAAGATTAATGTCGCTAACAGGTGCTTTGAGGAAATCTGGCGGCGCAATTGACCATCAGGGGGCCTTTCCTTCAAGTATTGCCTCTAAAAAAACCAAACGTCCACCGAGGAGCCCCCACGCACGGATGCAGCTCCGGTCCCGGGCATGGCGCTATGAATCGTGGGGTGCCGCGTGTCGGGCGCAGTCGCGTGTAGGGGTGAAGCACTCGCGGTCACGTGCAGAACCACTGGCGCGTGCTGCCACGCCTTACTCAGCCGGGATATTTGTTGTTAGCCGGCTCCACCCTTGTGCAGCATCAACACTGGGAGCATTTCATCGCTGCAAACACACTTGGACATACATACATACCTACACAACACCCATTGGACCCAATTGGCCATTGAGCATGCGTGTGACTCGTGCGCGCGCCCAGCAGGGCCATGATGAGGCTACTACCGACGCGACCGAGCGTGCGCCGTTGAACGAAATAACGTCCAACGCATCAGCCGAGCAACCCCGCGACGACGACGAAGAGCTGCTGCCTGCAAAAACTCCTGCAAAGAAGAGCAAGGCAAAAGGTCGCGCCAAGAAAGGAAAAAAGACCAAGGCTGCTGAGGACCAAGAGGAGGACCAAGTCGAAGGTGCACCTGAGGACGCGCAAACAGCGCCTGAGCCCGTCGAGGCGCCCGCAAGCGCTGGAGACGGTACAACAGAGTCACAATCCTTCTCGCAAACTCAGAATGAGTCTGGATTGCCTGCGGCCTCTGGCGTCGATTCGTCGGCGAACCCTTCTGAAGTCGCAGAGGTCTCCACCAAGGTCCAACGATCAGTGACCCCAACTAAGCCCGTACGCCTGACTCGCCGCCAATTGGCCATGCAGGAAGAGGAAATGAAGAAGGCGCAACATGCCGCTCCCGCAGTCCAGGAGCCAGAAATCCAAGTTCCAAAGTCAACAACAGATGTGCCCAAAGCTACAGAAGAAGCCCCACGGGTACCAGAGCAGGTTGAAGATCCAAAAGCACCAGAAACTCAATGTGAAGATGTAAAGGAAGAGTCGGTTACAGAGCCAGAGGCTATTGTTGACAAGGCTCAACATGAGGCTGTAGTCGAGTCCGTAGCAGAACGTGAAATTTCCCAACAGGCCTCGCCAGACGTGCCACAGGCGGAAGAGCCTCAGACTCAACCTCAGATCCCCGAAGCAGCAGCTGACATTCCAGTACCTTCTGTCGAAATCAGCCCAGAAACAGAGCCAAAGTCACTTGCAACCCAAAAGTCCAATGAAGATCTCATGGCCACTCTCAGGAGCCAGGCTTCAAGTCGACGGACATCGCGTAGCCTCTCCAAATCTCCCATGCGCCTCGAGGAGTCTTTTGAAGCAATCGATGCGCTTGAGGAGGCTCTGGAGAACGTCACCTCAGTAGCTAGAATCGATCGATTGAACGAGGAGACATCGCCCGAGAGAGCAAAAGCCTCCAAGCCCACTAGCACAACAGGCACACGCCCAAAATCGATGTATGCAACCTCGACTACAGCTACAAAGTTATCTAGAGCCCCAAGTTCTGCTGCGCCGAAGAGTATGAAGCCGGTCAAGTCTTCATTAGCTCGCTCAACCAGTGTTCGTACTGCAACTAGCAAGGAAGTCAAGACAGCTCCCGCGCCTACGACGGATTATCTCGCTACAAAACGGCGACCGATCAGCGTATCGTTTCCTACTCCTGCACCGCCACCAAAAGGACGCGCTCCCACCAAGTCAACATTCCAGCTTTCAAGCAACGACGTAGTCGCAAAGCTGAAGGCGCAGAAAGAGGAGCGGCTAAAGCGAGAAGCAGAAGGCACAGCACCAAAGGCACGGCCGATCAGCATGCCTCCTCCACCAAAGTCAAACAAGCCACTGACAAAGCCCGCCTTTCAACTGCCGGGCGAGAAAATCGCCGAGAAACTAAAAGCACAAAAAGAAGAGCGTCTGAAGAGAGAAGAGGAGCAACCCGCACCGAAACAACGCCCAACCAGCATCACCATGGCGCCCCTCGCAAAATCCACAAAAGCGCCCACAAAGCCCAAATTCGAGCTCCCGGGCTCCGCCATAGCCGAAAAACTGCGCCTCAAAAAAGAAGAGCGTCTCAAACGTATGGAAGAAGCAGAAGCAGCCAAAAAGGAAGCAGCAGCCCTCAAACCCCGTCCCGCACCAGTAGCATCCCGCAAACCCGTCACCATGCCCATCCGACCCTCGCCCGCCGAAGCCCCAGGCGTAACAATCGGCCCACCCCCATCTCCTCCCCAACCACCACTACGACAACAACAACAACAACAACAACAACAACAACAACAACAACAACAACAACAACAACAACAACAACAACAGCAACGCTCCACCTCCCTCGCCAGCAAACGAAGCAGCATGTCCCTCTCACAGCCCGTCTCGCACCAACCGCGCTCCATATCCACATGTTCTTCTTCGTCGTCGTCCAACCGCAATAGTATCCTTGTCCCCAAAGCCGTAGTCACGCCCGCGGATGCGATCCTACTCAAGCTCAAGGGCAAAGAAGTCTTCAATCGTGATCGTGTGGAGAAGGAGGCGAGGGAGAGAGAGAGGAGGGAGAAGGAAGAGGCGGCCAAGAGGGCGAGGGCTGAGGCGGCGGAGAGAGGTAGGATTGCGAGTAGGGAGTGGGCCGAGAGGCAGAGGCGGAAGATGATGGGTGGTGGTTCTTGATTTCTCTTAGTTTTGGGGGCGGGGGTTGGAACTGGAAAAGGGCTGCATTTCTCTGCCTTGCATCTTCTTTTTTTTTCTTCTTGGAGGCTCTTACTTCTTGTTTCTTGTTCTTCAACTTGTCTATATATATATATATTCTTTGAATAGGGGTTTCCAGGCTTGGGTTTGGGGCGTTTCGGATTCTTGTTATTTACATCTCTCTACCCTTTTTCTCTCTCTATCTGTCTTCCTATGGTTGACTAAGAAGAAGTGGAGTGGGGGACATCTGGGCTTCATTGCCGTATTGGCGTTTTGTAGGATTGTTTTTTTTTTCGCCTTGGTTTTATCTAGGCAACTCGATGGAGAGAGAGAGAGAGAGAGAGAGAGATAGTAGCTTTGTGTTTCTTGTATAATACTAATTTCTTAAGCTTGAATTTTTTTTAAGTCATTTTAATGCTTGAAAAGAAAGAGAATGTTTCTTGTGCAGTGAAGGCAGTAATGCGTGCGTTGTGTTTTTCATCCCAATATATCAAAGTCTTGATATTCTGCGTATACAGGTTTTGTCTTGGGCATTGCAATAGCCTCAAAAGGGGATAATATGTATGTGCAAAAGAAGCCATGTACTTTTTGTGGTAAACTATAAAAGACTTTGAAATTACAGCAAACAACGACATTGAAACATGATTTTGTTTTGGACAGTGATATCAGAAATTCTTCAACTCCATTTTTTTTTTTAAATTCTTAAGAGCAGGAAGGAAACATCAATACGTAAAACCGTGGAGACATCTCTTTGAGCTTTGGCATTGATACTGATAACATGACTACTTGTGTCATTTCCATTCTCAACGACCAACCGTGGATGAATAAAAATTTTACTTTTATGAGAAACGTTGTGGATGCATTGCCATGGCCCCATGCTGCCGTGGCGACAAAAGATCCTCATCACAATGGACTCACTATCCCAACCTGCCTGAAGCCTCATTTTCTGTTTCGATATTTATTTTTCACCACCGCGATTCGCGACAAAAGTATGTCTTCGGTATCCTCCGTTGCCACTCTTCTCTAGCCTCAGCGCGATTCGCGCGATTAACCACGTCTTCGGTACACTCCGATGCCACATCTTTCCCGTACTCGTATTATCCCTCCACTACACCAACCCCCACAAGTCAAAGTTAACCCTGCATCTCTTGCATCCTTTGGAAATTTTGTTTCAGGTTGTTTTTTTTTTCGCCACACAAGAACGGCGTCAGATAAATCGAGCTCCACAATGATTTCACAACGTGGATCGAGAAACGGGATGACAAGTACACAGAGAGAAACCAGAAAGGGTAGTTGGCCGTCCGGTCAGAAGGATCAAAAAAAAGTGGAAGAGTATGTAGTAGACAACAAAGTCACCGGACGTTGCTGGCAAAAGAGCCAAGAGACAGAGAAATTAAGAAATCCCTGCCCAATAGAATATTTTCTCTGCTACCCAATACTTACATCATGATAACGTGTAGGGTATACTGTAGGCAAAAATGCCTCGCGCGGCATAATGCTCCGGATGGACACAACCAAAGTCGTTGGCTAGCAACCCTTTCCTTACTTGCATTACAGCCGCTGTGCGTTTGACGCGGCAAAACCGAATAAAAAGTTGGCAAAACATGTCACTACTGTTTCTGTTTGGCTGCAGCGGTGGTATTTCGGAAGGTGACGATTCGCTGTGGGACACTGTGTGTATGTGTGTGGCTGCCCAAGACAACTGTTTGGGCTTTTGGCTCAGGATTGAGGCGCAAAGAACAAGGAACGCATGTTGTAGACACGGCCGCCTTGTTGCCAAAAAAGTTTGTGTATACCGGTGGCGGTGCTTGTACAACCTGTTTGCGTTTCTCAGTGTCCACGTGGATTGTCTTAGCTCCGGTACTTTTGGATGGCGCTGTTTAGAAGATGAATGCACTAGAGACGGCGATGGTGCGAAGCAAAAGGTATTGGAATCTTCCTTGGCTAGCGCGAGTGATGCTTTGGGAACGAGGCGTGCGCAATGTGCCGTGACTGCCAGTTGCTCGGAACGCATTGGGTTACATGCAAACGACAGAGATCTGGCGATCTGATCGTGGACGGCGCGTGCCGTGCAGCCCTGCAGCGAACCTCTACATTGGGAAATCCTCGAGCGAGTCAGCAACATTGGCGGAGAGGCCGATTGGATTGTTATTGAAAATTACTCGTGATGTAATCATGCGTTTCTACAATTCCTAATCTCGAGTCAGCAGCTGTCTTATCTCGCACTCCTTGTGACACGGCTAGCACAAGCATTGCTTGTCGCCCAAGAGGGGCAAGTTGTTATAACTTGGCCATGAGAGACGGAGTCCGCCAAACTGCCTGTTTATCAGAAACAAGGCATGAACTAGAGTGATGGGTGAACTGTGTAGGCGTGTATGCTAGTGTACATGGTTGGAGGAAAGAAAAGGGGTCTGTGCGTGAGGGTGAAACGATAAAGTTCACAGGTCGAAGCCCAGCGCGATAGGCGAGGAGACGCGATAGGTTAGATGATTTTAAATGATCGCTCCATTGCATATTGGCATTGTCAATCGCGATGACGCTTGCTGTGCGGGTTCCTTGCATGAGGCAAACGTGATCATCGTATGGTTTCCAAGCACAGTCACCAAGATTGATACGCCCCTTTGAGACGAACAGGTTGCGCACATGTACGCATCTGGACGTTTTGTGCCTGCACCTAGCCACGCTCCATGCGGTTGAGTTCAATCTATCGTTCGGCTAGGCGATGGGCGTCCCCATGATTGTGGGTGATCAGCATACTGACAGGAACGGACGCATGCAAGGCCTCTCCGCTCGGACGCCATTGGCGACTTTATTGTGCATGTATCTTTGTGTGTGTGTGTGTGTGTGTGTGTGTGTGTGTGTGTGTGTGTGTGTGTGGAGAAGAAATTGCAAATCCCTTGGGTCAATAAACACAGGGCGATGCGGAGGGCGAGACGATCGGCCAGGCGTTCGCACAGCATCGAGAATGCNTTCGGCTAGGCGATGGGCGTCCCCATGATTGTGGGTGATCAGCATACTGACAGGAACGGACGCATGCAAGGCCTCTCCGCTCGGACGCCATTGGCCTTTTCATGCGGAGAGGCAGTGTGTGTGTGTGTGTGTGTGTGTGTGTGTGTGTGTGTGTGTGTGTGTGAGTGGAGAAGAAATTGCAAATCCCTTGGGTCAATAAACACAGGGCGATGCGGAGGGCGAGACGATCGGCCAGGCGTTCGCACAGCATCGAGAATGCTACTAGTGACTCACTTTTCCGGGCCGAATATCGGAAACTGGTAAGCAGACAACGGGCAAAGGTACCAATGACTAGGGGGCCCGAGGATGCAGGCAGCCTTTGTTGAAGAAGGAAAAATTGCTTTTGTGTCGCGGCTTAGTAGCGTGCTCTCGGCTCCTGAGAGTCTGGAAGAGGCTCAACACGCCCTGTGTGCTCGGGTTTGCCGTCGGGGACGTGGTAGCCTTCTCCGGTCCGTCGCGACAAGTGGTCTTTGCTTGCGCTCAACATCCGAACAGCCTAACCCTGCGCAAGAGAGCGGGAGGCCTGGGCTAGCCTCAAGGCGGGACAAGATGCGAGGAGAGCAGGCAGCTTGCATGCGAGGCGGACGCAAAGTGAAAGGGTGCCGCAAGCCGTGCGAAGCTCAATGTTTTGAGGCGACGTGTTGCGGGTATCGATGTCCAAGTGCTCGGATCTCGGAATAGTTCACCAGGTCCTTGCGGAGAGCGAGAGCAAGCGAGCAAAGGTGGACTGTGAGTGGTGTGATGGAATTTGGCACTAGCGCCATGTCACACGACGAGCGCTTGACAGTCGTCGCACCTGCGCCTCTGTCGATGACCTAACCACCGGGAGTCACTAGGATGGAAATAAGTTACATAGTTACGTCCAAGGGAATGTGCCGTGAGTCCTCTGAGCCGTGGGGCCCGGAGGGTCCACTGTGATTCCCGGGGCTCGCTTGCCAAGTGGAGCCCTGGTGAGCTGGCAGCGCGTGGATGGGGGACCGAAGGAAAGTCGTCGCGGCCTGGGGAGAAGAAGGAAAAAAATTGCCTCGTTTGGGGGGGGGGGACATGAGGGCTTTGTTTGTAGCGCAGTTTTGCAACTGAGGCCGACGATGCATCGAACGGCGATGACGATTGCAATGGAAGGTAGCAGTAGATTGGGCGGCTGGGATGACGCTGGCAATGTCGCGCAATGGCGACATTCTCCCCCCCTCCCCTTCGTGGTGAGAAAGGCGGCATGACGGAGGGTGGGATGATTGCTTTTTCTCGCAGGCATAGTGAGTGGCGGACTGAGGGCTGTCGGCGGTGCCCATGACGATGGACGGGCCGTTCACCAAAGTGCGGAGAAGCCAAGCTACGAGGCGCCCCACCCCGTCGGGCGCTTGGGCCAATCATAGGGATCACAGGGGCGTTGGCGGGCGAGTCAGGACACAGGCGACGAGTAGGGAACATGGCCAACTCCTTCGCCCTTCCCAGGGGAGGGGACACGGCGCCAGAGTGGATGCTGCCCTGCTCGTTGGGAAACCCCTCTCAACAACATCCCACCCACACCCTCGCTGCTGTCCAACTCTCGCCACCGCGCTCTCACTTGCTGATTGTCATGCCCCTCGTCTGCCGCCTGCCTGTGGCTGGCTTCTGGATCATTGTGAGGGAAAAAAAATTTCTTCCTCTGCCTTGCACTCCCGCGCGGGCAGGGCCTAGTCGTGCCTCATGCCCTCCAATTGTGACCCTGCACAGTCACCGTCCATGTGTGGGCTAGGGCATTGCGCGGCTATCAAAGTTTAACCCGCCTTATCCATGGAGAGGGAGAGGGACTAAGCCTTGCGCGCCCTGCGTGTCTCACCTGTCTCGTCTTGGGCTTATCTGACTATGAGGCTATGCACTGGATGAGATGAGGTGAGAAGAGTGCCTCGTCACGTGCAGACGGGGGGGAGGGTGGACGAGGCTCAAGTTATCCATCACTGTAGAAAAAAATGAGTATGTGTGTGTGTGTGTGTGTATACACGACCACGAGTCGATGCCCGTGGTCGTGGCTTCCATTTGAGGAATTGCTACTACTAAGCTATGGTAGAGGTGAGGTGAGGTGAGGTGAGAAAAACAAGGCACGACCCTCGTGGTCGGCTCACGCAACAGAGGATATCCAACCGTCCCAACTACGAGCAAACCCATCGCCGGGGCTGCAAATGCTCCAGATAACACAAAACACTGGGGCTCACTCGGCCCTGCGCCCCCAGAAACACCAAGGGGGATATGGATATAAATACTTTTTGATCGTACACCGCGCACCCACGTATCTTGACAAAGGAAATGGTACAGAACTAGTAGGTGATGGAAAAAGGGAGAGCAGCGGTGGTGCTTATGCAGGTGAACTCCGTCGACCCATGCCATTCCCACCTAGGCGGGCGAGGCAATGGGGCCGAATGCAAAACTGAACATGAGGAGGGCAGTGAGGGCCCAAGGAGCCAAGGGGAGAAAGGCTTGGCCGTCATTAATGTCGTGAGGCCAGCCTCGCAATGGCAAGGCTGGCAGAAGGGGCAAAGGGCCTTAGTACTGTGTGTACCTCCTCTTGACGTCTCGGGTCTGGTCAAACGATCGTACGTAGCTGCTGAGCTGCGTGGCCGCTTGTTGCGAGATGCCTGATTGAGTCCGTGATGATGATGATGAAGAGGCGAGCGAGGAGCGTGATGATGAGGGCGTCAGGCTACGCTGGGGGGATTGCCTGGTTGCCGTGGGGGGTGCAAAGTAGCTGCCGTTTGCGGTGGGGTAGTAGTGGTAGGGGCTCGAGGGGACTGCTTGCGAGGTGGTGGATGCCGCCTTGTATGCCGAGAAGTTGATTGCGGGGGCGAGGTAGAAGCCGCTGTTGGACGACGACGAGGATGAGGCCGAGGAGGACAATTGCGAGGGTGCTTGTGCGGTGGTGCCGGCCCTTTCGAGGTCGGCAAGGCGGCAGGATTGCGAGCAGTAGACGCCGTTCTCGGCAATCTGGCGGTCGCAGGAGAGGCAGAAGTCGTTGAAGCACTCCATTTGGGAAGCCATTGCGGCGGGTGATGTGGTGATGGTGGTTGTGGTGGTGGTGGTGGTGGTGGTGGTAGTGGTGGAGGGACAGGCAGCAGGTTATATGTAGAGGGAGCGGGTGGTGCGTGTGTGGGAGGGTGGGAGTCAGAGAGGGTGGTCAGGCCAGAGAGATATAGAGGGAGGTGGAGCGGCAGAAGCGTCCGTGTGTGGAGCGGCGGCGGGAGGGCGTGGATGGGGGATATACTTAAGTTGCGCTCAGGCACACTGGCAGCACCCACACGCACCCACACGCACCCACACGCATCCACACACGCACACACACGCAGACTACGGCTGACCCTAGTCGCCTCTCAGCAGATGGCGCCGACAGGGTCCTCGGCCATCCCTGGTCGTCTCCGCACGGGCTGACCATGCAGCCAAGCAGCCAACGACGTCTGAATTTCGTTGCAAGCGCTGTAGCCTCGAGCGCTGCATGCACCCCTCACGCCCACCACACCACGCCCGCGATGCGTACAGGACACTAGTCGACTATGCCTCTCTCTCGCACTGCGGCCCTGTGCAGCCCAAACGTCGTGTGAATGCGCGCCTGTACGTGGGTGCAGTGTACACTACACTGCCACTAGCAGCATCCCATCTACACACACCTACTACACACATGTAGGTGCGGATATGCACCAGACTCTTCGGCCGCGGTGTTTGCTGCCATGCCTGCTGACCCCCCCGCTCCACGCTCTCCTCCCATGATGCCCTCGTCTCGTCTCGCCTCGCCTCTTCTGCCCTCTTCTGCCCACTCTGCCCACTCTGCCCACCACGCCCGCTCTGCCCGCTCTTGCTCCCACTGCGTGACTGCGCACCCAGTGCTAGTCATCTGCCCCGGCCCTGCGCCTGCGCCTGGGCAGCAGATGACTGATGTGCAAATCTAGGAACAAGGCTTCCTATTCAAGCCCCATGCCCCTCTTCCACAACCACGCTGCCTCTTATCGGTTTCAGCAGTCATGGGGCGTCGTCGCTGCCCTCGCTCCACCCACCGCCCTGCATGCCCGTTGCCATTGCCATTGCCATTGCCATCCCCCATGTCCCTCTGCTGCCGTCACACTGCCAAACTGTCCCATGCTACCATCTGTACGCTCATACGTAGAATACTTGCTTGCACCATTCTTTCCTTCTGCTCCCGCTCGCGTAAGCTCCCCCCCTTGTGCTCCTCCCTCTTGGCCCCACTAGAGCCATGTCTGCCGCCTATTGCGACACTGAAGACGTTATCTGTCGCCATTGACGTGCTCGATGCCGTTTGCCAATCTTAGTAGGAGAACCACTCGCCTTGTCCTGCAGCGACCATCTCCACCTCCCCATGCACGACACACCACCCTCACACCTTTCGCCTCCGCAACGCCTCGTGCCATCCCTCAACACTCCCTTTTCTTCTCCCAATAGCCCCCCCATCCCTCGATGCTGCGAACTCTTCAGGCATGCGCCTGCAACTGTCTCATGCCTCGCTTCGCCTCTTGCTGAACGCCTCACGCCTCTCTTCTCCCAATCCGTCCCCCGGCAGACTGATCTGGACTCTTGCCCAGCCCAGCCCGCTCAATCCGGGCGTCCGGCCTCAGCGACGCCAGGCTCTATCCGTCCCACAAACTCGTGCTCAAATATTCTTCTCCCGCTGTCAATGGCTTGCGCAAACCATTGCAGACTGTCCTCCATCCAATATGGGCACCCCCCTCCCTCCCCTCCCAGGGCAAGCGAGATAAGAACGCTCGGCCCACACAACCGCGCCCCTACCAGCCCCAGGCAACCAGCAACCGTCCTCCAAACCGTTCCAGCTGCCCCCCATGCCCCCCCTTCCGGACGAATCACCGGCCTGCCCTCAACTGCAAGTCACTTGCCCGCTTATATCCAACACGAGCACGAGCTGCCTGCCTGCATGCACACCTCCTCCCATACCTACTATACTACATACGCGGCCACAGACAGCCCCCCACGCTCCTCCTCTTTGCCCAGATGCACACGTCCTTCGTTACTGCAGGACCCTAGATGGCGCACGGCACAAAAGTGAACATGTTGACGCTTACACTCGTCTGCAGGAACCACTCCATTCGCTCTTATCGCCACATCCACACTTGTTCGGATCTAGCCCCCTTGAAACTCTGCTTATCTAGCACTCCCTCTTGCCGTCCCGCCCGCGCGCGATTCAGCGCCGCGACAATCGAGGCAGTGCCGACTATTGGACCCAAAAAGCTCCCTTCGTTTTTTACATAGTGCATTGCCCTGTCCACAAACACCATGTGCGCCCTTCTGGTTGCAGCTGTGCGTGCCACATGCCTTGACATTCACGCTGCTTTTGACACGCCTGTCAGCCCCAACAAACCACACAAATAGCACCCCAAAGTACCTCCTTCAATATCCATGCATCCACATCCATGATGCACTTAGCTAATACCCAAACCTTCTCCTCTCATCGCCGATATTAGGGCTCAGGGCGATGCAGCTAGAGCATCTAGGCCTCATCTAACAACAGCATACCCCTACCCTTTGTGCAGCCAGTCGCTTGTGTGCTCGACATGCAAGATGATGCAGGAAACGACTTGCCCAATAGTTGGCGCATAGAATTCTAAACACTCCGTCCTTGGAAACAGAAAATATCTGTACTTAATAATATACTTGCGTACATCCATCACACAGTCATCTCTCACCAATGTCCTTCACTCCCGGAGCATCCGCGCCAAATACTACTACGTACGCGCTGCACCCCGCAACACGCAATCCCCTTTCGTCGCAGGCAAGCACATGCTGTGCAACTTGAGTAACGGAAGCAGTTCACTCTACGTCTACTCCGACCATCAATTCCAGCACGGAGCGCAAACCCCGACGCGCGCATTGCTGTTGAGCAGCCTCGTTTTGTTTTGTGCTCGCTTGATCCCTGATGGTCATCTCCCGGGTTTGGAACTGCTCCGAAACATCGGCCCGTTTGCTGAGGCGGGTGGATTGATAGTGGGTTCTCTTGCCAACGGCTATCCTTCCCACTCGCCTCTGTTGGCGACGAGAGGGTCCTGCGGGTAGAATCGGAGATATGCCGCAATGGATTTTTTTCTCAGGGTCCTCATGGCATTCTACGATACACCATACTCTCCTGATCAAGTGCAGAATCGGACCGTCTGTCTGACTTTCGGATCACTCAAATCATCGTTCGTATTTAAAGTAGATGGAATAATGATGGCGTTATTGTCAGGATATTTACAATCGACCATGTTCAATATGTATCCTGCTCATCGCAGCATGTAGGGTGTCTGTCTCTTGTATCTGTTGGCAAGACTGAGCTTCATTGTGCAAAAAAAGAAAAGACTTTTTTCTTTCCTTCTCAGGATGTTCAAGTTCAAGTCACGCCAGCCTCGCTTACTATGCGCTTGCAAAGTAGCTTCTAACACGCCCATCACCTCATCTGAACAAAGCCATTGAACCCAATTGTCTTAATACCGCCGGTGGTAGCCATTTTGCAATACGTATCACACATAGTGGACATTTTATTGATCCCCACGAATTTACCCTCGCAATGGCCTATACCGCAGAGCTCCGACTCGCCCTGCGCGCCGTCCACCGTGCATCCATCCTCACCAAGTCGGTGCTCCGGAACCTCTCCAACAATGTGTCTGCCGAAACCAAGGCAGACGACAGTCCCGTCACGATTGCAGACTTTGCCGCACAAGCGCTTCTCATCTCCGCACTTCATGCCGTGTATCCTCACGACGCCTTTCTGGGCGAGGAGAGCGCAGATGCACTGCGCCAAAATGAGGCCCTGGCTGACCGGGTATGGCAGCTTGTACAACAGGCAAAAGAGGAGGCTGATGCGCGTGTGGCTGCAAACGGCAAAGATGAGGAGGCGACTGCGAGCACGGCTGCTGCGCACGACCTGAACGAGGGCCCAGTGCTAGCGTTTCCCGCATCCAAGGACGACATGTTCGATCTGATTGACCGGGGCGGCAACGGCCAAGTCACGGCATCAGGACGTGTCTGGGTCATGGATCCTGTCGATGGCACTGCAACGTTTATGCGGGGCCAGCAGTACGCCGTTTGTCTGTGTTTGCTCGTCGATGGTGTACAGCAAGTAGGCGTGATTGCGTGTCCGAACCTCGCATTCCCCCTGCAAGGCACCCTGGGCTCGATACGCATCACCGAAGACGACGTCGACAGCGACGGTTATGGTGTGGTTCTTTCCGCCGTCAAGGGTCAAGGCACGTTTTTGCGTACCATGGAAGCCAGTGGTCCTGGAGCCCACGCCCGACACGTGGACCTGACTACGCTACCGCCCAAGCAGACCTCTGACCTAAACTTTGTCGAGGCCACGATTGGCAAGACGTCGCTCTCGCAGACTGAACACGAAGCCGTTGCCACTGCCCTCGGTGCAAGCTGGCCAGGCACCGTGCTCTGGTCCCAGCAGATGAAATACGTGGCTCTCACCCTCGGCGCAACAGACGTCATGGTGCGCATCCCAAAGACGCTCGACCGCTTCACTTGCATCTGGGACCATGCCGGCGGCCACTTGCTCTTCCAGGAGGCTGGCGGCATCATTAGCGACTTCCGCGGCGAGCAGATTGACTTTTCCGCTGGCCGCAAGATCAAAGGTGAGCGCAATTGGGGCATGATTGCATGCATGCCGGCTGTGTTTGACCAAGTCGGTACCGCCGTCAAGCACGTATTGAACCAGCGGGACGACAAGAAGAGCTAGAAGCCAACGAACCGTTCTTTCAATCCCACCCCAAAAGTAAAAAAAAAAAAGGGTTACTAGCTCCCCCCTCCCCACCGCCAACCATACATGTGCATGTGTGGTTACCCATTGCCACTCTATAATGGACAATGGCAATGTAGCATCGCCCTTTTTTTCCGTTCCATTTGAACCACATGCCAAATCATTCCCCACCCCAAAAAATACCTTCAATCATGCCATTTTCCTCTCTCTCTCTCTTCCCGTATCATCCCTCACGCTATCTACTTACTACCACATCATCAGCACCCTCTACTACCTAAAATAAAAATAAAACCGGGGCCATACCACACAAACGCATGACGATGGCGATCCCCTCACCCAAACTCTCCCTTTCTCTCTCTCTCTCTCTCTTTCTTTCTCTCGCTGGCCTTGCTGAACGTGCCCCCCTCCCCCCTCCCCTCCAACACAGAAACAAAACAGCAAACTCGCCAGCACCCCCAATACAATCCACTCTAACCCATTTTTCTCGCACTAACTAGCGTAAGGAACCCTATTCGTGTTTTTTTGTTCTTCCTCACATGCACATGATTCTCTCTCTCTCTTTCCAGTCAATTAGAAGAGAAAAAAAAAAGCCTCAAGCGAAAAAAAGCTCCAACGTTTGAAAACCAGCGAGTTAGAACCGAACAAGTCGTTTCGCTCGCTTCGGTTCAAACTAAAAACCCCCCCAGTCGTCGTCACGTAGCTGAGAGCTTGCTCTCCAATCAAGATAAGTGGCGGGGGGGTTGGGGTGACAGGTGTACATACGAATTCAATCTTACTTGGGGGGTTTTTTTTGATTCGGTGGTAAAGTGGTTGGGCTGCAGAATCGTATGTCTTTGTTGGCGCATATTTTATGGGGGTTGATGGGGATGCGTTTTTTCAACGTTGGCATCGGTGTGTATATGCGTGTGGGGAACAACTGGGTTTGGTTTGTTTTGCAGTGATGAAAATAAGGTGGGTGTGGGTTGAATGGGTATACGTAGAACCCCCTAGTGAGTGATGTGTTTTCTGCTTTCTGCATGTTTTTTTTTCTGGACGAAAAGATTGGCCAAGGTGGGGAGATTGAGAAAAGGAGTAAATGGGGATGTGTTGATAGATAGACAGATAGACGTGGCATAACTTTGACCAAAACAGGATGCGAACTTTTTCTGGGCGGTTTTTGCATAGGCGTTATGATGTTGCTGTGTTGCTGTGCACAAGGATCCATAATCTACAGAGTTTTTTTTCTCTAACGGTGTGCCAGAGTAACAAACGTCATTTTATGCGTTAGAGAGAAATGCAAAGATACGTATTCTCTTCTCTCTCATACCCACGCGGTGAGGCATTTGATCTTGCTTTGCTTATGCTATGCAAATTACATGCGAGGGGTAAAGAAAGTTAGTAGAAGATGACTAAAATGACACTAATGCTAGGATATGAAAGCCTTCGGGGTCCGAGGAAAATTTAGTCTAGTTACGTATAAAATCATAACTTATTGCAGATCACCGTCATAGTGCAAAAACAAAACAAAAGAAATAAACTTTTCTGCACGTTTACGAGTCGAGCACCAGAAGAAAGATCATCTCTTTCATTTGGGCCGAGGGGATAGACAAGAGAAAGAGGGGTAAAAAAAAAGGGAGCACACAATAGCATCTTGTGATGCAGTGGGACCCTGGAACTTTCGCTATTCGTCGGGGAAGGAACACATGAATCATGCTCTTACTACTAGTCGGGGAAAGTGCTTTGTACAACGAACGCATGTTATGATCTGCGTTTTCAGTCTTCCCAACCCACCCCACTCCGTCGTCGTCGCTCGTTGGTACAACCATTCATTCTCCGTCTATGCTGCACCACCTCCGTTTTTCCGGAATGACACCTTCTCCACCGCGACGTTCTCGTTGCCTTCGGCGTCCTTGCGGAGTTGGTAAACGTACAGGACGAGCACGTCACCTTGCACCTGTTACGCGCACACACACACCCCTGGTTAGCCTCGTGCTTTCTCGTTTGCTCCACATTTAACCCCATCACATCATGTCTATCGACGTGTGTGACAGGTTGATGTTCGCGGGGTAGAAAGGTAAAAGAACAAAAAAAAAGACTCACGTCCATGAGGACAAAGCTCGGCGTGGGATCTTCGTCCTCGGGCCACCAACCCGTCGACATGGCGCCCGTTGCGCTCCCAGGGTTCACAAAAAACTTGCCCTCCATCTCATATGCCTCAAACTTGTGCGTCCCGCCCCACAAGAGTACGTCGACGTCCATCTGGCGCGCCGCTATCAGTAGACTGTCGCCATCGCCCGGCGGTATGATGGTGTGGCCGTGCGTGAAGCCTATGCGCAGGCTGCCGTGTGTGACTACTTTTGACAGGGCGAGATTCGGCGCTTCCACGTCAAAGTCGCCTTTTACAATCTGCAGATCGGGCGCAATGCCGCGTAGGAATTCGTACGTCTCGCGGTCGGTTATGTTGCCTAAGCAGAGGATTTGGCCGATCTTGCCGGGCGCGAGGAGCTTCTTGAACTGCGGGGTGGTGTGAGCCCATGCGCCTCTCTGTGTTTACGTGGGAGCATCCAATCGGCAATGCAAAGGAAATGTCAACAAGTGTACCTTTGCCGGTATATCCTAAGTTGCCTGTGAGTTTGTGAGGTTCGAGCAATACATGTGTGGCTTGCGAGACGTACCGAAGCGCGGTCTGGTATGAAAAGGTCGCCTAGGACCAGCACCAGTCGCGAAGCCATTGCTGGGGCGCGTTTGTGTCTTTGGCCGCTCAGATCAAGTGGCGGGTGTTACAAAGACTATATATACTGCTTGCAGCGCTCTGTGCAAGTGTGAGGCGCCGAAGTCGAGAGTTGGCGCGGAGATGTCGCGCGAAGCTGGATGTGGGAGTTTGGGGAAGCTATGCTGTCACTGGGCGGGCCCGAGTGGCAGAACGCCGCGCTTGGCAGGGACGCCTTGATGTGGGTCAAGGATACGAGCATGTCCTTACTTTACTGAATGTTTGACATTTAACAGTTTGACCGCATCGTGAGTGAAGTCACCTTCAAATCACATTCGAAGCAACGTCACAGATTCGACTTCTCGATCAGAGTCCCATGTGGAAGTCTCCACAATGCCTCGCAATGGAGTCTAGCAATACGACTGCTATTGCACGCTCTCAACGGCGAAAAGAAAGTTGACTACGAGGGATGCTATTGTATGCAATCTTCTTCTATAGAAAGTATTTAACTTTCAGATTTCTGATTGGACACATGGGTATATCAAAGCTGAAGCGAGCTCGAGAGAAAACGGAAAAGAAAGAGTTATAGTAACAGCATACAAAGCTGAGTACGATTCCAGGTCGGTAGAAATAAGTTTACGGGTCCATCCGGTTGCTGGGCGTGGTTTTTTACCTAGTACTGGTATGTCACAAGACCAAGAAGATGGGCATCTCTGTGGATCTCCCCTGTCCACTTCATGAGTTGCTTACCTGCCTTATTAACACACGTTGCGCCTCGTGACATACTGTAATATTGCCGCACTAAAAAAAAACACGCAATTGAAAATCCTTTAAAGATGAATTGGGACTTCGTTGGTGTAAAAAATTCTAAATGTATCGTAATACAGAAAGTAGATTATGTAAAAGAACATAACCTAAGAGCGAATTTACCAGCCCCATTGTGACTATACTTTTCCAGCATCAGTAATAGCTGTTGTGTTCGCGATTCAGAGGCATAGATGCGGTGTGTATTCGTACTAGTTTAGCAAGAGCCTCAGTCGTAATCAAAGAACCAGACGTAGAGTAATAAGATATAATTAGCAGAACTTATTTCAGTTTTGTCTGCATATCATGCCCAGTTTCTGAAGGCGTTTGCACGCAAGAAGAAGAAGAAGTTGGGCCAGGTTGGCTCGAAGAAACTTTTGCTCTCGTTGGCTACAGACATACTGAGATATTATGAATCTCAATCTCCAGATAGCGCTCAGTCACGTGATAAACAACAGGCAGTTACAGCAGTCGTGAAGTAGGGAAGTTTAACTCGTATGTTGCATAGTCCGGGAGTGGCTGTGTAAACAATGACACCTAGGAGGGGCTATGGCTGAAATTCATCTTCCAAGACTGCTTGGCTCTTGGAATTGCTTGGCTTTTCAGAGAGGGGACCAGTCATGGGCAGGAAATTCCAAACCCCACTGTGGTGTACGCTTACTCCTCTTCATTGCCAAACATGCGATGCATCGTGATAGCCCTCCATGAAATTGGTTTAAAAGAACGACAGAGTACCTATTGACAATCATGAAATCGCTCACAGTATCTTCTTGCATTTATCCTGGGCTAGTTTACCGCTTTTGAATCTGTGTTTTACTGCCTGCCCTCTGCTCATTCTTTGATACCGTCAACCAATCACAACTCCGTATACCCACGTCAAAGACGCAGCGATGTCAAACGAACATGACGACACAATCAACGCAACGCTACAGATTATCTTTGGGGCTGCTGGCATCTTTAGTGTAGTTATTGCCTTACTCGGTCTACATCATCAAGACGCTCTTGTATTTGTGCTATATCGCCGACTGAGATATAGTCGGGCAGAAGGTACGCCTTCCTGTTGCCATACAATATGCATATTTACTAAATGTGGTAGCTGCATATGGAATGGACGATGAAATCGTCTCTTCTGATAGGATCATCGGCAATCAAGGTATGACAGCATCGAACGCCCCATAACGACCACCACCTTTATCCCACGCTCACACAGCTCCGCCATCGCCTTGGGGATCAACTTCTTCGACAAACTCGAATACCGATATACGACCTTACAACACAATGGCTAGGAAAAGGCCGATAGAGTTGGCAAACCTTCGACCGCATGTAACCAATAATGTAGACCATCGTTGAAGACAGATTGTAGACAACAGTGGTTGAGGTGCATGATCCAGTTGGCAAAAGGTTGTCTCAATGTCATGGAAGAAAAATGTACACTAGCCCATTCTTATGGGATTTCTCTTTCTTTTGTAGAGCTAATTGTTCTCGTCGGATGACTGCACAACAATGATACCTATCATGCAGAAAATTCATTAGACACTAGTGTACATTTTCCCTGGTTGCTTCTTTTTCTCAACGTTCTCATACCAACCAAGCAGATGCGCGACATATTCTCCTGCGAGACCAAGACTGATGGCACCTCCTGTGAACCATGCGCCATTGACAAACCACCACCAGCAATTCTTTACCTCCTTTAGCTTGACTCGGCGGATCATAGTGCCTAGTGTGAAGGCTGCACCGCCAACTGAGCCAATGAAAAAGATTGGGCCAAGCCCTGCTGTGGCTCCCATGGCGGATAACAGACCAAGCTGAACAACAGCGAGGCCTGAGAGTACCTGCTTCGTTTCCTTTTCATGCTTGAGTGCGATACTCTTAATGCCGGCCTTGACATCATCTTTGATATCCATATGAGCATATATCATATCGTAGAGAACAGTCCATGCAACATTGCTGGCATATAAACATGTAGCCGCAATCAACGCCGCTTGGTTCGCAAGCAAATCGATGCCCAATGCAGGAAAGCCCATCATGGCACCCCATGAGAACGTAAGGCCGAGGACGAATTGTGGATAATACGTGACTCGCTTTGCCAAAGGATACAGTGTAACGAATATAAGTGACGGTGTAGCGTACCAGAAGCATTCAGCTGGAAAAGAAAGAAGCACAGCAAGCCCGGTCGTAAGCTGACCGCCAAGGAAGACAAGAGCTTGCATAGGAGTAATGGCTCGCCTAGCAATTGGTCGCAATCTCGTTCGTTCAACATGGGGATCGAGGTTACGGTCCCAGAGATCGTTGATGGTACATCCGGCTCCTCTCATGACGAGTGCACCTGTGAAGAAGAGGGCTGTCGTTCCTAGGACTGCGGAAGGCGCGGCAACAGGTGTAGCCATGGTGGCAGCGAGAAGCGTGCTGAACATGCACGGAAAGAAGAGATAGTAGGTCCCGGTAGGCTTGTCTAGTCTCATCAATTCGCCATACGGGACGAATTTCTGTGGCAGATATGATAAGACACCGGTAGTTGGTGGCACGTAGCTTGGAAGCGCTTTTGATGGCGCGTCTTGTGGCGCTGTTGCCGTTGCGACTCCGAAGCTGGGCTGTAGTGACTTTGGGGTTATGCACTTGGCGAGTTGAGTAGGTTGTGGTCGTCGTGCGGTACGCAGCAGGGGTGCTGAGGATTGGTTTCGTCCCAATTGCGATGCAAATCCATTGGTATAGTGGAGCCGTGATTTGAATGCTCTACCAGCGTATTGCCGATACAATGCTGGTGGCTGTGCAGCACACAGTTTTAAAAACGTCATAGCGGATAGGTCAAGGCAGCATCTGCTGTCTTCTGTTCGGTACACACAGGGAATTGAATTGTGTTGTTTGTTGAACACGTATGCGCATTGGCGCTATCAGCAAGCCATGCCCATTGTAAAATGTGCAATTTTCGGGGGGTAATGGTGGAGGTCGAACTTTGATAAGCCCTCTCCGCTAATGCTCGATGAGGGCTGGTTGGTGAGGGTGAGTGCGAAAGGTTAGATCGCGCTAATTCCCGTGAACACGTGATTGCTCATCAAGTCGCGACAGGCGTCTCGCGACCACATCTTCCAAACTTGCTTCCTTACCCTTAAGCCGACATGAGGTGCTTTTCCCTAGACACTTGCTCTTGAAACCCTTGCGGTCATGGCTGCTTGCAACAGCTGATCTAGCGCAACTTTCCGTGTTTTGCAATTCCGACCGTGCCACAAAAGCGACTGCTGTTCTCACGTTCTACCACCCCACTGACTTCGCGACTGGATTCCTGGATGCCAGCGAACGGCTGCAACAATGCCAGCTGCGCGCCCCCGGGCTTCTTTCGAACCCATCCCACCCGACTTTGACGTGCGCACTTTTGTAGAGAATGCCGACAATTTTCAATATGTCGATCGCATATCGTATGAAATGATTGCGACCAACGGTATGGAAGCATTTGAGAAACTCGTCTTGTTGCATGTGATCATAGGCGGTAAACCTCTTGTCATCGATGGCTTCGATGAGGTACTGGATCCCTGGACCTTTACGCCCTCATGGCTGCGCGACAACCATGGTGACAAAGGTATACAGATTACATTACGACGGTCATAAGCGCATAGCTAACAGAGATGTAGTGGAGAACGCACGCAATCTCATGATGCAAGAAAATATTCCTCTCACTATCAAGCATTACCTCAAGCACATGCCCAAGTTGACTGAGCAGTTCTTCGACGAACCCGACCGATACAGAGACAAAAAGAGACAACGGATATACCTAAAGGACATAGATTGCCCACAGGTATGGCATGACAAACTCAAAGAGCATATTCCTACTGGATTGTTCTACCTGAATGAAAGCACAGGCGATGTAAACGGGCCTGGCGCACCATATGAGTTTGGGGTGCGCAAAGGTCGTGGCATTGGAAGAGCCGGAGACCTCATGAGCAGCTTGCCACCTGAAATGCGCGCAGAGAATCTCATGTGTTATATTGGGCATGAAGGCACCTACACACCTTCTCATCGGGAGATGTGCGCGTCACTCGGCCAGAATATCATGGTGAATGCTTCCACCACCATTGGCGAAGACGGCAAGCAAGAGCGTCCCGGCTCATCCATCTGGTTCATGACAGAGAGCAAAGACCGCCATGTTGTCTCAGAGTATTGGTTGTCAATACTAGGGCACGATATTGAGGTTGAGAACCATTTTGCACAACTCATCGCCTGGAAGAAGGCGCCATTCCGAACATATGTCGTAGAGCAGCGTCCAGGAGATTTCATCCTGATCCCGCCACTGGCACCTCACCAAGTCTGGAACCGTGGCACTCGTACCATGAAAATTGCCTGGAACCGCACAACTGTGGAGACTCTAGAACTTGCTCTGAGCGAGGCGCTACCCAACTCGCGTGTCGTCTGCCGTGATGAACAATACAAAAACAAGGCCATAGTATACTACACCCTCCTCAAGTACTCAAATCTGATCAAGATTGCTAGCGCACAGATCCAGGCAGGCGGCGAGCAAGCTGAAGCGATTCGACACTCCAGCAAGGTAAAGCAGATTCAGAAGGATTTCAAACGACTCTTCGACCTGTACAAGAAAATCCTTCTCTCAGAAGTGTTTGCGCCTGATTCACGGGAACACCCAGAGTTTCTAGCATACGACAGCAATGTCACATGTTCGTATTGCAGATGTAACATTTTCAACCGCTTTTTGAGCTGCAAGTCTTGCAAGAACATGTTCAGTTCTGAAATTGAGGAGCCCTACGATGTTTGCATGGATTGTTACTGCATGGGCCGAAGCTGCGGTTGCCAATCGGGCTACACATGGGTTGAGCAATGGAAATGGAAGGACCTCATTCGCAAGTACGAAGAATGGCGTGCTCAGATCATCAACATCGATGGCCATGTGAACGAAAAGACGCCACTCCCACTGCAAGAAGAACGAAGGTATCTCGGCAAGAAGACCCTAGCCCAGGTCTGCCAGGAGCAATTGCGGATCCGCCCATTTGTCGACATTAACAACCCGCAGCCAGAAAGTGTATCCGATAATGAGGAACCTGTTGTGGATGAGTACGGCAATGTCAAAAAGGCCACGAACCGAAAGTCGAAACAATGGCTGGCAAAGCATAAATCGTGCCATTTCTGCCTACATCGACATCCAAAGTGGAAAATGGCATTTTGCTCCAGCTGCGATCTGGCATATTGCTACGGAACGCTATTCCGTGCACACGATATGATGCCGGTAGGTGTCATGGAGGCCTATAATTGGAAATGCCCACATTGCTTGAGAGTCTGTAACACGGGCGCTTGCCGGCGCGATCCCAGGCAGTACCCCTACGAACCAAAGGGAACTTTGCTCGGTCATGATACGAAGAAGGTGGCAGATGTACGCTCGGTAGAATGCCTTGTCGATTTCAGCGTCTCGAATCTCAATTGGCTACGAGAAGAGGATGGTATGGCCCAGAACGCGATGCAACGCCGAATGCAGCAAGCCGAGATGGATAAGTCGATAGATCCTTCACTCGATGCGCGGTTTATTGATGACGATGAACATGCTAATACAAGATACGGAATCATTTACTCCCCCGTTGAGGATAACGACGGTGGCATTGCCAGCACATCTCAAATCCACGATGCCAACGGAGACTTGTACTACCCCGAACCTAGCATGGATGGTGAGATCCCGCGACTTGGCCAAAAACGCACCCACGATGGACACGATGATGTAGAGGATCGTCGACAGAAGAAAACAAAAGTCAGGAAACAGAAAAGGGACGAGTCGCAATCGCTGCAGCCAAAGAGTGTACCTGGAAAACAATATCAGAAGGAAGTGCAGAAGAAGCTACTCGAGGATGCCAAACGTGAAGACAGGCTCATCTTAGTCACCGCTAGGATAAAAGGCAAATCAAAGATTGTCAAATTGTGTTTGGCAACGGGCCTTCTTGACAGAATCCGCCAAAGACCGGTCCCAGAACGTGTACAAGTCGTACGCGAGAGTACTCCTGAGGAATTGGATATGCCACATGACATGCAGTCGATATTAAAATCGGATTTGATGCAACAGCCTAGTGCTGTGGCAGAAAAGGGGAAAGAAGCAAAGACATATCGTGTTCGCGTAGAGGATGATGAGGCATACTCGACACGGAAGCGCAACCCAGAGATTAGCGGCTCTGCAAAGCCTGGTAGGCCTCGAGGCCCCAAACGATTCGAAGAGTTCACGCTCGATTCGGATGAGGAGTTTGCTGATGAAGATGGGGCGGAATATGTCAGTCAACCTCGTAACCGTAGGTCTACATGGCTAGCACGGAGAACTGAAGGTGATGAGGACCTACCAACTGAGCTACCCCCAAATTTCAGGGACGGCACTGTAAGACCCAGCCGCGAAAGAGACAGGGAACACAACCAAATTCACAAGGAACGACGACAGAACATGGCCGCACAAGAGAATGCTAGCACCCGACCCAGTGGAAATACCACCGCAAACCTATATCAGGAAAGCGTGGAATATGTTTCTGGGAACCATTCCGATGAAGGCGGCACCCATGAAGAAGATACCGAGACCAATGATGCAGTTATGCTCGCACAGCAGGCTACAGCCGCTGCCACTGCCTTGGAACGCCAGCGCAGAGTGGATGAGACCACGACACGCGCAGAAGCTGTAACAGAAGCCGCAGAGACCATAGAAGAAGCAGCTGAAGCAACGGAGGCTGAAGCACGGGAGGCTGCAGCACTTGATGCCAAGGAAAATCTCCGCGCCAAGATGGCCCTGTTTCCCCACTCGGACGATGATGATCAAATTATGGACAGTTTTCTTGATGATCTGCCTACCGAAGATGAGCCCTCTGAAGACGAGGCACAACCCGAAATCAGTGTCCCAGAACCCGTCCGAAACGGTCCCCCTCAGCATACCAACTCGATTCTGAGTGGCCTCAATGGAAAGAAGATCAAGATTGTCGGATCATCTAATCGCAGCGGCAATGGGTCTACCAATGTTACTGCCCCACCATCACAATTTACTCCTGTGAACAAGAGGGCTCAGCCAATCAACTTATCGGACACAGAGAGTGAGGATGAGGTTCCCGCAACCGCTCCCGCCCCAAAAAGGCCTGTTGGCAGACCGCCAGGTCGTCCTGCAATGAAACCTACAAGAGGCTCAGGTTGTGGTACTCGAGGACGGGGACGACCCAGGGGACGACCGAGGAAGACGATGTAGCATTTCCATTGGTGGTCGTTCGTGATTGCATTAACGAGGAGTGGTATTTTGTTTCTATACTCCTGAACGAGCTTTATTCAGTGATGAGTTATCAGATGGAGCCTGTTTTGAGAGGACTGACCATGAGTGATGGTGGACAAGCGGGCATTGTGTGTGTCTTTGACGCATTCTACCGGAGGAGCAAGCTGAAGAATGTGCCTTTGGGAGCAGGAATATTTGAGGCTTGCTCGATCATATATTTGAGAAAGTAGTTCACACTAGGTTTCCCATTACGTGTAAAAAAGGCTCCAATGTTTAACCAAACTCTGCTTTTCATAATGCTAGTGTTCGAGTAACCATGTGTAATGTCCGAAAATATAAACCAGCAACTAATGGCTCGCATGCTTGGCTGACACGTGATCTCGCGTCAGCGTTCGAAACGCGTACTGCCATTTCTCTGTCTCTTTGTCTGCACATCTTCAACGTAACAAGTCTGCTTACAATGTCTTCACTTCACGTTAGCAAAATCAGTCTCACGTCATTTCACAAAGTCCTTGCTTGTTACCCCACAACAGCTCCAGAAAAGCTGCGCGACCTAGACGCGCATCGCTACGATGTCATTCCATCGGCCGTGGCCAGCAGGAATGGAAGCAACAAACATCTCACGAAACCAGAGGTGGAGAAGCTTGTAGAATGGAAACTGTTTGTTTCTCTATCCCGACTTCCTATACGCCACTGCTAATGCTCGTATGCAGAAAACATGGCACATTCCGACCTGCACTACTGGGACTCGTGCAAAGCAATACTTCACAAGCAGTCGAAGAGGCTACACATAAAGCTTTTGCAGCAGTTTCGGATGATAAGTGCTCGCAATCAAATATCATTCACGCACTCAAAATATTAACTAATTTAAGAGGAATCGGACCAGCAACATCGTCTCTTCTCCTCTCTGTTCTCCGGCCCAAGGAAATTCCGTTTTTCTCTGATGAATTGTTCCGCTGGTCATGTTGGGAGTCTGAAGTCAAAGCCAAGGAAAGCGTGGGGTGGCAGAGAAAGATCAAGTATAATTTCAAGGAATATGAAATGATGCTTGATAGGGTAGAGAAGCTGAGGATGAGGCTAGGCAAGAGTCCAGATAACACTCCTGGAACAATTGTGAGAGCGGTAGATATAGAAAAGGTGGCTTGGGTGCTTGGGAAAGAGGGAAAGGATGTTGGGCCAGAAGAGGAGAAGGAGGAGAGCCAAGCTGGTGACGATGAAAAGGCCCCCGTCAAAGAAGAAGAAACGCAAGAGACCAAGCCTGATGATACTAAAGACAGTAAAGAGGAAGTAACTAAGGGTCCAGCGAAGAAAGGCACAAAACGTAAAGCGGGTCTTGTCAAAACACCAGTTGAAAGCACACGCAAAAGCACCAGGACGAAGAAGTAACGGCCTACGCAGTTGCCTGTGGGCCCAGCTTCCTAGGTCACGCTATGGTCGCATGTTTACCTTCCATTCGCCTCCACAAGTTCAGACTTGCGAATTCATAAGCCACTCTCTATCTTCTCATGACCCTGGTTCACCTTACCCGAGCAAGAATCATGCCATTTCACAAACCCATGCACAGTCACACCGTTGACGCTTACTCTCGGCCAGCTCCGCCCATCGTTCCATCTTCCCTCGCACGCGTCCGTCCCTACACCCAAACTCCACTCTTTTCTGCTCCATCACGAACTCTCTCACCGTCTAATGCACACGAGAATCAGCCTTATAGCCGCACCGACCATATTCCGATCTGTGAAGTCTTTTTCAAGGATGCTTCGAAGCGATGCTAAGGAACCGAGACGACGGGGATAATGATCGGTGTGATTGACGCAACTATGATGTGCATAAAAGAGAGTGCAGGACAATGGGTCTAGCCAATTCGTCAAGAGTCAAGCGCGTTGGATCAATAGGTGTTGCGTTATCAGAGGCTTGTGCGTCCGGGCTTGAGTCGAACCAATCAGCCTTGCGCCATGCGAGGCTTGGTGGTGAACACGCATTGTATGATGGCTGCCTGCGAACCAAAGTATGCATGTGTAGTGCTGCAGACCTGTCCTAGGATGATGCTTCTTGCCTAGAGCACAGGTAAGAAGTGAAGCCAGTGAGGAGAAAAAGGAAAATTGTCCAAGCTCATGACCTGAGAAGTTTGCTGGCGTTTGCAGCGGTTACCGAAATAATTGTTCACACGAGATTTTGTTTCCCGTCAGATTGGGGGCTGTGACACTGGGTAATTAACAATTCTTTATCGTGGGCGCCGTTTGGGCACGGTTATAGGTCCAACGGCGGTAAGAACTATCCACTGTATATGGCCTCGGGAGACACAACCGTATGTCATGCATACTGTCGCTTACTCTTCTTACCTGCCACGCGATATCGAACCATGCTAAGATTCTAATGTGACAAGTGCGAGTAAGGTGACTGGAAAACCAGGCCCCGATATGTGGGGTAAGATGCCAATATGAGAAGGATGCCGCTGCATGTTCTCAAATGCAAGGTGATGTGCGCTGCGATATGCAGGCGTGGGTGCTTTGGGAAAGGTGTCTGGAGTACCCCAAATATTGGTAAGACTGTGCAGTGCAGTGCAGATGCATGGTTGATAACGCAATGGCATTTACAAAAGGATAGGATGGACATACGTACATATGCATATAGCTGTGCAGGTATGTTGGGAAAAATGGCACAGCTACGAGAAGCTAGCATACAAGAGAGTAGCTGCATAGCAAGTGGAGTCCTCAATAGAGTGTTCATTTGACCGCAGTGTTGGCAATTGAACAAGAAGGATCAAGCCTGCTCAACCGTCCACTAGTGTCTAGATCTAGAAGTCTTCTTCTCACATCGAACACTGTACCCTTGAATCAAGCCCAATACTTGTGAATTAAATCCGAGATGACTCAGATTACGCCTTTTCAGCTAGGCAAACCAGGCCACCAGCCCTACCCGTCCTTGCCCTCTTTTTCTTTGTCGTGAAAAACAATAAAAAAAAGCCACCGATTCCTTCCTTCCCGCGCTCTCCCAACACCGAAGAACGCCCAAATCACCATGCTACTAATAAGCCGTCATTCTGGCCCCAGACGCTAAGGCCACCCCTGCTCATCATCACCGATCCCCGACATATGCCCTCTCGGTTACCGTAGCGAACGAAAAGCAAAGGAGAAAACTCCGCATCAAGCCATGAACCAATAAACAGGTCTGATATGCCAGTGAGAAACGACTGCGATGCTTGGCACGATCAACCGCATCGCGACAGCATATGGGAATCAGCACTAACAAACAGTTTTGGCGAGGTGAAAAATAACAAGGGAAAGAGAAATGACGTCGTGCGTGCATGCGCTCAACTGTACTGTGTACGGCACAGCAAGTCGTATTTGTTCTAGTTTAGTTTGCCGGGGGGCTTTGCAGAGGTTGCTTGCTATACCCACGTATATACGCATGTATGTCAGTCGGCTGCATGCTTGATGCGGGTGTTTTCCCAACGCGTCGATACGCATGCATTGTATCGAGGCGTAACTCATTCCAATCAGACATTTCTTGGGTTCGCATCGGAAAAGTTCTGCTTTCGCCTGTTCAATCTCGCGTACGTGTGTGTGTGCCTGTGTGTTTGTACGTACGTTTGTGTACGTAATTTCTGATGCGAACTCTCCACCCACCGTTCTCAGTAGACGAGCGCGAATAGCAATTACATACTTACACGACCAAAGCAAAGTACAACCTACTATGTACCCATTCGAACAAAGCCGAGAATCTTGTTCGCAAAAGGGTGTACATGCAATTCCGTACATATCCAAACTTAGTAACCGAACAAGCAAAAAAACCCTCAATCCCTTTCGCTTTCTGACTTTCACTTCTTCGTTCGTCAAAGAACAAAAGGGAAAGTGGCGTAAAGATAATTTCCATCTCCAATCCAGATTCTCGACCTTACTTACCCCGCAAACATCCTCTCCACGTAAAACAAAAAATAAGAATCCTCCTCACTTCCCACCCCACAAAAATAACGACAACCCCGGATATACTACCACATCCAGCTCACACCCAAAGTATTCACATGAAAAAAAGAGTTAAGTAAACAGATAGTTAGTTAGCAAAAAAAAACACACCAAGTAAACAAATTCAATCATGACAATGAATGCACCCTCTCACCCTCACAACCCAATTCCCTCCCCCGATCCACCCATGTCCTCCCTCACCATGTCCCCCATCGCCTCCCTCAACAAAAAAAAAACCCCCCTCCCCCCAAACCCTCGGCCCAGCCTTGCGGCCTTTTGCCCGGCACCCCCTTCCTCTCCAAAAAAAATCAGCTCAACCCAAAAATAATAATAATAATAATCAAAAACTTTTGCCAAGAACCACAACAAAAACAAGGGGGGATTACATATCGGGAAGTCAACGCTAGATCGACGAAAAAAGTTTTTTTCTCGCAAAGGATGGAGGAGGAGGCGATCGGCGTGCGCGCGCGGGCGGCTTGCGCGTGCGGGCTGAGCTGGGGCTGGGGCTGGGCTGGAGCTGGGCTGGAGCTGGGCTGGAGCTGGGCTGGAGCTGGGGAAGGGGGGGGGGGGATTTTACAAGTAAAGCAAAGTAAGTGGTAAGTTCAAGGGTTATTGTGCGGGATCGGCGGCGGTGGAGGATTAGTGGTTTAACAAGGAGTCTTGATTATTGTGGAGAAAAGTCGGTCGGGAGGGGGTTTCCCCCCCAAAAAGGTAACAAGTTTTTGTGATGCAAGAATGGGGGAGGAGGAGGAGGAGGAGGAGGAGGAGGATCGTTGCTGGAATGGGATGGGTGTGTAGAATACGCAGTAGAGTAGAGGAGGGGTGGGTGGGCTTGGGGGAAAAAGGGTAGGGAAGGAAAGGAGCAAGGGTAAGTAACAGGTTTGGGGAAGAGAACAGGCTTTTTGGTGGGCGAAGCTCATCAATTGCCATTTTTGTTCGTATCAAGTATCGTTTTGCAAGCGTTTAATCAACCCGATAAATGCAGATGCGCCGCCGCCGCCTCCCTCCCTCCCTTGGCTTCCAAAGTGTAACAAAGGCTAATAAGAAGAGGGAATAAAAAACAGCCCAATGTATCGCAGCGCCACAAACACGTGTATAATGTCTACCTGCCCATGCAAATGCTTTCAATAACATATGATAAAAAATAGCAAGCAGGAACAGCTAAGAACTTGCTGGTTTCGCGCGCATATATCGGGAATGAAAAGACAAAAACAACAACAAGATTCCCGGTTCAAAAATGGATACCTAGGTACACACACACACACACGCACACACACACACGCACACACGCACACACACGCACAAGCGCATAAGCGCATACAAACTCATCTTCATCATCGTCATAATCGTCAACACTCCCCCCTCCCCCCCCGGCTTTAACAATACCCAAGAAAAAAAAGACAAACTCCCACTTCGCAACTGAGAAGGTACAAAAACACAACCAAAGGAAAAGATAGATACAGAATAGATGAAATTTCAGAGCAAAAACATGAGATATATTGGATGAGAGAACAAACAAAGGGTTAGAGAAGGAAAGAAAAAAGAACGCCGTCTTTTTAAGTTTAAAAGAAGAAAAAAAGGCTCCTTCCAATGCATGCTATCCGACCCAAGTTGATGTGCAAAACGCCCTGCGCCCGCCCTCACTTGGTTGGTTTCAATGGTAATGTCATGTTGCTTGCGCGATGATATTCGTATATGTACACTTGGGAGGGGTGAAACGGGGTGGTCTCAAAACGTATGCGTAGTCGTACAACGGTAGATCTTGGGTATCGTGTAATTTATGACAGGAGATGACAGTAGAGATGTCGGTATACGGTTGTGTTTTGCGCTTTTATTGCGATTCAGATGCGCGGTCGTGAGCTGGCGTGGGCTCTGGTGGGGGAATCTTCTTGACAGTCCCGTTGCTCCCGCTGCGGGTGGAGCGGCGACGAGAGTTCATTCCGAGGTGTAGAGTAGAGCGCGCTAGTTCACCATTCGAAACCGAGTTGCTGCGGTTGGCCTTGTGCATGGGTACCTTCTTCCTCGAGAAGCCCATCATTAAACCGTCTTCCTCACTATCATCATCCTCGTCGCTTTCAACTGCATGATCCCCATCATAACCGGAAGCGTCATCAGCTGGAGGCTCGAATTCGTTACTCGGGAAAGAGCGAACTGTCGATGAAGTCATCCAAGAGTCATCATCGAACGAGCCGCATCCACCCTGACTTGGTGAACCGACAGAGGCAACCGAGGGAATGGATGGATTCGATTCAGATTGTGACATTGCAGAAAATTGATCCTCGGAAGATGAAAGAGCAAGGCCACGGCTTGATCCGCCGAGAGGACTATTCTCGGACGACTGGTCGTTTCGGTGCCAGTACTCTTGGTTGCTTTGCCGGTTGAAGAGAATCTCATCGTCTGGGCTGGGAGGGCAAGCAACCTGGCCAAGGGAAGAATGAGGCCGTTGTGCTGCCGAATTTGATCGTTCACGAGCCATGGACTGCTCTACCCCAAGTCGTCGACGATACTCGTCTTTTGCGCGATCAAAAACCTCCTCGGACTGTTCTTGTGCGACAGAGATGGTGCTGGAAGGTCTCCGGTCGCTAGGTTGGGGCAGATGGGGCACTGCACGAGAATCCGGCGATGTACCCAGCGAACCTAGCGAAGGTCCAACTTCAATATCATTCGCAGTCACCCAGTTTCTGCGCAGACGAGATGACAATGATGACAATGACGATTGCCGCGACGAGGCATCAATATGACCAAAAGACGGTGTCTCAGAGTTGGCAGGAGACGAGGTCCTGGCGATAGGTGACGATGTCTCTTTCAGAGCCTCGGGCTGGTTGACTTGGCCTGAAGCACAAGTTGTGCTAATTGCAAGGCTTGGGACAGCATGTGCATCATCGTCACATCCAACCAGTCTGTCGATTGACCTCGTGCGGCTATGTTCTTTTGGGGGCTTTAGCCGATCTCTGCTCCTCATGCTGTTGACCACGCGGCGTGGAAGGCCACCAAACAGGCCTCCTAATTGTGAGCCCCCAGGGGTATCGAGGGCCATGGGGGTTCCAGGTAAAGCCGGCGGAATGCTCGGCGATCCTGAACGACCTTGGAGGTCCGATTGGCGTATGGTGTTGATGGACGAAAGTGCACGGTCCTGCAGTTGGGGTCGCTGACTCTCAGTGATTTGCGCAGGCGATGCAGTCCGGGAGCTGGGGCTGTCAAAATACTTGGACCGCTCCTTTGCCTCTGGACTAGCAGTAACGCTGTGGGAAAGAGGATGTTCAGACTCCCGGGAGCGAGTCAGAATCTCCAAAATGGCACCGGGTGCCAGGCTCCCACGCCTGCCTTCGTATGGTCGAGCATCTTGGCTGATGGTGCTGCTAGAGGAGTTTGCGCTTATGCTTGGAGTATCCTGATTTGCTGCTGAGCTTTGGGCACGACGTCTTGAACCGGAACTGCGAGTCGTGAAGCCTTTGACAAAGTCGGATGTCTTCTTGGCAGCAAAACGGAGACGGTCCACGAAACCAATAGGGACAACGGCCTCTTCGACATCCTCTTTGGAAATTTGAATTTTCCTGCCTTCGAACGATCTGCTCGGGTCGGTTTCCTCGGCCCAGGAGATGTGGTTGGGAATGCCTGATAGCACCCATGGATGGCGTTTGATCTCTGGTATAGTGATGCGATATCGTGGTTCCTTGATCAGTAGACGTCGCAAAAGGTCACGTAGGTTTTCGTCCACCTCCTCGTACTCAAGGTCGTGCGGAGCTCTCTTGCTACTCATTGTGGGCTGAGTGTTGCGTCCGTGCGAGCTTGGCCGCGAGTTGGAGTGCTCCGCCACAGGCTTCAAACGGAATCGCGGTATGTATGGCTCGTCTTCACTGATGACCTTCATCAAGGTAAAGGTGTTGGTATCGTGAAAAGGCACACGACCATAAATGAGGCAGTACAGCGTAACACCAAGAGCCCAAATGTCGATTCCGCCATCAATCGAAGGGGTTTCTGCATCAGTCTCTGTACGGCACAGCTCGGGAGCATAGAAGGCGGGAGTCCCAACCGTCTTTGCGAGTTCGATTGCTTCATCAGCCTCTTGTTGCTCAGTTTCTGATTGATCGCCATTGACTTCGTCAGTCTTTTGTCGTCCCAAGTACGAGACACCAAAGTCGGATATCTTGATGCGATGCTCCCGAGTGACGAGAAGGTTTGCTGGCTTGATGTCGCGATGGATGACGTTTTGATAGTGGAGATACTCTATGCCCAGGACAGTGTCTTTGAAGGCTTCCCAGGCGGCTTGAGTGGTCATGAGGGGAACATAGTTGAAGTGGTCTGGTATCTCCTCGTCAGGGTCGGTCAGGCGAGACGAGGAGCTACCAGCGAGGCTCGGGACGCGTCCCCGGGTGAAGTCTGAGTCGTAGGGGCCGTACATGGTTCCCTCGAGCCCCTCGGCCCACGAGTTGCGCATTGGCTCAGGTGATCGGAATGCAGTTTCCATGTGGTCGTCGTGCTGGTTTCGACTACACGGGCGCTCCTCGGTGCGGCTGGATGATTGAGAGCCGCGGCCGTTCTCCGAGTATTCGTCTTCAGACTCCATTCCCATTTCGAGACTCCAGGCCATGTCCGATGTTCCTTCCTTGCGGCGGAGATGGGCCTCCTTGGCTGCACGGCGTTGCTGGCGGGCAAGCTTTTGGTGGGCCACGCGGATGATGTTCTCATCTTCCCGAGCGGCACTGTCGTTGTCAAAGACGCCCTGAGACTCTCGCTTGAAGCGACGCCATTCCACGAGACAGATTTCCTTGGCGCCTTCCGTCCGCCACTTGACCTCGCCCAGCTCCACGTGCTCGAGTACGATGTAGACCTTCTTCTTAGCCGGGTCGTCGATGACTTCGAGCAAGCTAACAATGTTGGGATGCCGGGCCTTTTTCAGAATGGCTATCTCGCGCTTGATCTTGTCCTCGTGGCTGTTGTTCTTGCCCAAGCGTCTGCGCTTAGAATAGCGATCGACGATCTTAATTGCGACGTATCGTCCGTGCACTAGGTCCTTGCCCAGCTTGACCTTGCCGTGCACGCCGCGGCCGAGTTCATCTATGATTTCGTATTGGTTTACAATTTTGCGGCCAGAGACTGGGTCAGCCTGTACGTCGGCGACGTGAGTCTCCTTGGGGGCTTGTCTGTGCGTGTGGTGCAGCCAAGGGGTTGAGTAGGTTCCGTCGTCTGTTGCATCAGTGTCCTGCGACATGCGGCGGTTGGTGGGGTTGAAGAGGCCTGGCGTGCTCACGGGAGAGTTGCCAACAGTACGGGGTCCAGAGTCCATAATGTCTCGGACGTGGTCGTAAGTGAGGCCAAAAGCGCCGAGGCTGGACAGCGAGTTGGCAGTAGCATGTGCGGGGTGTGAGCTGCGGGAGCGCACGATAGGAGGGACGTAGGGCTGCGGATACTTTTGGAGGTGGAGGGCGGCGTAGGACTGGTTGGGATAGACTGGCCCATCCCGGTGGCGCGAGGGGGGTGCGAAGGGATAGATGGGGTCTACCGAGTTTGCGCGGACTGTGGTATTGCTGGCGGTGGATACCGACGAGATGTCTCGCAAAAAGGCAGGGCGGTCTGGGTGTTGGGGTGCGGGCGAGGGGGCCGTCTCGTCGACACTGGCCAGGGAGGCGTGGGAGGCATGAGTGCTTGTGCTGGGCGAGGGGTTGGACGAGGCGGGTGTGGAGTGGGGGATGGGCGATGAGTAGATGCGGAGGGGCTGTGGGGAGAAGTAGGACGGTTCAGGGTCGAGCGAGTGGGTGTGGGAGTGGAGGGCTGCGTTGAGGGCGTCTGGTACGGAGGGTACTTCGGAGCGGGGGGTGCAGTCGTTCTCGTCGACGTCGAGGGCTTGGGAGCGGTCTCTGGGGCGACGGCCTGGTGTTTCGGGGCCACGGTGATCTGGCGATGGTGGATTGCTGGGAGACGTGCGGTCGTCGTGTGCAGAGGGCGGGCGCGCGTCGTCGTCGGTCGAGTCGCACATGGGTGACTCTGGCGGGCCTTTGTCGCCGGCGTGGAGCGGGTCCCCATGGGCTGTCAAAGCCGCATTTGGGTCTCGCATGGCGACTGCTACTCAATGGGTGCAGATTATGGCAGCAGTGCAACCATGTCAGCACTTTTTACGCTTTGTCGAGGCGGAGGTCGTGGGCGGAGAGTGGCATTTCGCGGGGGGGCTGCGCAGCTGGGAGGGCCAGAGGCAGGGCAGCAGCAGGCGGCGTGGTAGTGCCGGAGAAGCAGAGAGGGCCCGTGTGGTTGAGGGGGAGCAGGCAGGTGGTGAGAAGGGGTGGATAGGGTGGATATGGGTTTAGTTGAGAGGCAGAAGACGGGCTCCGTTGGGCTTTCCGAATGGGGAAGTGATGGTCGCTGGTATTTCGGGGCCCATGGATGACGCTCAGAGGGCGGGAGAGACAGGCCGGGGGGCGTGCACTGGCGACACAGGTGGGGACACTATCGCGCAAAGGATAGGCGATGCCGGACAGGCTAGGGCTCGACGACGAGGGCGAGGGTCAGGGCGAGTCGGCGCCAGTGCGGGTGGTGGTGGAGGGTGGAGGGGGCGAGTTGGGTGAATGGACGACGATCGTGGTGTATGTACGTATTCATGGCCAGGCCCAGCTTCAGCTCCTCGACCGGCTTTGTTGAGGCCAGGGCTGCTGCGATACGGGCCGCCATTGATTTGGCCTGCTTGGGGGGTGCGAGGCAGACGACGCGTGCGCACAGCCGCTCTCTGTCTACCACACACTAATACTACATACATGCTACTCTCTCACCACCCACACCCGCCCTCAGCCCTCACACACACTCACACACACTCACGCTCGGCGTGGAGCACCAGGCTGCGCCCGGGCAGGCCATCACGTACATGGCGCTAGGATGCAGGCGACGCCAACGGGTATGGGCAGTGCAGTGAGGGTGCATGGGCCGAGGCGTTCACTGGCTCCTCCAGGCCTGTCCTCAACAAGCCTTGGCCGGCCGCGGTGCTGAGGGGCGGGGTTCGGCATCGACGGTTGCTGCATCAGGCCGCATTAGACGATGAAGCGCGATAAGAGCCACAACCACGAGCCCGACTCTCCAGCACACGCCCTTCCCCAGATTTACCCTCGTCGCCGCACCAGGCACTGTGTCGCCCTCGCTGCGACGCCTGCTGCTGCATCGACGACTTGTTTGCTTCTTCGCTCCCGCTGCCTCCCTGCCTCAACTGTCTGCTCCGCCGCCATTGGCCCACCCCTCCTCAGTACCCACCCGCATCTTATCTACGCCATACTATACATATCTGCCTGCCTACATACATCCTTCCATACCTACATACATACATACGTACATACGTACATATGTACATGCGCACATACACATGTACTCACATACACACACACCCCTAGCGCTGTCTTGCCCTACAACACCCGCCTTGTCCACTCCTCCCCTGTGCTTCTCGACGCGTAGAATTTGCAATAGAACCGCCGCCCTCGTCCGGTGTCGCCTTGACTAGTCCCCATCCCCATCCCCATCCCCATCCCCACCCCTTCCACCGCTTGCACTGCTCACCTCACCTCCGCTTGCTTCGTGTCCACTCCAATTCTCCCTTACGCAACCTCTTGCTGCATGCAGTGTCCTTTTCCAGACCGCCTGCAGACCAAAAAATCCCAAAAATCATCCAATATGGTCACCTGGTGCTAATCCTCACCGTCACGGGCCTCTGTCTGAGCACAGTCGCCCTGCAGTGCATGCTGCGAGGGAAAAAAAAGGACCCGGCCAGATGAAGGCCAGTCTAGGCGCCGCCCGCCTCCTCAGCAATCATCGTGAAAGTCCTAATCCGGTAAGGCTCTCACCCTCAATTTTCTGCACTCGACACCACAACCACCCAATCCATGACAAGTCCCGCCGGTGTGTGCATTGCGCCAAGCTGCGCTAGTCGGCCGGCATCACATCGCTCTCTCTGCCGGCCACCTCACCCTCCCCTTCAGTTCGCCTACCTTCGCTTCGCGCTTGTGCTCGACCCTTCTGATTGCCCAATGCCCTCCATCACCGACTCCGCAGGCGACACGAATCCGAGCGGGACTGGTGCTCCACCACGGAATCTTCCTACCAGCTATCGTGACTCGGCGCCACCTATTCTGGCTCTGCTGCTTGCCTTCCGCCTCACAAACGCTTTGGCCTTGCACACCTTTTTCCAGCCAGATGAGTTCTTCCAGTCTCTCGAGCCTGCCTGGCAGCTAGCCTTTGGCGACGCCAGCAATGCCTGGATCACTTGGGTAAACTTCCGCCCCCTCCCCCCGTCGTCTTTCCACCCTCCCCTCACCATAACCCCCACCATCCCTCTCCGCACGTACATGATATATACATATACACTTTGCACATACTCGGCTGCAGTCTCACCATATGAGCAGGAGTGGACAAGCCGCTTGCGCTCTTCCCTGCACCCAGCGCTATTTGCAGCCGTCTATCGTGTCGTGGCACATGTCGCTCAAGCCAGTGGATTGAGCTTACCAGCTAAAGCCGAGATCCTCCTAGTGGCGCCGAAAGTTACCCAGGCCGTCTCCGCAGCCTTGCTCGACTGCTACACATGGAAACTCGCCGGAAAAGTGTACGGTCGTGGCAGCCGTACTGCCCTTGCTGCTGTACGCCAATGCTCCTGCAATCTCCAAGCCCCCCAACTGCTCTTTGCCCTTTTCTAACATTCTCTTGTTGCTCCCCGTCTTAGCTTGCATTGTCTGTCTGCAGCCCCTGGCAATGGTTCTGCGCTACCCGGACCCTGTCCAATTGCCTCGAGACTACCATTACCTCCATTGCCATCTACCACTGGCCTTGGCAGGGTACAACGGACACCAGGCAAGTGGATCCTAGTGCTAAAGCGCAGCATTCACATCCCCATCTCAGCTCCCTCTCCCAGTAAGCCGTGGCATTAAGAAAATCCCTTTCTGGGCGCCGCAACTCCCCCCCCCCCCCCCCCTCTTTAGTCGCGTTAGACTCATGCTCGTGCAGGTTGCGTCTGTCCCTACTACTGGCTGCACTTGCATGCATTCTCCGGCCCACCAATGCTCTCATCTGGATATCCGTAGCTCTTCCAACGCTATGGCAAGCTTCTCAGACGTTGCGGTATGTGCTGGTCCGCGAAACCTTGCTCTGTGGGTACGTTCTTGTCCTCCCTGCATCCGCGGCGCCCTTGTAGTAGTAGTAGTAGTACAAGGTCTTTGTTCGTGACAGGCCATGCACGCATGCTTTCCGTCCGTCTCTCTCCCCACATGCTATTACGCATATGAAAAAAAAGAGAAAGTCAGCAGATCAAACATGGAAACTGACGATACAAAGCTGCGTTGTCTTCCTTGTCTCCTTCGCATCCGACCGCCTGTATTACGGGGTCTGGACCATTCCGTCTCTCCGGTTCCTCTACTTTAACATTGCCCAGTCTCTAGCCGTTTTCTACGGCAAGAATCGTGCTGACTACTATTTCACCGAGGGTTTGCCGTTGCTGCTAACCACGGCACTCCCGTTTGCCATAGTCGGCTTATGGCAATCACTACAGCCTCAAAACCAAGACATCACTGTAGGCCGTCGTATCCTAACCCGTCTATCATGGACGACCATCATCATGACCGTGACGCTAAGTCTAATCTCACACAAGGAAGTCCGCTTCCTGTACCCCGTTCTGCCTTTTCTCCACGTCATATCCGCGCAGCCGCTGACCCAGTTTCTGCCGGCGCACACTGCAGCACCATGGCGACGAGGCACTATCCTCCTGCTTCTTGCAGCAAACATAGTTCTAGCCGGTTACGCGTCGCAGGTCCATCAACGTGGCGTCATCGACGTACTCGGCTACATCCGCCATAAACATGAAACGCGCAATACGCTATCATCCATGTCTTCTTCCCACCAGGACTCCCGCGTCAACACCATCGCCAACACCACTGTCGCTTTCCTCATGCCCTGCCACTCCACGCCCTGGCGCTCCCACCTCGTCTACCCTGAAATCTCCGCTTGGGCCTTGACCTGCGAACCCCCTATTCACATCCCCCTCGCAGACCGCTCCGCCTACCTCGACGAGGCAGATGAGTTCTACATCCGTCCTGGCCCTGCGGCCTGGCTCAAAGCCAACATGGAAGATGTTGAGACGGTGAGGGATGTAGGGAGTAGATCGGGTCAGCATTGGATGCGCCAGGATCCAAAGTTTAAACGCAAGTATCGCCGTGAGTGGCCGCAGAATCTCGTCTTTTTTGAACAGCTGGAAGGTGTTTTGAAAGAGCACTTGGCTGGGTCCAGGTATCAGGAGTGTTGGAGGGGGTTTAATTCGCATTTTCATGATGATTGGAGGAGGGTAGGGGATGTGGTTGTTTGGTGCTTGGATGGGTGATGTTGTAGTATTCTAGTATGTATCGCAGACAAGAACATGGAAGAGACGGGGCATAGTTGATATATTCCATGTCATGATATAAAATAACTTCTTTGACCATTTCTGTATCATTCTAGCTTAAACGGGTGTATGCAATTGCTTTTGATCAACTTCCTTCAGGAGGAACAAAAGATGATTTTTTAATAAATTAGAAGCCGTAAGCAAGAAAGAAAAAAACACAAACGTTCCACCTTGGGACGAACATCTAGAAAAGAGCCTTGGATGCTACACTGAGCAACCACGCAGCATCCTGCCAGCCACCCGCCTCTTCATTCGCCCGCCTCGTCTGACCATCACTACCCTCTCCCTCCCCCGCCGTACTCGGTCGACTCGCCGCCTCTCCCTCGCCATGCTGGCTCTTAACGGCGGCGGCGGCAATAATGGCCTCACGCTCCATTTTCCTGCGCTTAGCCTCGACCTCGCGCCTGAGCTTCAGCTCCTCCTTTGTCAAATCATCCAACTTCAACTCCCTCCCACGAAGCCCCTTGGCATCGTGTGCGTCCTCGTCGTCATCCTCGTCATCCTCGTCATCCGAGCCCTCTCTGTCCTCATCCACGGCAAACAACGACCACCCGATCAGACGATCCATCCAGCCTCCGAGGCCAAACCCGCGTTCGCGCGCCAGCCGCGCAACTTCTTCCTCGTCGCCGTCGGAATCCTCGTCGGCTTCAATGAAGTCGGGCTCGATGAAGCGTTCTTCGGGCTCAGACGCCGTCTTGATGCCCAGACCCGTCATGAGATCCACGCGGCTGCCGGCTCTGCTGCCGCGGCGACTGGGGCGCGCACTGGGGACGCGCGAGCCCATGCGGCTGGCGAACCTGCTGCCGGCGCGCGACATGCGGGGGGAGAAGAAAGACGGGTAGTCTGCTTCGTTGACGTGCTCGCCGGACAAGAGGACCATGTGGTGGTTGTTATTATCGAGGGGACCATCGGGATTGTACTCTGTGTCCTGGCCTACGAGGCTTGTGGAGCTTTCGCGGCGGACGAGCCAGCTTTGGCCTTTGCTATCTCTTGTCTCGCCGGCGATGGCGAGGCCGGCGCGGTGGAGCCATTCGTGGTTGGACTCTTTGGTGTGGTGTTTGATGGGCGGTGAGAAGAGAGGGAGAGGCGCGGTGCCTTGTCTTGTGTGATGCCGCAGCTTGCTGGCTTCCGTCACGCCCGCGACTTCATCTGTGAAGCTAACTCCGGGATGCAGTATGCTTGTGCTCTTGGCTTTTGGTATATCGCCAGCTGCTCGGATCTCAGAATTGGTGTCGACGAAATAGCTGTCGTATGCGTAGGCCTTTCTGGTGTGCTGTCTCGAGTTGCTTCGGGTTTGACTGAGGCTCAGCACGCCCGGAGTGGCGGGAGCCGACTTCTGGGCTATGTAGGATGTGCGAGGTGTCTGGGTTCCCGGCTCGTCGGGTGATGGTGGAACAGATGCATCGAGCGGATATTTGGCGCTGAGCGGGGCTATGGAGAGATTGTGGAGATTCGGGTAAGATCGGCGCGATCGCGAGGTCGAGCGTGGGGTTTCCATGATACTTGGGGATCAGAGGGCGCAGTTACGACGTCGACTGTCCATATATCTCACAGGACGCCAAATTGTGTGCCGTGATGATGGAGTGACCGAGGTTCGACACTGACGCGCACAGACTCTGGGGATGGGAGATTTAGTTTGTTTGCGGTTTAGCGGGCGATCCACGAGATTTTGCACGTGAAAGCGCAGAAGGAGAAAACGACGCCAATCCAGCACGCGAAGGCGATGTCGAGGCAAAAGCCGCCGAAGTTGATGATCGACATGCACGCTCAGGTGGCTAGCTATACAGGCCCATAGCCGTCGCAGCACCTGCCTCGCATTCTCTGAAAGCTCATATGGATCTACGTATTTGCGAGCTATGCACCAGCCTTGGAACTACGACGGCCCTTTTGCGAAGGCTTATCATCATGGACACAATGGAGTTGTGGCGTGCAAACGTCGAGAGAGGCAAAAGCTACCATGTTGCAGCCGGCAGTTGGTGTTGGCAGTGAGGATTCGATACGGTTCGAGTAATGTTAGGCGGCTGCTGTGTGCCGATAGACCCACCACCTTGGAGGGAAAGTAGACCTACGCATACGCTTAAGCATACCAACACGCCACTACCCACTGCTCCATGTGGCCTTTGTGGAGCGATGACGGAGCCAACGGCGATAGGAAAAGTAAGTATCAGGCATGGCTCGGGCCCGAGCCCGAGACGGTGTTGAGACGCGCCGCCCAAGTCCGAGCTATGCGACAGAGCAGCAACCTTGGAACGGGAGCGTAGCCAAACTGCCAAGGGGCTTGTCTTTGGACTAGCCAGCCTTCCAGGCCATGGTTGGGGGGCCCTGGGACGTGAGGCGTTGGTTCTGGCACACAGGGCTTGCGGGGGGGGCGTAATAATCCATACACAAGACATTTAGTCGTGGCACATAGGTTGTCATGATATTACTGTGCAATTATTCACCAGCCGCAGTGTTCCTGCTTACTCTATCACCAATCACACTGGCAAACATGAAAAAAAAGAGCGTTGAGTGACGTACATATCGACTCTGCCCGGCCTGGTGGACCCTTAATAATATTTCGCGTTCAGACAAGCGGACCAAATCCGCTTGCTCTTACTCGAACCGTTCAAGGCGCACTAGAAGCACCCGAGACTTTCCACAACACCAAACCCACGCCCATTATAATCACACTACTTTTCCACGGCCCCGTGAACTACGGCTGACGTTCTTGTCGCTACCGCCTCCCCAGGCATCAGTGCACAAATATCCCCCTCCCCCCTCGGTGCACGCCCCCCCTACCACCTTGTCCTACCCTCTAATTGCAATACCTGCTCGCCATGAACTTCGCCGCCGCCTCGCATCCCCGCAAGACGCCGTCAACATGTGTCCTGTAACAGGCCCATAACCGCGAAGTAAGTCGCCCTGCCCACTCTGTTGGAATCAAACGCCCTTGAATTCGCCCCAGCATCACCAAAGCTTGGTTCGCACCATCCGCAACCATAGATCTGCATCTTGTTACCTGCCGAAACACCATTTCCCACAGTAACTAACGCGTCCAAAAGGCTGTCCGCGCTAGCTTCCTTCTCCATAATTTACCGATACCATCTCCTGTAACTCTTCGCGCACATAACCGCACTATTCTCACACCACGCCCGCCGTTAGCGACCTCCCCATCTACCAGAAACGTAACATTGAGAGCGCGCCGAGGCACAAGCTGAGCTTGTCGCTAAAGGGCTCGACTCCGCCCCATTATCGCCAGAAGACCACCAATCCCATACTACCCCATAATGTCCATATCAGATGGAGATAGCTCGGTCCCGGCCCTGGCCCTTGGCCTTCGCCATTACCGCGACCAGAACGACGAGGAAAGCGTCTACGACAGGATCAGGGAGTTTGTCCGCTCTCTGGGTCTCTCTGCGAGCGACGGTCTCATCTACCATGCTACCGAGAATACACATGAGGACCTGAAAGATGTCCTAAACCCACGCGATCACGAATGCTCATCGAATTGCACTGCAGACTCGCACGGCACCATTACCCCGACCCTCTCCATCCCTTCATCCCCTGAACGCCTACAACCCCTGATTCCCCCCACAAATTATGGTGCGGTTCTGCCCGGGTGCATCTACCGCAGTGGATACCCGCAGGAGAAGAACTATGACTTCATCAAGCACGTTGGTATCAAGACAATCTTGACTCTCGTGCCGGAGCCCCTTACGCCTGAGTTCCAGGCCTTCATGAAAGATGCTGGCATCCAGCACTTCCACGCCCATATACGCGCCAATAAGGGCGAAGTCCGCGTCGAGTCGTGCGAAATGGCACGGGCTCTCCGTCTCATCATGGATCGCTCAAACCATCCCATCCTTGTACATTGCAACAAGGGAAAGCACCGCACTGGATGCACCATCGCTTGCTTCCGGAGGGTGCTCGGCCTCGACCCTGACGTCATCCGCGAGGAATACCACACGTACGCCGGCGTCAAGGCCCGCTTTCTCGACGAGGTCTTTTTCGAGAATTTTGACATCAACCTCGTCATGTGGGTCGCGCGCCAACAAGGCTGGGTCACACCTGAAATGGATATTGCACCGCCCACGCCACCAGCCTCCATCACATCCAGCGGCACCGTTAAGGCTGTCGCTCTCGCATGACCACACATATCCTGTACTACATCATACACACTTTTTCTCTCGCATATTTTGGCGTTCAACAAGGGGGGCCCCATGGAATCAAGGTCGAAGACCATTCCCACTAAAATGATTTGTCTTTTTTTATTTTGGTCCCTTTTCGGGACCCGGCGTAACAAGGGGAGTCAATCAAGGCGATACCATTCAAATCAATGCATTGGGGTTTGTACTAAGGTTGAAGGCAGGATCCGGCGTTTTGGGTACTTTCCAAGTCAACATTGGAACTACACTTCTTTTTGTCTTTCTCTTCTTCTTCTTCTTCTTCTTCTTCTTCTCTCTCTCTTTCTTTCTTTCCTTTAAACTGTTGCGTATACTACACTTGAGTAGTAATGAATACAACAGCTTTGCTTTCGTCATTTTGACCATTCTTTTGGGCTCTTCACAACACCTGTTTTCATCACATGTGTATACACATGAGAACAAACAACCATTCACTTTGTGTAACTGTAGTAATATCTTTTGTACTATTGTTTCATTTGTTTAGTTTTCCTATGTGTAGTAGGAATCCCTCTTTTTATGCCTGGCTTAATATTTTGCTAGCATCACCCCGCCCCCCCCCCCTCTCACCGTTCTTCTTTCTCTCAAATCGAAAACGTACGCGGTTACCGGTAGTTTAGCGCGGCATTAATAATTGTTGTTTCGAATACGAAGAAAAAGAAAAAGAAAAAGAAATAGATTTTGTTTGGGTTAACGTTGGTCCTGATTGCCGACCTACCTACCCTCTCTTTACTACTCTACCCTCACGTGTGCGTGTGTGTTTTGTGTTTGTTTACGTGTTGTTGTGAATTATGCTTTTTTTCCAGGGCCCTGCAGTGATGATCTCGGGTCTCCACTGACGTTACGGACGGTAACGTTTTGCTTTTTTTGTTTTTTTTTACTTTGGGGCTATGTACCTCACCCATTACCATGATTCTAGTGATGCAAGAAAGTCCCTGCAGGTTCTCATAGTGGGGTTTTTTCCCTGTCGATCTGGCCTTGGATTGTGTGGCTGTGCTAAGGAAAAGGGTTCCTGGAGGGTTGGGAAGGGCTATGCAGGGTGTGGCTTTCTTTGCTTTTTGGGAGGCGATGAGGTCATGGGGTCGGTGATGGCCGATTGGCGGGCTTGGAGAGGTAGTGGGTTAGTGAGCGTTACGGACTGTTGGATTGAAGGAATAGCAAGGGTGTGTGCGTGTGTTCAACGGGTTTTTGGTGGATTCGGTATGACGTATGAAGGTGGTTATGTCAACATTGTTCCATGTCCGAACCATTTCAAGTTTCCCAACCTTCTACACTGTAAACTTCAATTCCATACCACGTGCTACGCCATCGCCATCAGACATGCTCGGCGGCCTATCCTCCTTGCTCGTGCCCCATTTACTTTCCTTGTCCCCCAACACTAACTCCAGCGTCCCTCCTTTGGTAAAAAACTCGTGTCCAATCCAATTCTTACTATATTCCTTGCCATCCAGCTTCGCACTCTGAATGTAGATGTTCTTGTACTGCTTATCGAAATTCACGGTACGGATGGTGGCCGTCGCGTTAGTCAACTTATTAGTCACGGAGACTGAGGGGAAGAAAGGAGGAGTGATGAAGTATACGTTTTGACCCGGGTTAGGGAAGAGACCCATCATATGAAAGAGCGTGAAGCTAGCCAAGGAGCCAGAGTCATCGTTACCTGGGAGGCCGCCCGGGGAGGTGTTAAATCGAGATGGGATATCTAGTGTCCAAAAGCGTTAATAAAAAAACAGCACTTGGGTGAATAGAAAGAAGACATACAATAATGCGCCCGCTCAGCCGACAATGCCGGTCTCCCTGCATAATGCGGCAAGGAAACCGTCAAGAAAACCGGCTCGTTTCCTATATCTGCCAAACCCGACGTATGGAAGAAATTCAACCGGCTGATAAACTTTTCGTCACCGCCCACCAACTCAATTACTTGGCTGATATCATGCGGCACAAAAAACATGTACTCCCAAAGACTGCTCTCAAATGTTTCAGCCGCATTGCTTGTTAGAGAGCAGAAACCCGTCAGCGGACTACACGCAATGGGGTCTTGGAAGCCGAATGTGCCGTTGAGGTATCTGGGCTGGAAATAGCCGACAAAACCAGTGTCTGTGCCGTTCACGGAAGATGTCTGATCGGCTTTGAAGAGGTTCTTCCAGTTCGTTGCACGGGAAAAATATTTCGGTGCCGTGTCTTTGCCTAGGCCACGGGCGAGGATGGCGAGGTTGTAGTCGTTGTAGGCGTATTCGAGGGTTCGGGATACGCTGCGTGAGTTTGTGCCGAAGCCGACGGGGTCGAAGTCGAGGGCTGGGATGTAGTTTAGTCTTTTCCAGCTGGTTAGGCCGCCGCGGCCTTGGAAGCTCCATTCCAGAGGCTCGTTTTCGGCATCGTTGACGATGGCTTCATAGGCGAGCTCCCAGTCTATGCCAGAGGTAACATTCTTGACGTAGGCGTCTACGAGGACATTGTCTGCGTTAGAGCCGCCTTGTGTCCAGCCGCTACAGGTGCTCATCATGCAGTCCGGGAGCCAGCCGCGGTGCTTGTACGTGTCTAATAGACTTCTGATGAAGACTGAGATCATTCCTGGATCGAGAATCGAGAGAAAGGGGAGTTGAGCTCGCCAGAGATCCCAAATACAGTAGAAGGAATCGTAGTATGGCTCCGTACTCTGCCAACGCGGGTTCTCGCCCGTGTAGTTCTGGGGAGAAATCATTGTCCGGTATGCCGCACTCCAGAAGTTTACCAGCATGTCTTGGTCTACATCTCCTACTTCTATCGAGATCGGAGACAACTTTTCCCGCCATGCGTCTTCAGCTGACTTGACCAACCGATCAAAGTCGATGTCAGGGTTGGGTATCTCGCGCTCAGCATTCTGGCATGCTTGGTCAGTGCTGATGAAGCTCAATCCCATCCGCGCAAGCAAGGGGCCCGAGAGTGGTCCTTTGAAGCGTACGAAACCTCCAGCCTCAAGATAAAAGTAGTTGAAGCCGCGCGTGACAAAAAGCTGTTTTGGTTCTGTACCAGCTCGACTATTGACCCAGACTCCAGAATCTCTCACCGTTGCCCCAGACAGATCCAGGCAAAAGTAAGATTTGTACGATGATGCTCCAAAGCTGGGAATAAAAGTTCCATTTCCCTTTATTCTTCCGCTTTCAGCACCCTCGGTTGCCTCGACACTGATCGAAGCATTTTGCCGACTCGCCGAAAGATCAGTGAGGTCGAGTAGGACGAGTGGATCTGAGCTTGAATTGCCGGTGGATGCCTTAGAAAAGTTGAATCGAAAAAGAGCTACATGCTCTGAGACGGTCATGTCAGCATATATACCGTTCTCCAGCGACACTCCAAAGTAGCCTGGCCGTGCTTTGACTGAGTCACCTTTGTAATGAGTTGCACGTGCAGCAATTTGATATTTGCAATCATTGATGTCATCTCCAGAGCAGAGCTCTGGGAAAATAGGGAAGTTTCCCAAGCTCGGAAAGCCTCCAGTGCCAGAATCGTGGAGGGCAGAGAATCCAGTCACGTTGCTTCCGTCGGTAGAGAAGCCTCCCGTGTTCGCCCCGTCAACGTCCGCAACAGCTATCTTGTTGTAAGCTTTTCATACTTGTTACGCCCGTAAAGATGCCATACCTTTAGCCATGCCATATGGCAGCGTCGCACCAGCGAAGACATTGCCTCCATCCCGAGAACCAATTAATGGGTCGATAAATTTCAGCACATCTGTACCGTTAGTTTGTCGACGGTGTATCCTCGCCGTTGACAAGGTGATGATTTGTATGAAGATCGAGAAGTGGGTGGTAGTACGCATGATGGGCGTCTTGTAAACAATGCAGTTATGCTAGCTCAGCCCTTCAATGTCACTTAAGAGGGAGTGTCTTTACCACTAAAGACGTGATATTGTACTGAACTTGATCAAAAATAAAATTCTATAGTCGCATAAGACTTATTCAGCGGAAGGACCGGAAGGTTCTTTGACTGTGTCCTGGCTCTAATCAATAGCCTAGGAAATTGGACTCAACAGCGACGTCACTTTGGTTGGTGGTTGATGCCCGCTTTGACAGCGGGGTAAAGTTACCGACAGACTGGAAATGCAACCTCAACTACATGGAAAACCTAGTAGACAACATTAATACTACTCAACTGCTATGTACGGTGAAGGTTTGCCTTCAGGATGAGGCTGCAAGCTTACGTACTATGTCCAGCCCTACGAGCGATCCCGTGGTGTCCCGCTATGTACGCCGCTGGCCTAGAGAACGCCCAGCATTGCTTGGATATTACCCAATAACCGATTGCTTATGTCATTGTATAAAACCCAACAAAATCACCGTAGGATATGCAGTCATTTACTTTCTTGATGCGAATATTACAGAGGCCCCCGTGAGTGCCAATCTCAGAGCCATTTTCCTAAATAGGCACGAGCCGGTAAATGGGAGGAGGGGTTGTCCCGCGATGCCGTGCACGAGACCTCCTATCCAATGAACGGCAATGCCTCATCTTAAAGAAAGGCCAGTGAGTGCTGCAAGACGGAACCCTCTTGCAAGGCCTACGGATGGGCCACGGGTCACGGGCCACAGGTGCAAGTCACGTTTGATCGGGTACGGAACCCGATTCACTGGGGGCTCCTGAGAAAATTAGCCGTGCTCAAGCTTCACAGAGAGTGACGACACAGATGTGGTTTGGAGCTGAACCTGTTTTCAAGTGCCTTTTAGGCGAGTCTTTGATTTCTCCTAGGAGCAAAGGCTTGGGGCTGAGAGGGAGAGAGAAGATAGCTTGAGCCATATTTAGTGTACTACCTCGCGCTCCAAATTCCTGGCACACGTCATCTGCAGCGTCTTGTACTGTCCATCTTGACTGTCCTTGGCTGCAAAAGCGACGTGAGCTTGTGGAGTCTGCCATGCACTAAAGACGATAGCTTCGTGGTGGTTTCGCGCAGCATCACATCGCCAGCCGTGTGCTAATTTAAACGGATGGCTACCTTGAAGCTGCTGCGCATGCCTCTGGACTGCCTCGTCGAAAACCCAAGTGGATTCTTTTGAGACACTAATTCTTTCAATTGCTAAAAAAGGCGCATCCAGTGAAAGCCAGTCCACGCCGCCAAGTTCCACATGAAGTGTCCAACAAAACTGCAGCATCTTTTCTTGGGGGCCGAGAATGTGGTCTTTGGAAGGTGAGGCAAGGAAGTCTATATGAGCATCGAGACTTGGCCATGTGCCTAAAATATAGATCAAGCTGGGATCGTCGATGCAGTTGTAGAAGTGGGAGCCGGTCTGTAGTTCGGCTCGGACGGTCTGTAGGCTCTCAAGCAGTGCCGGGTCGTCGGCTGAGAGCTCTTTTAGACGGAGCTGGGTGACCTCGAGGACGGGCATGGTTTACCGTGGGAGTGGGAACAATGCGATGCTGTGTCACAGACCGATATAGTAGCAGGAAGCGGGAGCACGTGCAGGATGGTGGGTGGATAGAGAAGGAGACCAATGACGGGGAGCAGGGTCCAATTCACAGCGGTTGGACGGCTGGACACTTCGCTGGCTGCGTTAGCGGCTTGGCAGACCACTCCCACGGCCGCTGCTGCTGCGTTCAGCTCACCTCCTGTTTTGGCATCTCCGTTGCTTGGACACCACCTGTGCCTGATGAAGCCTAAAGCCTGCATGCGGGGACTACAAGGTTACGCGAGATTTTCGACGGTTGGCCAATAGCAAGATTCACACTGGTTCCACACAAATGCTTCGCAAGTCCTACCAAATCCCTTCTCTTCACTTTGACGCCATTCACAGTACTTCGGAAAGCCTCCTCGATCGGCCGCATGCAGCTCTAACTATAATTAAGCCCTCGAGACGTGCACTTCTACCTCGAGACTCATGACGATACTAATCCAAGTTTCACGCGCTGTCCAAGATAGTCTGGAGGCGTGGCCAGACTGGTCCAGTGGCAGATCAACCTATCGGCGACGTCCCTCTTCTTGGCGAGGCTTGCCCTCATCTCGTGATGCAGGAATAGTCTGTTCAGCAGCCGCAGGCAGCAGGAAGAGTATGAAGCCGTTATCTCCCGCCATCGCGACGCCATCGCAACGGGCCCGGCGTGTGCACCGGCCCGTCATGAGCGAGACATGTTGCTATGGAGTCCACTGAAGACCATGTTTCATCGCAAAGTCTGCCTAGAACGATCACAAGGCATACATGCCTAGAAAAATGATGCACCAAGCAGACACAGCCCTCGAAGCCATCGACAGCCATCTAACGGTTATGGCTGCATACCGGTGAGCCGGCTAGTAACTGAGCTCCCACTTGCTAGACCTATTCTACCGCTGTCATAGTTACAATACTATCCAAGCTTCTCATTCTATTTGTCCGACACGTCAGTTTTACGGTACAGGGCTGTGAGTCAGCCAGGGTTCAGCCGTACACCTGGCATCCCCTGATTAATGTGCATCAACCACACCCGCGGGGTCGGTCGCTTCGCGCTCCCTGTCTAAGCCCCCAAATTTTGTGCTCCCATACCAGGGCCATTGCTTGTCGTGGATGGACAGAGTATATATCAGCACATGGGAAGCAGCACCCGCGACCGCGGCTACGGAATCCTTCTTCTTGCCTTCACTGCTCATGTCGTCTCCACAAGATCGCGGTAGTGTACTGGACAGTTCTTCAAGCGACTCGCCAACACTGTCGGACTGTCGAAATGAGAGCATAGCACCACTGCCCCGCAGGCCCATTCCAAGGAAGGGCCATACCAAGTCACGCCGTGGGTGCTACAGTTGTAAACGACGACGTATAAAGTGCAACGAGCGACACCCCGAGTGCAGTCACTGCCTCAAAGCTGGGCTACAGTGCGAGTATCCTGCCAACATCATTCAGGCAACTCAGCGGTCCAATGCTATCTCAGGCCCACGGGAGGCAGGCAACTTCCGGTCCGCTCCAGGAGTATTCGTGAGCACTTCCCTAACCCTCTAGTTAGTTTCAAAGTACCTGACCACCATAGTCTATGGGAGATATGCGCTTATTTCACCATTTCCTCATCACTGCATACCCACATCTTCCTGTGGGGCAGGATAAGATATGGGTTACTGTAATTCCCAGCTTTGCACACAACGTAGGTTATCTCTAAGAAGGTTTCGAAAGAAGAATCTCCTCCAAGCCGATGAATCGTCAGATCCCAGATTTGTAGGCTGATTCTCGCAGTATGAGTATCTTATTCATTCGATCCTTGCCCTATCTGCATCCCATCTGGATGCTGTAACAAACTCCGGTGTTGCTGAGCAAGCTATACAACACCGAATCCTGGCAGTGAAATCGCTCAATGAGGCATTATCAGTACCCCCGAAGACGCGATGTGAGCGAGATGCTAGAATGGCAGCTGCCTTGGCTCTTGCATTCCAGTCAACCCATTTACAAGACGGCATGGCAGAGTTCCTCACCATGGTCCGTGGTTGCAATCTGATTGCAGGAGACGAAATGTCACTGAACGAGGATTCGGTTTTCCATGTACGTAGTATTTCCTCCAATCAAGGCTGCAGCCTCATCCTAACGCAAGCTAGGTATTCCGCGAAGACAGTCATCTCCAAACAATACGCAACCGCATTGACAACTCGTCAATGAGCTGCGTTAACCCAGAAGATCTCGACCTAGCCTCCGTGTCCCTCAGCTCAATCGAGTCCCTCCACATGTCCGACTGCGAACGGTCATATTGGGAGCACCTCGCCAGTGTAGTAAACCACGCATATGAGAGACCGATCGACGCATATACTGCCTTTGTTACACTATACAACATTCCATCGCGGTGGACACATGAACAATTCCAAGCCTTCATCGACCCCAACAACAACGTTGCGCAGATCTTGCTCGCCCACTTCATCGCTATCCAAGCCATCCTTACACCCATCCTTTATTTCGAGCGGGTGGGCTTTCAAGGAGTCAACGCCCCTACCGCCGTTTTGAGCTGGATCGAGGGTATATATTGGAACGTCACACAACACTTACGGCATTACGTCGAATGGCCTAGGCAAGTCTCAAAGTACCCCTTTGAACAATTCATGGGCCAGAAGCAGTCGGATAACTCTGACATAGACCCGACTTTGCTATGACAGAGTCAGAGGCAAGATCATACTAACGAATTACTACGAAGTTCTTTCCTTTTTTTTTCCTCTTCTATTAGCCCTGGATTGGCATGAACTGCAATGACATTTTGTGTACATATGCTGCATTTGGAGTTTTATCCTGTAACTTTATTGTCTCTTGTAAAGCTCACCGTTATGCGATAGTCCAATCATGTTGTCAGAAACTTCCAGGGACTTTACTTTCCTTTGTCATCCATCTTTACAGATCCCTTCAAATGCCGAGTTTCTGTCCTTCATCCTCTCATTTGTTCAGCAGTGCTATAGTCACTTAAAAAACACTTCAAGTACCAGGGAGTAGGCTCATAACATGTATTGCAATGATCTGATCTTGTTACCTAAGATAGTGTGAAACCTTTCCGCATCCTAACGTGACTGCATAAAGAAAAAAACCGAGCGAAGGTGACCAGACTTTTACAAAGGAAAAGAAACGAAAAGCGAATGTCGTGTGAATCCGTAAACGTGGAAGAAAAGAAGAAAAAGCGAGCGTCGTGTGAATCCGTATACGAGAAAAAGCAGCGAGTGAACGTCGTGTACGACCATGTGTGAAGAAAAAAAGAAGGGAAAAAAAGGGGAAAGCATACAGTACCCAACACACTCCTCTCCCTCGATCAAACCCCCATACTAGCCACCCATCTCCTAAACCCCCCCTTCCCCCTCTCCCTCCTCATCTCCACCCTCTCGATCTCCACCCTAACCTCATCCCTCAACTCGCCCACCCACCTCGCGGGCCCCTTCTCCCTCACAACCCTCTCCTGCGCCTTGACCCAGTAATCCTGCTCCATAGCGCGATCCTTGACGCGATCGCAGAGCCATTCGAGCCACTCGCGGCGATCCCAGCCACAGCGACTGCCCCATTTCTGCTTGACGCCGAGAGCAAAGTCGTCAATGTCTTTTTTGGCGCAGCGCGGACACAATGTTTGTTGCGGGTAGAATGAGGTGCCTGGGAGCGGGGTGCGGTAGAAGGTGTAGAGGTGGTTGGAGTAGGGGGTGTAGTGGGTTTTGCAGGTTGCGCTGATGCAGGGGCGGAGGGTGTAGCGCCAGTCCCATGTTTCGTGATGCCGTTGTTGAGGTTTGTTGGGGCTACTGCTACCGCTGATATTGCTCTTGCTGGCAGTGGTGGTGGGTTGAGATGGGCAGCCTAGGACGCGGCGTTTTTGCATTCGGATTAGTTTGGCGTTGTGGATACGACGGTCGTCGCGGTATTCTTCTTTTAGTTCTTCGAATTCGGCGGCGACGGTGCCGAGAGTTTTGCGGCCTGCATTTTGGCGGAGCATCTCGTAGGCGTGCTTGAGGGTTGCGTTGGCTTCTTCGAGCTCGCGGACTGCGTGGCGAGGACAGTGTGCGTGCAGATGAGATAGGAAGTATGGGCCGCTGGCAAGGTAAAATGATGGACCTAGGTGGGATGGCGTGTAGTGTGCCTTGCATGAAGGATATAGACATGGTATGTAGTTGTCAAGTGGGTTATATTGGCCCGAAGGAGCGGTAAAGAACGCTGATGTCTGTAGGGTGGCTGGCGATGATTGAGTAGAAAAACGGGAGGTATTATATTTTGAAGACTCATAAGACACTCCGCGAGACTTTGGACCAAGGGATGGCGGCTTGTAATGTGCCGGTAACGGGATTCCCGCCCATCTTGGATCGGGCTCTTGGGAGGCTGTCTGTGCAAGCGATTTGTGACTGATTCGTCTCTTAATAGCTTGAATGGACATAGTATGAGATGCTGGAAGAGAACTTGGGCGGCTAAAATTAGGTGGTGCAGGTGCTGAGTTGTATTGAGAACCATTGATCTGTTTGGACAAACTCGCAGTCGGGCTTGCGAATGGGAGGCCATTGTGGAACTGAGGTGTCGGAAGCGGACTCGGTATTTTTTTGATTATGCATTCTGGTGTTTGTATAGTCCTACGCTTCACTGCCGGCTTAAATCCCAACTTTGGTACCAGTTGTGGCTCTGCGAATCGTACAATGGCTGGTGATGACTTGGAATGAGACAATGTACGCATCAATTCAGGTGACTTGAGGCTAGGCTTCAGGCTCGACCTGGCCGAATGCGGGGTCAATAATTCGGGCTGTGGGGTCAACAGCTCATGTTGTAAAGGTGGTAACTGTGGTGGTGTCGTTGACAGCTTAGGTGGTGGTGTTGACGGCTCCGGCGATGATATCGAAGACGAAGATGAAGCTGAATCATCATAATCAAAACTGAGATTTGACTCTGATGAAGCCAGACTCGATGAGTCGCTAGTATTACTGTAGATAAAAGGCATATTAAGAGGTATTAAGCCAGCTGCAGCTAGAGAGTAGGTAATGACTGTTGGGGAGCAGCTCGACGAAGCGCTGGCTGGTCAAACATGGCGGGCAGCCTACTTTTGTGTAGTGTTTGATTACTGAGGAAAGAGTGCATAGACATGTCATTCCTGGGATACGTAGTCTGAGACAGAATCTCCGGGGATGATGCCGGCATATTGCCGAATGGAAGCCTCATTGGCGGGCAACCATGCTGAAACTAAAAAAAGTATCTTTTTTAGGGCCGTTGGAATTAATCGATAAGCAGTGGTCGATGTTATTCTAGGGACTCGAAAAAGGGGGCTGATGATCGTGAGCGGTTTTCACTGGCGCGCCAGGAGGTGAAGATTATAGGAGAGTACCAATGAAGATAGGAATAGAGCGGCGTTGCTTAGAAACATATGAATTGGCTACGGTATTTCACATAGAAATAAACAACAGAAAGACCCTAGAGACACAACGTATAGAGAGGGAAAGTTGTTGTTGGCTTGGTTCCGTTAGCCAGCGACAACAGCCAAGTCAGGCTCACTCACAAAGAATCTCTCCTGTTTACCCCCGTCTCGCGAAGGGAATTTTGCTTACAAAGTCTCAAAGGGTTAGCGATTATACACTTCAGCTGACCACAGGTATTCGTATAGTCTACGACACTGCAGAGGCATGACCTTGTCGGAATCCTGCCCGCCAAGCTTGGCCCATACAGCCATGTGGTGATCGACGTTAGTCGCCTCCCGCATATGCAGAGGACATCCAAGCGAGGTTACAAGGGTCTGCCACGCGAGAAAAAAAAAAGAAGCGCGCTTAGATGATGACGTTGCTACTGCTGTCTTATACAGTGTAACCATATGGGTATGTGGTCGACCACACTCATGCAACGCCAAAATCAAACTTTTGCAATTGCCCAAAAGTAAAGAGGTATAATGGCATATAGTATTCTGATTCTAAGGGGTTCTTTTTCCTCCGAAAGCACAACTTGAAACGTTCTTTGCATAGCAATGCCCAAAAAGAAGTAGATTCTTGAAATTGGCTAGAAGAACGATTATAGCTTGGGTTGTTTCTGCTTGAGCATAGCTTCGGCGACCAGACGTCGTTGTATCTTGCCGGTCGCGGTCTTGGGCCTAGAAAGGGGTGGTTAGTGCATTCTTCAACTCTAAGGCTAACGTCCACATACATGATGTCGGTGAAGAAAATCTGCATGATATTAGAGAATGTTCCGTATTATTTTTAGGAGTGGCATGTTGGCGTACCTCTTTTGGTAGTTTGAACTTGGCAACACGGTCTGTCAACCATGTCTTCAGCTCACCGGCAGAGAGTGTCTTGCCCTCTTTGACCACAATTGCCAGGCCAATATCTTGGCCGTACATCTCGTCCTCAACAGCAAAGCTCACAGCCTCGGAGACGGCAGGATGCTGCGCGATGACGTTATCAAGTTCGATTGGGCTAATCTTCTCACCACCCTTGTTGATCAACTCCTTGATTCGACCAGTGATGATAACATAACCGTCAGCATCTTTCTTGCCTTGATCTCCAGTGCGAAAAAAGCCACCCTTTGTGAAAGATGAAGCATTGGCGGCGGGGTTGTTGAGATACCCCTTGGTAACGTTCTCGCCTCGGATGCAGATTTCTGCTTCTTTACCCTGCGGCACCTCGTTGCCAGCATCGTCGAGGATCTTGATCTCGACACCCTGACCAATTCCCACACTACTGGGTTTGCGCTGGCCCGGTGGAAGAGGGTTGCTGGTCATCTGATGCGAGGCTTCAGTCATGGCATAAGCCTCCAAGACGGGCGCGTTGAGTGCTTTCTCAAGTTCGTGGAACGTCTTTGGGGAAAGTGGGCTGGAGCATGATCGGATGAAACGGATATGCGGCATGGGGCTTGGGAGAGGACTCTTCAACAGGATTTGATGAATGGTGGGAACGGCCGTGTACCAATTTGCCTTGTGTTCCTGGAAGTCTTTCCAGAACTCAGAGGCAGAGAACTTGAGCGGCACAATGACAGAGCCACCAGACGCCAAGGGAGCAAGGAAGCCAGCAAGAAGACCGTGGACGTGGAAGAGAGGCATGACCAGCATAGTGCGGTCCTTGGCAGACAGTTCGTAGGTGGCCTGGATGTTCTTCATGGTACGCAATAGATTGCGATGCGTGAGCGGAACAGCCTTGGGGCGTCCAGTCGTACCGCTGGTGTGCAGTACGAGCGCGACATCCTCAGGCTGTGCCGAGAGAACTGGCGAAGTTTTACCCGCGAGCTTTCCGGCCTCCTTTACGTCCAAAACAACCTCGCTGCCGTTGTAGTAACACTCTGCAATCGCTGCATTGTATTTCCTCGCAGCTCGGACCGCCGCCGCGTCCTGAGCAAACGCGCCTTTGGGGACGAGCGCAATCGCCGAGCTTAGGTCATCGATGTAGAACTCGAACTCGGATTGCTTGTAGGCTGGGTTCAACGGAGCAGCGATGGCTCTCTGCCAAGATGCAGCGATGAAGGACACGATGAACTCGTACGTGTTGGGTAGCGCAATAGACACAGCTGCCTCGGCAGATACTCCGACCTTTGCCAGTTGCTGCTGGAACGCCTTCACATCTGCGGCCAACTTCTTGTATGAAACTGTCAAGGCTGGTGTACCGGGGACAATGATGGCCGTTGATGACGAGTCCTTGGAAAAGGCTTGTTCCAAAGTAGTGGGAGACATTGTGATTACAAGTTGGATCTGGAGCACTCAATCAGCGAGATGGTTCAGTCGCAGGGGTGGGTTTATCTGGGTGTACCTTTCTAGTTTTGTGGCGCGCAAAGCAAATATCTATAGATTTTATACAAACACCGAAGCCTGCTCGGATGTGTCTATCGTCGTCTTTAAAGGACCGTTATCGGATGTTGAAAACAGGAGCACTGGCAAGACGGGACAGTAATAGTCGTTCCTGAAAGTGATACGTAATGCAGCTAACGCATTAGCGTGGGGAGCCTGCACCAAGACACGAACCGCATGCCGCCTTGCCGACTCCACCATCTCTCACCACAACCTCAATCCCCGCCGCCGCCATATTATCGACACCACCACCTCTGCTGGTCATGACATTCCTGTCGCGACACAATTGCTAATAATATACGGGCTGTTTAATATCCATTCTTCCCCCGCGACACCAGCAAACACCACGGAACGCGTCCTTGCGCACAGCCGCACCTGCTTGCGCATCACCACATCATGGCATCTCCACCGCCGCAAAAGGCTGCCGGCCTGCCGAACCCATATGCCCAGAGGGGCCTTCCTAATCCATATGCCTCGGCCACCATCTCCGCTGCGCCTGTCAAGTACACCGAGGAGCAGGCCAAGGCCGAACAACAGAAGAAAGCACCTGGTAGCTACCTGAACTGCTCCACACTTTGACCTTGACGCACAACTCATGCAAATGTGCAGCTTTTCATAATCCACACAACATCAAGCGCCCTCAGGCGAAGAACCAAGCCAAGAAACCCGGCACAACTGTCAAGAAGCCTACCATGCCTGCACTTGCCCCGGTCTCCTCTTCAGGCCCTGGACCCGCTGCCGCCAACCCCCAACAGCACGGTATCGACTACTACCGGAGTACCGCTGACGACGATGCCGCTATCCTAGAAGAACGTAGGATGCGCAACTATGAGGAAAAGCAGCGAAAGAAGGAACAGAAAAAGTTCAACAAGATGTTCGGCCAGTGGAATCCACAGGCGCCTCACAAGCCCGAGCGATATTCCAATCTACGAGCTTACAGGGCTAGCGGTGGCTACCAACGCAAGAAGGAAGGTTTCAACGCATTCTTGCGAGGGGCGGCAGCCCAGTACAGATCTCATAATGAGAGCGAACCCTTGAACGGCTCCCGCTCAACATCTTCATCTAGTCCTACTCCAGCTGTAGTGCCCACCAGACCATCATTTGCCCCGCCGGCCTCCTACGATGACTCCCCTGCAATGCTGCCCTCTGACCAGTCCGGAGAAGATGCCTATGCTCGCCGCATGCAACTATCACAGCCACAGCCAAACAGTGCGCCGTCTCCATCTGCACACGAGCCTGTACCTGGATATCCTCCACCCCCTCCTTCAGCCACAAATGATTACACGCCTCCACCCCCGCCTCCACCACCAGCTACTTCTGTGCCGACACCTTCAACCTACCAAGGTGCCACTATATCTGCGCCACCCATACGATATGCGAACGCGACCATTTCAGCACCCCCAGTCCGTTATGAGCGTCCCGACATTCCAATGGAAGATCTAGACGATGAGCCAACCCCAGAAGAACGGCCATCGAAGCGTCCCAAGATCAGCAAGGCAGAGGCGATGATGGCCAAGATGGGGTACAAAAAGGGCCAGGGTCTGGGCAAGAACAACGACGGAGTGGTCACTCACCTGGAAGTCAAGATGCGCAAAGTTCCACAAGGGACCAGCACTTTTGACGATGAAGGCGGCAAAGTCAAATCACAACAGGTCTGGGATGTCCGCGGTGGCGCACGCAATCAGAAAGATGAGCCTGGCAAGTTTGGCGAGGAGTCTTCTGTCGTGGTTACTTGGGGTTGCGTAGATGGTGTTGATTGGGACGCCAACGCTGATCGCAACGACGGCGGTATCCGCCAGGACATGGGCGAGGCGTTTAGCAACAAGGTAGGTTTTTCCCCCTCCCGAAAACGCGTACCTTTTTTTGGGGGGTGCGGTCTAAGGGTCTCCTCATTTACTAACATCACGCAGTTTGGCCCAGTCGAGCACGTGCAGCTAGACGAGAACAACAAGGACGGTGTTGTCTACATCCACTTCCAATCCGTCCTCAGCGCCCTCAATGCCGTCAACCGTTTCGACGAAGGGTGGGAGTTTAGAGGCAGGAAGATTCGCGCTAAATACTATGATGAGCGTAAGTTCCATGCGGGCATTTATGATTATTAACCGTTGCCAATTTTTTTTTCTTATGATCGAGTGTTTGGATGAAATAGGGCTTGTGGATATTTCACGCTGTAAAATTTTTGTTACTTTTTTTTTACTTTCTGGTATTCACTTTCTTCTTTCCTGTCTTTCTCAGAGTGTGAGAGAGAGAGAGGGGGGGGGGGTTATTGATACGAAGGGTTCAAGCGTAGAATGCATGTACGGTAAAAAAAAAGGGATTTCGGGAGAGCAAACATGTGTTCTACAAAGGCGCTAAAAACTTCGTATGTACGATATAAAAATTAAGTGGGCAGCCGGGATATGCATGTCATGTTTACACGGCATTCACATGTATGCTTGGCTATGTGACTTGAAGTACTGGATCCAGAAGGTCAATGCGAATTCACACCAGATAAAATTTCCACTTAATACGTTTTATTAAAAGTACCACTGCTGCACGCAAAAATGTCTATACTCTTGCCGAAAATCTCGAACCGTCATACTAGTTATCTTGAAAGTGGCCAAAAAAAATAAACTAAAACAAAACGAGCTTATAGTCCATTGATCCCTCAGTAGTTACTCATACAGGCATCACAAGGTGTGCCCTTTTTGTTGTTTGTGAATTCCCCCCACAGCCCAAGCCATACAACCAATGCGTGCGCCCGACTCCCTGGGTATATACTTTCTCCTCACATTCCTTCCCCCCTCCTTACTAATAACACACAGCAAAGATGCTCATCAGTCTAAGCATTTCCAGGCTTCTCATCCGTGTCGATATGCCAGACGACATAGTTTGGCAGTCCATAGACACCGTAGCCAGCTCGGTGTGCCATTTTAGCAAAGCCTTCGGTTTCCGCCTGGTTCTCAAAGGCGTAGCAAGGGAAGTTGATTCCCGAACGATGAACATCTGCCTTTACGATGATGTTGACACCACCGATACCGTCGAGGGGTATTTCCTCGTCCTTGTCTGCGCGCCAATCACCCATTTTGGCCATGTACTTGCGGTTGGTGGGGTATTGCTTGTAACCTGCACAAAATTAGAGCAGTGTTGATAGTGGGAAATTTGAAGCGATACAAACCTTCTGCAAGGACAACGTTCTTGTCCAGAGAAGCTGCAAGTTTAAGACCTTCAGGGGATTCCTGCCAAGAGTTGTAGTCGACTGTCCTCATTAGTAAAGGCACTCTGACATATCAGGCTGAAGATCTTACATCGCCCTTCAATGTCAACCTTCTTGCCATTCTCTTCCTTGTATCGGTGGAACCAGATATCTGCGGCTAGTCAGAATTGCTGCGCTTCAACTCTTGTTGACAAACTACTCACTGGGAACAAGCACATCGCGATCGTGTGCAACAAAATCCTCGATAATCTTAGATGGACTGTCCACAATGTCCACATCTCTCCAGTAGACCCAGCTGTGGTCGGGCTTCAAGGCAGTTGTGAGTAGGTAGTTTCTCGCTCTACCCAGCGCCTTCCGCCGTGGACCCTGAGCCTCGAAGCCGTGGCGGTCCTCTACACTCTGCGAGAGAGTTACACCAAAGTCCTTTTCGACAATCATGGTCGATCTGAACGCAATCTCCGGATTGTTCTGTATTCTCTCCAGCTCCTTGGCCAGTACCGCCACGGTATCATCTGTGGTGTCGCCAACGAGAAACGCCAAATCGATCAGATCGTGAGGGTATGTCAACTGGGCGATAAGATCGAAGTGCTTGGGCAGATAGAAAGACGCATCGCGGAGTGGGGTAAGGATCAAGACGCGTTCCTTATTTTTGACTGCGTTGGGGGTGGACTTTATCGAGTTGAGATTTACGTGCTGAATATCGGTGGCATTAACCTCGATTGGCTTGTGATGGTTGAATACGACAGGTGTAGTCAAGTGAGCGTGCCATTCTTCGTTATCGTTTGGTGACATGTGCATGGGTGGTTTAGAGGGGCCGAAGCAGTAGAACCTAAGACGAGGGCATTAATGACGGACATATGAGGCCACGGGCATTACCCTGGTGCTGGTATGGAGCCATGGATGGGAATAGCGTACCTCTGCAGCTCGCCAGTGGCTGAGCCCATAGAACGCCATAGCAAGATAACAGCTGTCAAGAGAGCTAGAGACAGCAGGAATCTTGGATTGCGCGCCGTGTGCAGGACCTGGCGCGAGGGTGGCAGTCTTGCCTGGGCGGCCTTCCACGAGTATCCTTTGCCCGCAAGCATGTTGAGTCGGTATCTGCCTGCGTTGTCCTTATCCTCGGGCTGGTCCCCTCTAGCCTGGGACAGGCGTATTGACGAGCTGCGTGCTCTGACCGTGTCGGAGTTTGTCGTCTCCCGTTGCGAGTGACGCGGCGATTGCGGGTGTGATTGCTCCAGTTTGGCGGACTGGGGCGCCTGGGGCGCGAAGGGCTGAGGGCAGTGGCAGTGGCAGTGCGACTATGTGGGTGGGTGGATGTTTAGAGGTGACGTCGCAAGATGCTCAATTGGTAAGGGCGGAAGCGACAGACGCGGACAAGAGGTCGCTGACTATGGAGCCCGGACTGTCACTGGCCGGCAGATAAGGAAAGGGCGATAGGCAAACGACAGGCGCGCTTGGTGTTGCGAGGCAAGTGCAACCATGGCTGTGAATGCATTCAGCGCAAGCACCATGTGCAATTGCAAAATAACGCTAGTAACTGTAGATCAATCGCCATAGGTCCACTGATGACGACGACTCAGAAATGAAATCAGTCTCGCTCATGTCCCTTCACTCGACCGTACCAGACTTCACCCAACCTGGGCTGATTTGTGCAGCCTCAAAACGTCCCGTCCGTTGCAGTTGTCGCCATGGGCAAGCCGTCTTGTCAGCACCAACATTATCTTGGGATCCCTTGTCCAAGCTTACAGCCACCCGCCGCTCATTTGGTGCTGCGGCCGCTGCCAAGGAGACGGAGGTTCCCTTGACCCCTCCTCCAGTCTTATCTACCCAGATGTCGGATGTGGTAGCTAGTTTGCGGTGTGTAGTAGTAGTTGTTGTTGTTGTTGTTGTGGACATGGAATGGAGGCATGCGCCCAAGCGTGCAACCCGCAGAAGAAGAAGGGCTCAAGCATGTGATGGCGGTCAGGCCTAAATACGAAAACAACTACGTAATGTTTATTTACTTATTTTTGCCTGTGAACAGCGCCGTATTCCAAGCATGAATACACTTGGCCGGGCCTGCTATATCAATCTACGTCATCAGATTGATTACAACGTGTCGCACTTGTCACGAGCGGCTTCTTCTAGTCACAAATAACAAACGGAGAGCTTGATTTTGCAACAAAACCGGCCGGCCGCAGGACTGCTGCACAGACAAACCGTCGTTACACACTTGCACATGGAAATATGCTTGGCTCGTCTCGGACCGAATAGGCTTGGATTCAACTTTTAGCCATCTGCACGCTCAACTCCACGAGGTAATTTATGAACAGAAATAAATGAAGAGAATGACTGTATGAACTATCCCAAACCAAACCTTCCTCGCGGCACTGCTACGCCCCACGTCGCTCGACAGACTTAGATATACTGCGGATTAAATGTCTGCCTCGACCCTTTTAGCCAAACAATACATACAATTGTTACATGCTGATCCATGAACCATCCCCACAAGCCCTCCCTCCTCCAGTCCTCAGAAGCTGAACCCGGGTTTCACGCCCGTTTCTGCTCGATGCTGTACGCTATCAAAAAAGAGTCAAATCCTTGGGGGGTGTAGTCTATGCGATACGGTGAACGCCAGCGTCATCAACCTGCTTAAAAGAAGAGCACAGCGACCATGGCGGCAAGGCCAAGAGCACCGTTGACAGGGCTGAGCGAGGTAGCGGCGCCCTTCTGGCCGCTGCTTCCGCTTCCGCTCTGCTTGGTGGGGTCGTGTCCTTGCTCACCGGGGTCGATGAGAGTTCCCTCGCAAGTGTAGTCCTTGCTCTGGATGAGCTTCTTGGAGTAGAGGTTCTGGTAGAAGTCGCAGGTGTCGTTGAGCTGAGCAGACGACTGGATGTTGAAGGCACCCTTGACGCTGTTAAGCTGGGGAGTGGAGACCCTGGAAATTGATTAGTAAAGACTTTTGGTTCATCTCGTGAAATGTACTTACTTGCTGAAGTTGCCGCTCATGTCGAAAGCACCGCCAATGCTCTTGAGTTGAGGGAAACCGTCAACCTCGACGAGCTTGGAGTTGTTGGCAATCTGAATGTTGCCGTTGATCTTGGTAAGGAGAGGGAAGGAAATGTTGTTGAGCTGCTCGTTGGCGACAATAGCAACAGCCTCACCAACGCTGGTCAGGTTGGGGGCAGAGAAGGTCTCGAAACCGTTGTTGTACAGACCAAGAGATCCGTTGAGGGTCTCGAGGGAGGGAACGGAGACGGAACCGCAGAAACGGAAAGTCAGGTTGCTAGCCCAGATGAGGTTGGGAAGCTCGACCTGGACGGCCTCGTTGTTGTCGGCAAGGGTCAGCGAAGTGGAGACGTTGCCAAGCTGCATGGAGATGGAGTCAATGTAGCCGTTGTTGGCAATGAAGATCTCGTCAGCCTCCTCAATGTTGATGCCCTTGAGCGAGCGGAGAGCAGTGTTCTGGATGTCGACCTTGTCGGCCTGGGTGACCTCAGAGGTGAAGCCAATCTCCTGGAGGTTGGGGAGCGCCTGCCACTGGATCGAGTCGATGGTCTTGAGCTTGGGGAAGTTCAAGGCGTAGAGGGAGGTAAGGCCCTCGAGGTCCATGGTTCCGTCAAGAGTCTCGAGGTCGCTGGCGCTGATCTGCTTTATGTTAGAGTTGTTATTGGCGACCAGGTTGCCGGTGATCTTCTGGACGCCATCGATGGCGATGTCCTCGGTGGTGCCGGTAGCAATGGCGATGCTACCCGAGAAGGTCGAGCAGCTGGCCAGGGCAGTGGCATCGCCGGCATTCTGGATGGTGGTGGTTGCGGAAACGCTGCAGGCGGCTGAAGGAGCTAGTTAGCGAGGCCGCGCAATCACGTCTTGTTGGGAAAGCAAACACGCACCGTAGGCAGTGCTGGCGGCGGCAAGGGCCGGGGCAGCGATCTTGAGCATGGAAGGCATTTTTTGTTGTGTAGTTGAAGCAGGACGGTAACTGCGAGTAAATGTAAGCTGGCGCGTCGAGACAGAGAGTGGAGTCGGCCGAAGGCTGCGACAGTTACGTACCTGGGATGTTAAGACTGCTCGCACCGTTTCAGTTTGGTGGGCGCTGAGGAGAAGTGGGAGCGGGTGCGGGAGCTGGAGCGAGAGGAAGAATTAACTAGAAAAGCAGGCAGTATTAAATGGAATAGTCCCAGTGGCGCGATTGGAGAAGGCGCGGTCGTCAAGAGCGAGTGGATGAAGACAAGGAGGAGAAGAAGAAGAAGGACTTTGCAAACAAGAGCGAGAGCGTGGAGAAAAGGGGAGCGCGATGGTGCCAGACGCGGCCGGCGCTAGGGGGCGGCGCTAGTGGTTGCGCCGGCGATCATTGGCGGCCTGGGCGGGTGCCCAGCATCATCGATGCTCACTTTGGACGCAGTCAATGCCGCAGACGGACCATGGATGCTTGCCCGCCTGGCGCCACTGCTGCTACGACGACGCCGACGACGACGACGACAACCACCACCACCACCATCCATGGCCATGGCAAAAACCACGGCCACTGGCCGCATCCTGCCTGTCGACCGACCCCATGCGCTGCTGCGGACCTGACTGCTCTCTCTTTGCCAGTCCCATCCACCTACCCTAGAGAGGGCCCAGCATGCCCGCGGCGTCGGTCCCAATTTCACCCTCTGCACGGCCGCCCCGTTATCCCTCGCAAGCAAGTGCAAGCAGCATCCAAATCCTGTATTATCCACCATGTGCGGGCCTCGCATCCAGGATAGCGTCTGCATCGCCCCCTCGCCCTCCTTGCTAGTACTATGTAGTCCTCTAGCAGCCTGGACGCGACTATGATGCGCCCTCCTCCGCTAGCTGCCTGCCACGTCCATTCTTTGTGCGCTCTTCACAACTGCCAGTTGCCAATTGCACCCACACAGGCGGATGGGCGGCACGTTGTGCTGTAGTGCAAAAGTCAACGGGCAGCCACTGTCCACTGTTGCCACTGTCTTTGCCAATGCGAAACACAACAAGCAACTGCCTCTTACGCGGCCTCGACTAGGCCGGCCCCCCCTGACGTCGGTCTCGAGCGCCTCTCCAATCGCTCCAATGCGGTTACATCCGCTCCTCATCCGGCTAGCCTGCCCGTTGCAATCTCCACCCTCGCTCAACACCAATAATGCTGCCAACAAACTGTGCTATTCTTTCCTCTGCCCCCCGGCGACCGCTTTGGGCCCTCCTGCTGCTTTGCGCTATCGTGCAGCCGCCTCCTTTACCGTCCCCGCGCCCAGTTGCATCATCCACACCCGCAGCCTCATTTCCTTTCCCCGAGGCGTTCACAATGCTCACAACTGCATCCGCTCGCTTATCGATTCCCTCTCCCCGAAGAACAGCCTCGCCAGCGTCCGCCAAGCAAATTACAAGACCCGCATTAATTCATGTCTCATTTCCCATGCCAGGCCCCATCTCTCGACATCAGCCCACGCCCTCTCCCCTTCGTATCCCGCTACTTACTTGCTGAAACAAGTAGACAGGTATGACATCGCTGCCGCCAGCATCTTGTTTCGAAATGCAAGATATTCTAGAAAGCGCCAAGTCGGTCGCGAAGCTTGCACATGCTCATGTCCAACACACACTCGGTCTTGTTTTTGTCGCGACAACAAGTTTCCTTTGTTTCAACATCTCTATTTTCGCCGCATCTTGCTACACATACCACCATGACAAAGCAACCACATGGGAATTCCAACCTGTGATTTACATGGTCTCGGGCCAAGACAACAAACCTCCTTCACCATGCCCGGATCTTGATACTCCCACTGCTTTCTGTTGATGTTCATCCCCCGTAATCTGCCTTGCACCCACTGTTAGCCGTGCGGCCATTTTAAGCACACCGAAAGAAAGAAACATGGCCCAGCGGGTAACTCAAATTTCCCTTAATATCAAAAGTGGCTCCTCGGCAAACACCTAATGGCTATCCAAGTCTAGGTGTCTACAGGAAGGACCTACACCGCATGTGTTGGTTGTTTTTAGTACGATAAGGCCCGACTGTATGACTGTGCTTGTCATGCTCAAGAGGTCGTCCATGTACGTTGCAGCTCAACATGACACAGCAAACAGCACAGCACTTGTCCTGCTCAGCTAGCCGATGGTAGCTGTTCTAGAAAAGCTACCTAGGCCCACAGACCATTTCTTTTCGATTGGCCATTACACCTTACCTTGTACGATACTTGCACAACAAACTCAATATAGTCTCGGCCACACGTCTTTGCTTGCGCTCAACCTTTTACCCAACTTTGTTTTTTAACTGCAAGGTTGCCTTACCAAACATACTGTACAATGCCCTGCATAGTTCAATTCAAGGGTCGTGTTCCAATATAAACTTTACGACGAGAGTTCCCGGGTAGGCGGACCATGTCGCTCAAGTCTCGAGCGCCGGACGAACGAGGCATCCTGTGCCTCGCGGGGGAACCCTTTTTCAAGGCAGCCAGCAGATATCAACGTGATACACAGGTGTCAACAAGACCACACATCAAACCATGGCCATTCTACTATCCGAATCCCTCTTCAGCAAAATGTTCCAGCAAAGATGGCAGGTACTGATGTCTTCCGAGCTCCAGTGCGGCTCATGCTCACGCTCACGTTATCTTGGCTAGATCAAGCCTTTTGCTCGCCCTAAGCTTTTTGCAATCTTACCCGCTTACTCTGCTGCTTTGTTGCTACGACGCTTTGAGGTTCCACCCACATGGACTATTGACGGTTACTAGTGATGATGCCGTCTCACCCCTATTTTCATCCGGCAATGACGATACTAACGACGCCGCTGTGACATCTGTGTATACGAAAAAGGGATCTTGTGCTCTGATTTGTCCACATGAATAAGTCCAGCATTAACAAGGGCATTTTAAAGGTGATCACATACTTGCACGTGGTGTCTTTTGACGAATCTAATGATAGCTCGATATAAATGCCCGCACTCCACCATCTCCACGCCAAGAAATCGACATCTCCATCAAAAAAAGTCACAATGACCTGGTCAACGACTATTGATCATCTGCTGATCAACAGACTGATAATCATATGCAATCGATCTTTTCCTTGTTAGAACCCCCAAGAGATCCAAGAAAAAAACCCTGCTTCTACCTGACCCACAAAACCCACACTTGTACACATCATACGCACATCAAGAACCCCTTCCTTCTCCACAAAACAAGCATATCACAAACCCTTCCTTCTCCACACAAAAAATGATGTACACGCACGACCCTGTAGATTGTAAACCAGGGGTTCGGGAATATAAAAGAAGATGAGAAAAAAACAACGCGGAGCTTGCTGTCATGATACTAGTACTACTATTATTCTTTCTTTCCACACAGGATTGACGAGATATCGCAAGATCATCACGACTTTTGCAAGACGGTGACGTCAACATCGGCTATGCGCCACATGTACCACATGAGGAGTGATCTAAAAAAAAGATACTATTAGTTTCTCCGGATTTCAGCTTTACAGAGAAAAATGGCGTAGGGAAGAAAGAATAAGGTAACTACTTACCTGTACGGCGAAAATTTGGCGGCTGTAGCAAGCATTTCTTGCTCGCTCATATATCTAAATAGTGCGAGAAGCTATGCATTAGTATTTACGCTGACTGGCAAAAGGAAGAAGGAATAGATGGAGGGGGAGGGGGGTGATACGTACTTCCACTTCCCGCCTTTGTTCTTAAGTTTACTTACGTCACGGCCAGCGTAAACGGCCATGCCGCGTCTACAGAAAACTCCACATTAGCTTCTTTTTTCCTAATACTCCTAGAAAAAAAGAAGAAGAAGAAAAGATTACAAAACATGTACGGGAAAGGCCTAAAAAAGGGGCAAAAAGAGAAAAGGATAAAAATACATACTGCACTCCCAAATCCCCCGTGCTAAAAACATCCATTCTCTTCAACCCAAAACATGCAAACATCTCGACGCTCCAGCGGCCCAGGCCTCGCACTGCGACGAGCTTCTCAATCAACTCTTCGTCGCTAGCGCTGACGAGCATCTCAGCGGAGAGTTCGCCTGAGGCGAATTTTTCAGCGAGCCCGTGGATGTATTCTGCTTTGCGCTGGGACAGCCCCGCCGTGCGCAGTGTAGGCAAGGGGAGAGCTAGGACTTGGGAGGGGGAAGGGAAGGAAGGGTGGGTAGAGGGGAAGAGGGCTGTGAATTTTGAGCGGATGGAGGCGGCGGCTTGGCTTGAGACCTATGATAAATTTTTGTTAGTTGTTACCTCTGCCGTGCATACGATTTCCTTTGCCATTGTGCTTCTTGGATGGCTGGAAGGAATGTGTGGGCTGGTGCTGAGAAGGAGAACGTTTACCTGTTGTCCAATAATCCCGGAGCTCAGGGCTGTAAATGGATCGACTACTTCTCGTAGCCCCTCTGGACTGAATATCTTACAGTGATGCTTTTCGATCAAGGTCTTCAGCTTGGGGTCTACGTTCACTAAATGCGCTTCTGCGTCTTTCAGCAAGCGATCGATGTTCGTGCTTGCCCTGGGGATTGCGCCCACGTCTGGAGGTACCACTTCTTTGGCTTTGCGCTTGCGAGCGGGCGTTGCGTCCTCGGGCTTTACTGGTGAAGATCCATAGGCCTGGACGGTGTGGGAGCCGTTTGGTGTCGCTAGAGGTGCGTTTGTGACGTGTGGTTCTGCGGGACGGGTTTGCAGTTTAGGAAGATCGTCCAGTGGGTGATCGAAGTCTGCTCTGTCTTTTGATAGAAGCGTGACGGCTGCAGGAGTGGGTGTAAAAGGGACTGGCTTTATTGGGGATTCTGCAGTTGACTTCGTTTTGCGTTTTTTGGGAAGAGGCGTTACGGGGTCAGATGAGGGTGTAATTTCCGGAATTGTCCGTTCTATGGCTCCCTTGGTGTTTTCTTTGGCTTCAGGCTTCTCCGATACATCGCCTGGTGGTTGTGACTTGGACGCGACTTTCGAAGTCTTGCGCTTCTTTGCCGTCGCATTCGATTTGGTAGCCTTCTCATACTTTGCAACGCCATTTTGACTATCCAAATCTGACACTTTTGGTATATTAGTACTTGCGACGCGTGCTGAGCGTCTTAGAGACATGATTTGTGACTTGTAGATGTTCCAACGGATGCTGGCTATTCTAGTGAATAGGCCCTGACGTCATACGGTGAGTGCGCAGTTGGCCAGGGGCTGCAACGACGTACGGTGTGTTTCAGCAATTGTCCTGCTATGGTGCTCCCGAAAAGCATGAGCTCAATACTTAATGTTAGAAGTGGCGAGCTTGACGCGTTACATGGTGGGGGGCTACTTTGTGTTCAGCCTAGCTGACGCCTGAGCACATGATCGCGTGGCGCTGACATATCAAGAATGTCGACACGCTCCGCATTCTCGAAATAGAATGATCGACATAATTGTTCACAACTTTGGTGGGATTTGAAGGTACAACTTGCCTATAAGAAGATAGCTTTAGAATTACCATTTGGCATTCTATCTTCTGAGCGCCGGGTTCACAAAAAAGCAATCAGGAGCTGAGGACGGTAACAGGTTATGTTCACGAATATGAAACTGTATCAGATTTATTTTAAGGCATTTCTAAGCCATGTAGGACTCAATGCCTCAAAAATCAAGTCACAGATTGTAGTTGTTGGTGGCCACGTTCATATGGCCCATGATACATCTCCATCACCCACGGACAAATCTGAAGACCCATAATTCCTACTGAATTCACAGAAAGTAAAGCGATAGACCAGCCAATTTTCTTGCCTTCCATACATCTGTATAGCCTAGCCCTTTAGATATACTTCACTTGCTGCAAAATTACCACTGACCCCTCCCCGAAGCGTCGTCGTGCTCTTTTGACCCTGGTTACAATTGCATGCGTTTATTCCATCATATTGTTGCACTGGAATCTTCTGTTCTTGTGTGATTACATCACACAAAATGGCGCTAGCCTATCCACGTCATTAGACATATGTTACCCAGGCATAAAGTAAGATAACTTGCGATTATAATGGCTATGAGGAATGGCACACTAAGCTAGAAATCTAATAGAAGTACTTTAGACGTGAAAACAAAGAGCAATAGACCACTCATGATAGTTGCACAGCCACGGATCTGACGGCTGCGCTCATAGTTTCGAGCTTCGTAGATAGTAAGCTTGTTTTTCATTTCGGCGATGCGGACTGCCAGTGGATCGGTATATTTGCCTTCCGGGGAGATACTTGTGTTGATTACTGTAGTTAGTACTGGTGTAGATTGATGTCGTTGTTTTATTCACGTTTGTGTGTAATAAAATTATGAGACAGAAAATGAATTTCTTTGCAAGAATATATACTCAGCGCTCTATATGAGAGAAAAGATATGTCCAATCTGTATCAAAGCATAAGAAAATTACGTGATATGAGACTGGTCATAGAGTTTGCGCTTGATTGGTAGCTGTAGCATGAACGACGGTATTGCTTTTCGATCTTACGATCCATATTCATTACCTATTAATTAGACGATTTCAAACTTGCTGGGAACAACCCAAAACACTTGAATATATACTGTTGCTGCTGTTGCGGACCTGGCTCATACAATCGCACGTGATCACACCTCTCCGCATTGGAACAACAAATGATCAAAATGACAACAGAATCTGGAGCTTTTCATAATGCGATATCATGTGAGAACTTTCCAAAAGAAGCAATTGAATGGGTATGTTGCGCGGGGATATAGAAGAGGGCTGGCGAAGCAGGTTGCATCGCCGATTGTGGTCAAGCCACAAGGCAGCAGTTCCTAGTAGTATGACGCGGGGATGTCATACGACAACCCACACTTGCATTTGCTGTATTGACGATACTTCTTGTAAACGCTTCACACTCAAAACAATGCGAGTGCTTCTTTTCACCCCGTTGCTTGCTGCATGCGCAAGCGCAGGGTGTTTTGAGCCCAATATTGCGCATCCTCCACCTAGATACGATGCTCATGATCCTCTCCTCCAAGAGGCATTCCAGTCGATAAATGAGGCACTCACTGTAGCTATCGCCGCACCAGAATTCGACCAGACCTCTTTATCTATAGAAATTACTTCTTCAAAAGAAACACTCTGGTCGCGACACCACACGGCGCGCGATCGCAATGCCTCACGCCCGGACATCTCAGAAGTCAATGGCGACGCGCTCTACCGCATCGCTAGCATAACAAAAGCTTTTACTGTTCTCGGGGTTCTGTATCAACACGCATCTGGAAATGTGAGTTTGGATGATACGGTCAATACGTATCTAAAGGGATTGGGAGACAAGTCAGATGGTGGCATACCATGGAAAGATATCACGCTGCGTAGTCTGGCCAGCCAGCTCAGCGGCATCCCACGCGAGTGTAAGGTATCCGACAACAAAAACCGCACAATGTTTCAAGCATGCCATACCGATGAAGGTAAGCAAAAGCTGATTTGACATTCTTAGGGGCACAGAGCGATCTCATTCATCAAGATCTTGATCTCGCCAAGGTGGGCCTGCCACCCGATGTTTCCAGAGAGGGCTTGCCGACGTGTGATGAGTACTCGCCGAATTATGAGACACCTTGCACTGCGAAAGGTTGGAATTTTTTCAGCAAGAATAAAGAATAACGTACTAACTGATTTCTGCATAGATTTGTTCAAACAGCTCAAGAAATTCCGCCCACTCTTCGCACCAAATCAAGCATCCACCTACTCCAACATCGCCTACGAGATCCTCGGACTCGTCCTGTCGCATGCCCGAAACCAAACTTACGAATCATACATCGAAGAAGCCATATTCAAACCCTTGAACATGTCTAGAAGCACCTTCTCTCTCCCCCCTGACTCTGCAGGCGTAATCCCCTCAGGCCTTCATTTCTGGGACGTAGATGAAGGCGTCCAAAATCCTACAGGCGGTATATACAGCTCCTCTACCGACCTATCCAAGTTCCTGCGCTACATCTTAACGCATTTCAATGCTGTGACACCCGCAATCAACTGGATCAACCCCGTCTCATCTTCACGCGGCTTAAACTCGTTCTACGGCATACCCTGGGAAATCCTGCACACAGACCGTATCCTCGCCGACTCGAGACGAATGGTACGCTTCGTTACCAAAGGTGGTGGTCTCCCTGGCTACACCTCTGTCATCATAGCCGTGCCAGAATATGACTTGGGCATCACGATTCTCGCCGCTGGGCCTAGCCGGGTACTTTTTACACTTAGAGAAGTAATTACTGTCACTTTGATCCGTGCGGCTGAGAAACTTGCTATTCGTCAGCTGAATGAGCGCTACGCTGGTACATATGCCGTTGCCGATTCCAAGCTTAATTCTACGGTTACGCTGAAAGCCGATCATCGAGGCTTGGTTGTCACGCGTTGGATATCAAACGGAACGAACATGTATGACTCGCCTGTTGTCAGGATCTTTGCACCATCGCAGTTTTATATTCAGCTAAGCCCGACGCTTTTGTTTCGCGATGAGGAGAGGGCGCTTGGAGAAGAGTGGCGTGGCATGCTTGCTGAAGAGCGGGGTGAAGGTGCGGGGGGTATCTGGGATGACTTTTGTGTGGAGAACTATGAGACGACGAGTTATGCAGGTATACCGTTCAATGAGGCGGTGTTTTGGGATGAGCGCGAGGATGGAACATTTGGGACATTGGAGCTGTCTGCGTTTAGGGTAAATTTGACCAGGGTGGATGAGGACGGTGGTGATGGAGGAGAAGTGGACTACGATGGACATGAGATCATGGAGTTGTGATCAATGACTCTCTAGATATATATGTAATCTACCTCTGGGGTGGATGACAACGGAATATGAACAGAGTGAGGGCAGGGAGATGAAAGAAGCAACAAGCACATATCGTGTCTTGTGGTCTTACTTTAAATCATTAAAGGCTCCTTATTCTGTCTTGTTCTGTGAACCTGCATGAAAGTATTGTTATCTCCCCAATTCCGTTCTGTATGATGCTCGGAAACATCTTCTTGTGTTTACAGACTGTATATCTTGAACCTGTGTCTGGATAGATTCAAATGATTTTGAGCCACAAAGGTTACAATGCCAATAATACGCGTTGTGCATGAATTGCTTTCCCGACTCATCAATGGAGTTGAGGTTGTTTAGGGATAAATAGACGCCTTGGCCGTGTATTTAGCTACAATCTATGATGCGCTTATCCGTAGTTGCACCGCCGCGTCGATAAAAGTCGCCACCTTCAGTCATGTCGACTCCAACAGCTTGCGATGCATAGAAGACATTTATGAGCAAGTGAAGTCAGTCGAAAACTGGTAGAAACATATTTTGCATAGATGATGCAATGTTTCTCCACAATCACAACAATGCTCGCAGAACAGGTTCTGGTAGGCCACTTTGTCGCATCTCCGGAAATTTATCCAGAGTATTGGTGGGCATCATATTGATCATTCCAACGTGCCAACGACCAAAAAAGGGAACAATGGTTCGGATGCAATGGAGATGATTCCTGTACGAAAGACATTGGTATGGTACACTCTATTGCACAAACCCCAAACTCGCTCCATCCAGCCCGAAAATGGTCATACCAGACCCATTGCCACATATCTAGTGACCACTGGCGGCGTTCCTCTGCCTCTTCTGGACAATCATGGTCTCAAAGTCCTCACGCTCGGCCATCTCGGCCTCGATATCGGTAATCAGGGGGCTGAGGTATGGGACGTCCTGTCACCGGTTAGCCTTTGGTAGATGCATGCGGAGCGGTAACTGTACCTCCTCGGGCTTGGTCCACTCCTCCTTGGGCAGAAGCTGGTGGGACATGGAGAGCTGCGACATGTTAGCCACTTGATGTCCAACCTTCTTGTGTTTTTGATATAAAAAGTACCTGGAAAGCCCTGCGCAGACGGAAGACACGGTCGTAGGCCTCCTGGGGTCGGAGACGCTTGAGAGCGGTCTGGACGGTGTCGTTCTCCTCAGGGAGCAGGTCATCGGCCCTGTATTGCAATTTCCGTCAGCCCATTATCCCACACCCTTCATTTTTCTGTCATATAGAATTTTTTTCTGTCCTCGGCGGTAGATGGCGTTCGCATCGGGGCTCCGTACCTCAGGCCAAGCTGCCTGTAGCCAGCGGCGTTGCAGTACCAGTTGGAGAGGGGCTTCATCCAGCGCTGCAGCCATGGGCGCTTCATGATGTAGGGGGCGAGAGACGGCGCAGACATGGTTGCGGTGGTTCGACGGCGAATCGGGGATGTCGAGTCGTGATGCTGCCGTCAATTGCAGTTTTGACAGTCGGAGGTGGTGAGGTCGTAATGCGAAAGAAACGAAAGCCAATAGGCTGAGCTTGGCCGTCGGCGGGCCAGGGGCTTAGTCAGCGACCGGACGGTCCCACCCGCTCAAGCAGCTTCACTTGTGCTTGACACTGGCTCTGACGTCGCATCGAGAACCAAGCTTTGCACCACCACCACAGCATCCACCATCACCACCGCCACCCCACGCTGCCCTTTCTCTCACTCCACACCCCAGATAACCGCTCCGCAACAGTTGGTGCAGTCGCCTGGCCTGGCACCCTCAGAGACAACTCCGCACTTGGTCCGCTCGTCAATGGAGCCGAACAATCGTTAATTCTTGTGTTACTCAAGTGCTGCGGGGTTTCCGCACACTGAGGCACCGCAAAGGGGACGACGGCCTGTACGCACCCACCCACTCTTCAACCACGCCCATAGACTGGCTCTAATGAATCGGCACACGCAGTGCCACCCATGTCGACACACGATCCCGAGCCGCCGTCCCCGACGAAAGTCCCCGACCGGTATGCGCCATCCGCCCGGCCTGTCCAACCGCGCGACATGTCGATACCCACCAAGCAAAGTGCCTGGAGTGCGCCCATTGCGAACCTGGCTGTCAAAGTCGCAAATCTTCCTGACGGCTCCGTCAATGCGTTGTGCGGGGCTTCTGCCGGCGTCGCTTCCGGCATCGTCACCTGCCCGCTTGATGTCATCAAGACGCGATTGCAGGCGCAGGGCTCATTTCGCCCACGAAAGTATACTGGACCGCCCCGCACCGTCTATAAAGGCCTCGGTGGCACTGCGCGCATCATCTGGGTCGAGGATGGTATCCGCGGCCTGTACAGAGGCCTCGGGCCAATGCTACTTGGCTACATTCCCACCTGGGCAGTCTATATGAGCACATACGACCAGACCAAGAATCTCCTCTATCCTCAGATGGGTCAGTAGCCACTCCAGGTTTTTTTATCTTGCATTACTGACTAGGTCTGATTTTCAGAGAACAAATGGCTCGCTCGAACTATTGCCTCATTAGTTGCCGGTGGCTGTTCGACCCTAGTCACCAACCCCATTTGGGTTGTGAAGACGAGATTAATGTCACAAGTCAGCGCTCGTGCATCAGACGAACATCGGCCGCCATGGCACTACAAAAACACATTTGACGCCTTCCGCAAGATGTATGCCAAAGAAGGTCTTATATCCTTCTACTCTGGACTTACACCAGCTTTGCTTGGACTCACGCACGTCGCTATCCAGTTTCCACTATATGAATTCCTGAAGATGAAATTCACTGGCCTAGAAATGGGCCAAACAGACGCAAAGACCGAGGAGGTGCATTGGTTTGCAATTGCGTTGGCCACTGTACTCAGCAAAATGACTGCGACATCGGCTACATATCCACACGAGGTTTTGCGCACACGGCTGCAGACCCAGCAACGAGCGCTTCCCGAGCACTCAGACAACCATATTACATTTCGAGGAGGGCACCACGATCAACTCCACACAAGACCTCCAGGAACAGCTTCTTCAGACGGTATGATCAACATACCTCGCTATCGTGGCATACTTCGAACATGCACCGTAATCCTTCAAGAAGAGGGTTGGAGAGCCTTCTACAATGGTATGGGCACCAATATGGTCCGCGCTGTTCCTGCAGCCGTTACGACTATGCTTACGTTTGAACTGTTGAAGAGTGTTCACCAGAAGCTGAAGAAGGAGGGGGAAAGGATAGAAGGATAGAAGTATAGCGATGATTTTCTGTTACTCATTTCACATGATCAGCACGGCGCTGCTATGGCCAGCTTGATGTTCTGCATTGATAATCATGAACATATAATATAACTGATTAAACCTCACGAAACTATGCATTTCTCGAATCAATCGTATTTTTATTTTGTGATAGTGTGTATCTCAAAAGAGATGATCTAGGCGGCGGTCGAGCTAACGCGCGCTATGACCAACTTCTCCACCAAAAAAGTTCGAATGCTGTCGCGCGAACTTCAGTGCCTCTGCACTGCGAGTCTTCCCAACCGCATTCAGCCACGACAATTCGATAGGATGGCACCGCCTTCCTTTTCGCCCGATACCTCTGTTTCTTCGCATACACTCTCCCTGGGCTCAGCCCCTCCGCCCCCAATGGAGCTCCAGCCCGCCGCTGCGACTGCGCCCACAAGTTTGCTCACAAACCCCCTCGCTTTCTTGCAGCCTACTTCTCAACTTAATGCGTCTTTCCTGGCCGCTGCGAAACAATACCTCGACCCCGTCGCTGCTGGCGTGAGCGAATCGCAGTCGAGACGGCAACAAGAGTTGCGCAAGAAGCGGAAGCGGGGCGGAGGCTATGACGACGACATTAATGTCTTGCACCTGAAAAAAGTCCATGTAGACGGCTTCGGGGTAGACCAAGTGTTCGAGCAGACGCGCAAGATTGTTGAGGCGACAGCAGAGGAAATTGAACTTTCGCTGCCAGAACAGGAAGATGGCGTCGTGCCAGAGTTTGATGAAGAAGACGAAGACGATCTTGAAGAGCCTGAGGAATATCACACCGAGTCTGACATAGGAGAAGAGGGTGTGGATTGGGAATACGACGGTGTGGACGATGACGAGGACGCGAAACCAGAAGACGACGAGTCGGAAGACGAAGATGAAGAAATGGAAGACGGCGAAGAGGGCCTGCTCTCCGACGAGGGATCTGATGACGAGCCTGCAGAAACCTATGTGCCCGATCCAAATGGTCTTAATGATGGCTTCTTCTCTATAGATGATTTCAACAAGCAGACCGACTTCCTAGAACAGCAAGATCAGAGAGGAGAGGGCGTGGATAGCGATGACGAAGAGATAAATTGGGAGGCAGACCCAATGGAAGCCGGTGGTGCCAAGACCAAGTCGCGGCCTTCGTCAGGAGACGCGTCCGATGATGAATCCGATGAGGGTGGACCAACCTTTGGTAACGCAGATCTCAATGCGCCGGAGGGTGACAGCGGCGATGAAGATGATTTCGAGGAGGGCGATCTGGACGGCCTTGACGCTGGCATGAACGCCAACAATGTCATGTACAAGGATTTCTTTGCGCCGCCGGCGCAGAAAGCTGGAAAGAACAAGAACAAGAACAGCAAGAAGCGAGGGCGACCGAACCCTCACAACTTCCCGGAAAAGCAAGAGGAGCCAGAAGAAGAGATCGAAGAAGACGTGGAGCGCACTATGGCCAAGGTACACAGAGATCTGTTCGAGGACGATGATGACGTAGAAAGCGATGGCGATCTTTCGGATGTTGACCCTTCAGATCCAAAGTCAAGACGATCCACACACGAACGCAGACAGGCCAAGATAGCAGAAGAGATCAGGAAGCTAGAAGCAGCCAATGTTGCAAAACGACAATGGCAGTTATCTGGAGAAGCACGCGCAGCTGATCGCCCGCTGAATTCGCTCCTCGAGGAGAATCTCGAGTTCGAACGAGCCGGTAAACCTGTCCCAATAGTCACTCAAGAAACATCAGAGGACATTGAGGCACTCATCAAACGACGCATCTTAGCCGGGGAATTCGATGAGGTACACCGCCGAAGACCAGACGACCTCGCAACAGGCCCCCGCCGTGGCCGCGTCGAGATAGATGACACCAAATCTGGCAAAGGTCTGGCCGAAATCTATGAAGAAGAGCATCTGCGCCAGACAGATCCCAACTTTGTCGAGGCCAAGGATGAAAAGCTCAAAAAGGAGCATGATGAGATCTCTGCCCTCTGGAAAAGCGTATCTGCTAAACTCGATTCCCTCAGCTCTTCACACTTTAAGCCTAAGCCAGCAGCACCAAACCTCGAAATTCGCACGGACGCCCCTGCCATTGAAATGGAAGATGCCCGCCCCACTGCTGGCGGCGACGTCGCAGGCGCAAGCATGCTCGCGCCCCAAGAAATCTACAAGCCCGGCGACGAGCAAAACAAGGCCGAAATTGTCACAAAGAGCGGCATGCCTGTTGCCCGCGAAGAAATGTCTCGCGAGGAGAAGTCATCGAGGCGACGGCGCGCAAAGGAGAGGGCTAAGAAGGCTGGTCTTAACAAGCCCAAGGAACAAAAGGTCGAGGGCAAGGAGAAGAAGAGGGGTGAGAAGAAACAGTTGCTGGGTGACTTGAAGAAGGGTGGCGTGCAGATTATCGGACGCAAGGGTGTTATTACGGATGTCGAGGGCAAGGAGGTCAAGGATGGTGTGAAGAAGGGTGCGGGAAGCTACAAACTATAAGCAGTGTAGAAGAATCCCCTCATGTTTTTCTTTGTTTCCAACCTTGCATTAAAACTCTTGTAGAAATGTAAACGAATCATGTTCTAAATATGTGTGTATATGTATAAAAAAACCCGCGCTAGATACTCATGGTCATATAAATCATAATTGTCTTGATCATTTCATCGTCGTGATCATAAAAAATAAATAAGAAAAAAAAAGGCCAAACTGTCGCCCTCTCACAACACCACCATTGCAACCCCAATCACGCCTACCGCAAAAAACGACAGGGCAATTGGAATTCCCGCCACAAAACTCGCCTGGCTACTGCTAGTACTACTCGGCGTAGCCTTGGCCGTCGTGCCCGCCTGCCCACTCGCCGTCGCCGTACACTGCTGCTCACCACAGGCATAACCCTGAGGACAGCAATTGCCGCCTGCACTCGCAGCACAGCTATACCACGCACTGGGACAACTGCTCGGGCCGGTCGTCGGCGCAACAACCGTAACGCCATTTGTATCTACAACGGTGCCAGTAGGAAGCACGCACGAGGAGCCTGTCGTCTGGCAGTCGCGGCCGACGCGGCAGCAGCCCGAGGGGTAGTAAGCGCTGCAGACGTAGAAGCCTTGGGGACAGACGTCTGCGCTGGTGGCCTGGGCGGCGGTGGTGGTGCCGCTGGTGGGCCGGATGGGGGCGTCCGGGGCGCGCGTGCTGGTGGTTGGGTTGTCGCCGATGCAGGAGGCGCCTGTTGCGCAGGTGCGGCCGTTTTGACAGCAGCCGCCGCCAAGGGAGGCGGGACAGGAGAACCAGCCTGTTGAGCAGGTGTATGCGGTGCGAGAGGAGGAAGAGGTGGGTGGTGGGGTTGTGCTGGAGGGGGAGGGTGTGGTGGAGGTTGGGGCTGCTGTTGAGGTGGGAGGTGGGGGAGCAGCGGTAGAGGAGGTGGAAGAGGGCGGGATGAAGGTTGTTGATGTGGCTTCTAGAACGCCTGTGCAAGTTAGTATCTACCTTGGTCATGACATCTTGTTGGTGGTGTATGTTTTGGACTTACATCCTACGCCCTGGCATTTGAATCCAGGCAAACAGCATCCTCCATTCGATGAACCAGGACAACTTGAGTATCCGCTCGCAGTATCACAGCTGACGTTTCCGGCGCAAGTCTGTCCTTTGGGGCAACATCCAACATTTCCAGCGTCAGAGGTACCACTGGTATGTATGCAATTGCTTCCTGTACCGCAACAGACGTCCGGCGCCCCAATCGACTGGCAGCTACTTGTTCCCTCGGGACATTTGAATTGGCGTTTAAGCAACACATCTCTAATGTGCATGCGCGCTAACCAGTCCGACTGGGCCAACGGTCGTAAAGGCGGGTCAGCTTGTACTGCGAGGTTACCTAGATTGTCCGAGTCGGATCTCCGAGACTGTTGTTGAGATTCTGAGGCGAATATCCAATTGTCGAGCATGAACATTTCCCCTTCGTCCAGACTCATCTTCTTGACTCCAATCGGCTTCTCATGTTGCAACCTCTGCGCGATACTCAATCCGCGCTTCGCATGGATCTCGTCCTCTGGAAAGTACTTTAGGTGCTTGGGTACATTGTGCGGCCATTGTTGCTGGTGCGAATCGGCTTGGGCGGCAACAACAGATGAGGTTGCGCACAGGGCGATGATAGCCGGCGGTAATGAAAACAGGTGATGCAGATACATTTTGACAGTCTGAGAATGTGAAATTTCTTTGGTACGGTCCCTTAGAATTCAACAAAACGAAGCATGTCAGATTCATGGGAAAAGCATGGTACGCGTGCGGTGTGTTGTCGAGGGTGGCTGGTGGGACCGATGCAAGCGTCTGACCCAGGGAATTGGCGAGGCTGGTATGTGTTGGCGCTTCACCGCCAATGGTGTTCAAGAAAGCATGGTGCTGCCCGACTAGAACAAGACAGGGCGCCGCAGCTATCGGGTATTACTGTAGATCAGAATGGTGCATGAATTGAGTTGCATGTATGCAGGGTAAGAGGCCACTGGACGTCATAGTGGTTGGGGGTTTGCATGTCCCGCCGTCCCACTGGTTCCGACAACATTCCCGGTCCCTCGACCATCCAACGCTGAGCCTCGATCACGACTACGCTGATTACGCGTTGAGTAAGGCTTGGATATTATGCACAGAGGACACGATACCTTTGCTTTTTGGTTCTGGTTCATCACGTTGTGTGAAATCTGACAAATAATATCCTTCGGGACAGGCACATCATGATAATGCCATATAATCATTTCATTGGACTCGAATATGATAACTATACATAATATCATTAAAGTCGTGGCATAGGGCGAACATCACCATCATTCAGGTTGCCCTTTACCCATTCCGACGCGTCATCCCATAAATGTCTACCTTGTACCGCACACGTGCGTCGCAGACTCAGACCTTGCAGTGATACACTAAGCCTGAAGACCCTTCCTAGCCTTGTGTTCGCTCATGCGCGAATTCTTCAACATAGCTACCCACACCAAGCACGGAACAAGTGCACAAGTTCCGAAGATGACCATAGTCTTCTGGGTGTCGGCAAAGGCCCGAACCACAGCCTGACGTTCTGGACTATCCCATGGTGATGCCAACTGGGCGTTAATGTCCCCGTAGAGTCGAGCAACCTCGGCGGCAGGAGCGAGAGGAAGATACTCGGCAATCTTCCGAGGTACCGTTTGGGCCCAAATCGTGGCGCTAATAGATTGGCCGATGGCACCGCCGACTGCAGTGATTACGTTGAGGAGCGCGATGCTGACGGCTACTTGCTCATGCGGTACAGCGATCATGATGGCGACTTGCTCGACATTGTAAAGCATTGCGCTTGCCATGGCGCCAAAGACCTCGACTACAATGAGGACTGCAACATTACTGCCTGGCGTACGGAGATAGATTAACAGGCCAGTCATGAGGATCTGGATAGGAATCGCGACGACAGCTCCCCACTTGTAGGTGTCGGTGTACTTCATTGCAAAGCTGACAATGATGGCCCAAGTACATGAAACGATGTTGAAGATATTCGTGATGTAGCCTGCCTTGGAGACCGAAAGCTGAAAGACAACCTGAAGGTAAGAAGAGTACATCATTCGGTAGGAGCTGGTCAAATCAGTCAGTGCTGTCTTCCAGATAGATATGAAGACTTACTAGAAGGCAATCCATGAGTTTCCACCCAACAGGCAGGCCGCAATAACGGAACGGTTCTTCATGAGGTAGAACGGGAAGAACGACTTGCGAGCGTAGAAGCGCTCCCACACAACGAAGAGAGCAACGAGAAGGGTTCCGAAGACGATCATGCAGATGACCATGGGCGAAGCGAAGCGATCTTTCTGATATGCGGCGAGAGGGAATGGAAGAAGTAGAAGCGAGAAGCCACCGCATACAAGGATGAGTCCGACGACTGAGAGGTGTTAGCAGTGCAGAACCATGCTTAACAAGAGCACTCACTATCAAACTCGATGCACCAGTACTTGATGCTCTCTACCAGGGATCTATGGGTGCTCTCACGCTTGAGAACACCCAGCTTCTTCGCCCGTCTACCCATGAGCCAGAAAACTCCCCAGAAAGTTAGCGAGAAGACGGGTGTCAAGATGGTGAATGTTCCATAACCCCAACGCCAGCCACCGTGCTTGAGAAAGACTTCACCCAACTTGGGACCGGCCTAGGTGTGAAGAAAAATTGTTAGCAAGTAAAATATGTGGATGGAAAAACGACACTTACAAATGTGTTGACAACATAAGGGAACCCTGTGAAAGCCATCCATATTAGGCGGTTCTTCATGAGCGAGGTATCGGCGATGAAGATGTTGAAGACATAGTCTACACCGTTCATGCCAGTCCAATAGATGACTTGAGCTGCGCAAAACGTCTCTACGTCCTGGCACTGGGCCATGAGCATCAATGCTGGATCAATTGTAAGCCATTGTAAAGTATCTCAAGGAAAGGATAAAGCAAGCTGGCAAGACTCACAAAGAACAATGCATATCAAGCAGATGAGAAATCCCTGAGGACGACCGACAAGATCAATGAACTTAGCCAATGGCAGCTTCGAGACACCTCCAACAATATTTGCAACGATATCAGTCATAGCAGTCAAGCCATGCTTCGAGAAGGTCGACGTAACGTAGGGCTTCCATGTGAAGTTTGCCTGCTGCTGGAGGGAGTTGATGAACGAAATGAGCATGATACTAAAGCGCCGTCTTAGCAAGTATCCCAGTTGAATTAGTTGAAGGGAGGATAATGTACTTACGCGGCGTAAGCAGCAATCAGCCAATTCTTGGTCCAGACGACAGTGACAGCTTCCATCTCAGCGGGGCCCTTGGGCTGCTCCACATCAATGTTGTTAGCGGTGGGGGTGGTCACCATCGATGCTTCGCTGCCGTATCTATCCGCGGTGGGATGCTTTGCGCTGCCGCCAATGGTATCATCACTATGGGCGAACTCGCGCTGCTCACCGATGCCCATACCGGCAAGCTTCTCCATCTGCGGTGCGTATCCGCTAGCCATGGTGACTTGTAACTAGATCTTTAATTGTTAAGGTCGACTGAAGTAGCCGCAGGAGCAAAGGGTGTGGGAGAGATGGAGCCAAAGGTGGAGCGAAGGGGTGAGGTGATATGTACCTTTGAGTATAAAAGCTGTGGTTGATGTGTGATGAACTCCACAAATAGTTGAAGAGCTCTTCAAAGAGCGAGTGTGATGAGGAAACAAGATCGGGGTAGAAAACGATTGGTATATAAGGGCTGGGGGCCGAGCGCAGTGGTGATGAAAGTGAAGTAGAAGCGCAGTGGCCAGACCCAATTTAACCCCTCACAGTGAGCGATAAACAGTCCAAGCAGGGGTCACATCGGTTTTGGGCAAACGCTGTGCATGTGAGTGGTTGGGGAAGGGGCGGCTGGGACCCACTTGCCTCAGTGAATGAGCATGTTGGGAACAGGTGAGACTACAACAAGGTGGCCCATTTGGAGCAACTACACCCGCATGTGCAAACGGACATTGTCGGGGAGTACGATTAGACAAGAGATTTATCAATATACATATAAATTGACATCTACGATAGTCTGTAACTGTGTTTGATGTGTGATCTTGCTTAGGGAGTTCTGTTGTATAATCCCATCTAACGCACAGTGCATGTCCTTTGGCCACCACTCACCCCAACCACCTCTCACATGAAAGCAAGACCTTGGAAACAACAAGAAACATGAAAGTTGGGCACGGCGAATTTGACCTGAAAAGCATATCATGTTTCTTCTACTCGGACGCTCGAGTTTAGTCTACTAACACAAACTTCTGCTGTGCGCGTGGCTACCATGTCACAAAGGACCGCCTGCCCAAACCCTTGGAACCCATATCATAGTCATAGGGTAATTTCCGGAAAGGCCCGCTACAACACTGTAAACAACCCCCTTATGATGTTGAATGCGAACGCTCCACTGCTATGCTCCGAGAACCCCAGTACCATCGCCAACGCCGAACCCCCCTCTCAGATTACTTCATAGGCCATTTACACTAAGATGTCTGAAGGCTGACTTGCTCTACACCCCTCGATACTTCCTCCTCTGCGGTCTTTGCTGCAGGCCCATCTTGTCCCTTCTCAGCAGCCTCGACAGTCTTGTCACCACCAGCGGCCTTCTTTGCCTTCTTACGCTCCTTCTCAGCCTTCTTAGCCGCGGCCTTCTTTGCCTTTTCTTCTTTTGCCTTGCGGGCCTCTTCACCTCCAAACTGCTCTCGCCACTCTTGCTCCTTTTCAGGCTTGATTTGAGTGAAGAGGTAACCGGCAGTACCGATCTTGTGGCCAACGGGCAGCGAACGTGCCTCCCAAGTGTCTGGGATGATAAGAAATTCTGCGTTGAGTTGCGAGAGGATGGCGGTAGTAGTGTCAGGCCTGTCGCACAGTTAGCCATGTGTTCAATAGCGTCAGTTTCATAGTCTTGTGTAGCTGTGCACAGGGGCTCCGTGTCACGCGGAATGACCCTCGCCGGTGTGTGTACAATGACTACTCCGGCTATCGCCATTCCGACCATGCAAACAGCGTAAAAGAGATATTTCACTTACATATAAGGTTGGATCAGACTGGCAAGAAGATGGATCTGGCTTAGCGCAAGTCCGACAACAGCGGCGCATCGGTCTGGCTGCTCAGTGGCCAACTTGTTGTCTAGGCGGTTATCTTGCAGAAGCAAGTTACCCAGGCTTGAGACGTGTAACGCAGTAGCAAGACCAGCACGGATCTTGACATCTTCCAGCTCTGTAATGTACGTCTTGAGCAATTCGTTAACCTTCTTCTTGTGCTCGGTAAAGTAGGGGTCGTCAAACTTGGTGTAATCAGGCACAACCGAATCGTAGATCTTTGCGTTGTTGACGAATTTGATGACGCGATTGATGAAGTTGCCAAGATTCTTGAGGAGTTCGTTGTTGTTTGCCGCAATGAAGCCGTCCCATTCGAACTCGGTATCTCCAGTTTCCGGGCGATGCGAAAGGAGGTAGTAGCGCCATACATCGGATGGGATGCCAGTCTCCTTAGCATTGTTGCCAAACACACCAATGTTTCTTGATTTCGAGAACTTTCCCTTCTCGTAATTTAGATACTCGGTTGTTGAGATGGTGTTGAGCATGGTCCACTTGTCCTTGGTACCAATCTGCGAGCAAGGGAAGACAACGGTGTGGAATGGTACGTTGTCCTTGCCCATGAACTGGTAGAGCTTGACTTGCTCAGGGTTATGCCACCACTGCTTCCAGTCCTCTGTGTAGGTTGCGGTAATTGAGACGTAGCCTATACACGCGTCGAACCACACGTACATGACCTTGTCCTCATAGCCCTAATTTGGTCAGTTGAGTTCTGGTCAGATTTTAAAGGATTCGTCGTACCTCAAGAGGCACTGCAGTGCCCCACTTCAGGTCTCGCGTGATACCGCGCGGTCGCAGACCTTCTTTGAGCCAGGAGGAAGTAATCTGAACACCATTGGAGCTCCAGTTGCCCTCCTTGCTTGACTTCTTGAACCACTCCTCCTCTAGTGGCTGTAGCTTGTCCAGACAGAGATACACATGCTTCGTCTCGCGCGGAACTGGGGTTGCGCCATCGAGCTTACAACGGGGGTTCTTCAGCTCCAGGGGGTCAAGGAGATGTCCGCACTTGTCGCATTGATCGCCTCGCGCATCATCGTAGGCGCACAGTGGACATGTTCCCTCGACGAATCGATCAGCAAGAAAGCTCTTGTGTGTTTCACAGTAAGGTTGTGTTGTTGTTTGCTCCTCAAGATAGCCATTCTTGTACAGCTTTGTGAAGATGTCTTGTGCGATATCAGTCTGCTGCTGTGTAGGTGTTCGTCCGAAGTGATCAAACGAAATGTTGAACCACTTGTAGACCTCGCTATGCAGCGCATAGTACTTGTCGCAAAGCTCTTTTGGAGTTACCTTCTCTTCGATTGCCTTCGTCTCTGTGGCCGTTCCATACTCGTCTGTACCGCAAATGTATAGTGTGTTGTATCCTCGTGCGCGCGAGAAACGGGCGAAGACGTCGGCGGAAAGTACGGATCCGACAATGTTGCCCAAATGTGGAACATTGTTTACGTATGGAAGAGCGCTAGTAATGAGCACATTGCGCTCGCCCTCGATGGGCAGAATCTTCTTTGGTGCCTCGGTCATGGGAAGTTGCGTCCTTTGAGGGTGTTAGTGTGTTCGTCTTTTGGGAAACAGGATATTGTCTGTTCTTACTGCTGTCTCTTCAAATAAGATATGTATCAATTGTGAAACAGAATAAATGAGATTAGCACGTGTATATCGGAATGTATGCGTCCTCGCCGTGATCTAATAGAGCTTCTGAGTCAAACGCGACAGCCACGGGCTCCGATGTGTGTGGTTGTAACAGCCCCGCCAGAACCGACCCCGCCGCGCCAACGCCACAAAAATGACCGAACCCTGAATCCGATCTATGCTCGGCGTGGGCCTGAGGGGCAAAAGTCCCATGTACTGCAAATACTCTATGCTACTAGATTTGTAAGCCTTTGAAGAAAGCAGCTTGGAGAAACAACACGGCACTGTCTTCGTCTAGAATTGAAAACAACATTGCTCCAAGAGTTATCAAACAAGGACACCAAGGTTATTCTTTGAATCGCCATCCAATGTCTCAGCAGCCGACGTCTCAAAACCACATCTCCGACGACCCCTTCGACACCCTCCTGACTCTAGAAGACACTCTGTACACTGCAGCCTACGACCTCGGTGTTGCAGACGGCGCCCACGCCGGTCGTATCGAAGGCCGAATCTTTGGACTTGAAAAAGGGTTTGAGAAGTTTGCCGCTCTTGGCGAACTGCATGGGAGGAGCGTAGTATGGAGTTCGCGGCTCCCCGGCCTCACCTCTGAGCCGAACACAAGCAATGTTCAAATCACCAAGCCAGAGGACGGAGGAGCTGATAAGAAAGAGAGCCAAGAGAGAATACTACTGCTTCCAAAGAATGAAAGGCTAAAGAACAACGTTACGCTGCTGCATTCTTTGACGGACCCAGAGACTTTTGACACGGCAAACACTGAAGAAGCAGTTGCTGACTTTGACGATCGGTTCAAGAGGGCTGGAGCCAAGGCAAAAGTCATTGAGCGCATTGTTGGCGAAACCGATACCACTGTGGCGTCAAAGTCACCTGACGGTTCACCCGCCAGAGCAAAGAGCGGGGGACCCGTGCGCATTACAGGACAGACAAAGAAAGGCAGCGGAAACAAAGGCGATGACAGTATCGAGGACTTTGCGGGGTCGAAGCTGTTGAGGTGAAGTCTTCCAAACACCAACACCCGTGTTACCCAGAACGGTTAGGCTCTACTTTGTATCGGTATCATCCACAGATGCAAGGAGGATTGAGCGGCAGAACGAAACAGTGGGGCCGCATCTCCGAAGCCGCTGCATGGCGCTATCGGCAAGTCTCACCACATCCATGTACAATGGCCTGGTCCGAAGCCGGTGGAGGAAAGAGCAAGGGAGTATGGGAAACAAGGCCATCCACATGGAAGCCATTGCGCAGAGTAACAAACTATGGTGAAGACCAGTTGGCTTCGAATTACTTTGCTATCCTAGAAGGAATCTGGGCGACAACCCAGGTCTCAGCCCAACCGCTACACCGTGCTATGACATACGAGATCAGAAAGAAGTTAAAAAGGTCCATCGTAACTAAAAGGATATTGAGAAAGGTGTCAAATCTGAAGTGTGCCGCAAAGCCTCTCGCTCCCTCCCCATTTTCGTGCTAGATGATGCACTGGTATCAAAACGTTCCAAACTACCCTCCTCACGCACTGCTCTCTCAGACACGCAAAGCTCAGGCCGGATCCATAGAAAAGTGCCTGTCCGAGCGCGGATCCATACGTGGCGGTGGAGGGCCGCCAGGCCTGCCTGTATTGCTATCGACGCGACTATGGTGCGGGAAGTCCTAGTACCCGTTCATGGTCATGCGCTGGCTGCTCCTGCTAAGCTCGCGATCAGCGGCAGGTGAAATGGGGCGCGAGGAGTGACCTCCGTGGGCACTGCTCTCCTTGAGCGCAAGCAGCTGCTTAGCACGGAACGATTCGTAGTGGATTTGTGCGGTCGTCTCGATCAGGTCTTGCAAGTGAGTGCGGGTAAGGAAGTTGCGGAGATATACGAATTCGCAGTGGTTCTCGTCCTCGACTACGACGCGTCAGTCCATTTGCGCGAGAAAAAAAAGACAGGTACGCTGTTACTCACCATTGATAATACCCCACTTGTTCTGACGACCACGGACGTTCTTGCCATTAACAACAACAGTCCTCTCGGAACCGACAACGGCAAAGGGCAAGAGCTCCTGCTACATGTTAGCTGTTTGCCCGTCTCAAATACTAGCGCACTTCCAGCATACCTTGATGGCCTGCTTTGCCTGGACTTCCTCGCTGTCATCCTCCTCGTTGTCGTAGGGGTACATGCGCAGGTTGTGGAACTGGAACTCCTCCTTTATCCGGTGCTTGAACTCAGCACGCTCCTCCAGCGTCAAGCTGTCACTCTTGGCAATGACGGGAACAACGTTGACAAACTCGCTCAGCTTCTTAAGGACAACAATGTCAATGGGCTTCAGGGCGTGGCCAGATGGCTGGATGAAGAACAAGCAGCAGTGGATACGCGTGTCCTGGAGGTACCTCTCACGTTGAGCGGTGAGCTCCTTGCGGAGGTAGGCACTGTGCTGGTCCTTGATGTACTTGACAATGGGGTCCCAGCAGCGTTCGTTGTTGATCAGGTCGCCGTAGCCGGGGGTGTCGACGATGTTGAGGCGTAGACGCACGCCGTTTTCCTCGATGATGTGTGAGACCGGGTGGATGGTGGTAGTGCTGCGGACCTCCTCGTCGGGCTGGAAGCGGCCCTTGCTGTCCATAAGGTGCGAGGCGAAGAGCGTGTTGATAAGGGTTGACTTGCCCAGACCCGTCTGGCCTGGTTGCACCTATTAGTGGGCGTGTACACAAGACAGTCAGTTCAAATAGCAGTCCTTACCAACACAGATGACATTGAACTGGAAGCCCCGCTTGATTGACTTGCGCTCAATCTGCTTGGTGATGCTGTCGAAACCGACATAGCTGTCAGGGAAGATGGGCTGCGACTGGTTCTGGTACGCGGCAGCCATTGTGGGCGGTGGGGGCCTCGGGTGGCGGGTATGTAGCTAAGAAGAGATGCGGAGAGTGTATGTTATGGGGGAGCGAGACCTTGTGGCAGACGGACAAGGTAAAAACAGAAAAAGGTAGGGTCGCTGGCTGGGAAGTAAATAGTCAGGGTCGCTGCGCTGGCGACTTTCTCGCGGAGACACCAGGCGCGGGAAAGGGGTCGGCCTTAGGAAGCGAAAGCGCGCTAGTGGGAGGGCGGTAAGGCGCGGCCTGCACGCTCGGACACCCGTGCGCCGACAATTTGCAACTCCATCACCGCCATCGCCAACATTGCGGGCAGCCCAACGAGAGAAATGGCCCTTGCTCGCCCACTCCCCCCGCTCTGGCAGACCCTTCTGCCGGGTCTCAATGCCTCCACGCGACCCGTCTTGAATGCGCCTTTTCTGCAACGCCTTACACAGCCCTTTGGAGCATTGACTACACCTTTCGGCGCACTCGCAATACCCTCGCTATCACTGCCAAAGATACCGTCATTAGCAGATATCTGGGATGGAATTCTCAATGCAGTGCCCAAGAAAAAGACATCATATCGCAAGAAGCGCCAACGGTTCATGGCAGGGAAAGGGCTGAAAGACATCACATCGCTGAACAGATGCTCGGCATGCGGGAGGGTGAAGCGACTGCACATTCTCTGCCCATATTGTGTAGATGGTAAGTGGCTGTCTCAGGACACGCTCGTGGCATTGTCTAGGCACAAAGCTGACAACTGATGCTAGCAATCAAAACCAACATCTTCGGTCAGCTCAATTGGGCTATTCGCCGACCTACCGATAAGCAGGCCAAGCAGATGGCACGCGAGAGACGAAACGAGGCCCAGAGAAAGCGTACCATACAGCCCGACCCACGCAAGGAGAAGGAAGAGCAGATCTTGAAGCATACAGGTTGGAGGAGATGATGTCACCACTCAGAGTGAGTGGTTTTGACGTAGGAATGGCAGCACCGAGCTTTCTTTCCGTTGGACATTCTTCTTACTTGCGCAGCGGCGCAGGACGAGAATTGAGAATTTCTTGTACATTGAAAATGTAACAACACATGGCATTAGGCTCGAGTCATACGATATACACGAGACACTTGTTAAAGATCGATCCAAGCGATCCAAGGTTACCAAGCACCGAGGGCTCTATTATATCAACGTCTACAAAAAGTTGCAGACAGAAATGATGTGCGCTATATCAGTATATGCATCCCAAATGCAATTCACTTCCTTTCGCTGATGCCGAGTCCGCTCTCTGTCCTGGTCATCTGACTCACAGTGCTTCCTCTTCTCGAAGCGTCGTCCTTGCCCTCAGCGGCTTCCCGCTCAAGGAAGTCTTGCCATAACTCGGCTAGCGATTCCTTGTTGCTTGAGCTGCTAGCCATGAGCATAGGATCTACTGCCGAACTTAGTGACGGCGTCGATGGTGTCCGCCGGAAAGGTGCTAAGGGGATGCGGAGACCCCCAGAGTTGGTTGCCGTGCCTGGGCGGGCGAGGCCTGCTTGTTCCTTTTGCTCTGCAGTCCGTGTTAGGTTTTACTCGCAGCAGTAAACGTCATCAGAGACTTACCATCAGTCCACCCCAGCAACGCAGAAATCAACTGCAACGCCTCAAACTTCTTAGGATCGCTGCGGTCAATGCTCAGGAAATGCAGGAAGTAATTGGTGATGATCTGACGATCGACATTATCCTCTGGTCGGCCCTTCTTCAAGATGCGCAAGGCTTTGGTGAGGTGCTCATTCAGCGTGACCGCTTCATGCCGCAACTTGCCAATAAGTAGGTTCTTCTCTTTGACCTCCTTTTCAAATGGCAGTGCTCGCTCAAGATCTTTCTTTGTCGACTCAAGTGCTGCTTTGGCAGCATCTGCAGCAGCGTCTGCAGCTTGCACCTGTTTACGAAGTTCGTTGATTTGTGATTCATATGTCTCAACAGACTTTTTGAGCTCGGCTTTCCGTACTGCAGATTGTCAGAGAACTGGAACAAGACAATGTCGATGGTACTCACGGTTCTGGACCTCCTGTAGTGCTTTTTGTAGGCCTTCTACAGCCTGACTGTTGGTGTCCCTGTCCCTGGCAGCTTTCTCATACTCATCCTTGATCGACTCGAGTTGCTCTCTTAGCTCTGCATCTTTCTCAGCAAGGTTCTCACGTAATGACCGCTCGTTCATGGCCAGAACTTCCCAATCTTGCATAGCCTGCTTTGCATTCTCAAACTCCTCCTTTGCATATGCCTCTCGGGAAATGAGTTCATCACGTTCTTTGATCCAGTTCTGTTGTGACAGAGTGGCACGGCTTCGCAAGGTCTCAATCTCTGACGCTTGAGCCTCCTTTTCCTGTCGTAGTTTTGCAAGCTCTTCTGTGAGACTGTTGTTGTGCTCTTGTAATTCCCGGTTTTGGTCTTCGAGGTCCGCGACTTGCGTCTCGAATTCCTCAATACGAGCCTACAACTTGTCAGCATCCAAGAATACTACTCGCTGCAACACAGCAGCAGAGAGGAGGACCAACCGCATCAGCCTTCAGTCGGTCACCTAAACTCGTCTTGATTGTGTTTACCCTGCCCAACAGGTTCTTATATTGAGTCTCAAAGTGTTCCTTGCCCTCATTTGCCTCATCCAATTCCTCTCTTAGACTTCGGATTTCCTCCTCATGGTTGCATTGGGACCCGTCAGCTGCGCCAGCACTCTGCTTGCTCTGAATGCCCTCCAGACTCTTCCTGAGCTCGGTGACTTCTTGGCGTAGCGCATCGCGCTCCTTTGCTATCGCATCGAGGCGGGCGCTCGTGTCGGAGGCGGGCGGTGGGGATGGAGAGAGCCCTTGATGCGAGCGTGAGCGTGCTAGTCCTAGAGCAATCGCAGAGGAAATGCTGTGGTGTGGAGTACCGTTTGTTTGTATTGTGGGAGACACTGGTGGTTCGTCGTCTACATCATCGGCATCCGGGTCTGCAGTGTGCGCGGCGGGCTTCTGTATTTCGCAGTTTTAGTAACTAAACATGAATGCAAGGGGTATAGCATACAGTCTGCTGTTGCTGTTGCTTCCCTTCACCCTCGGAATCGTCGTCATGATCGTCTGGAGCCGCTTTGCCGTTGTCGCCATTTGCTTTTGCCGTCTCGTCTGGCTTGCTCGCATTGGAGTTTGATTTCTTCTTGTTCTTCTTCTTCTGCGACTTGGAAAGAGTTCCTATGCCTGTCTGTCAGCCCATTACTCCATGTTGCTTCACCACCACCACTTGCGACCAGGGATGCGGAGTTGAGCAGCACCTCCGAAAGCTGCCACCTCACCTACCACTTTGTTGTGCCGGGTCAGATGTGGCTAGCGCAGACATGCTGAGAGACGTGCTATGCAATCGCTACCTCATGGAGAAGATTTGTTTCTGGAAAAGAACAGATAAGCCGCGTAACCAGGGAGTATTCGAGGCTGTCTTGACTTGGCAATTCGTGTCCCGTTCTACTATGCTTTGTTTCGGCCCGCGTGGCGCACGTCATGAGCCACAGTCTACTAGCCACAGCCCCTCTGCCTCGGCGCACCATCTGAGGACATTCCCCTCTCCAGCCCAGCACACGCCTGTCCACCCTCTCCTGTTTGAAGCTCACAATACCAGAATATTATCTTTGTGCAAGCAAGCAACGTCATTGTGCTTTCACATCTCCTGCAGCTTGCCGTTTACCCGATCATCAAGCCTACTAGTGACTAACGACAACGTACACGCGACGAGTTGGAGTGAGACCAAAACGGCATCTAACCCCTACCTTAAGAAAACTCACAGTTCACCAACTTATCTTCTGCTGAGCAGAATCAGAAAATGAAATATTACAAGCCTCTCTTCTACTCAGCAGCCACCATCATTTATGCTTCGTTTGCTTTCCGTGTCCTCCGGATTGGGCTACTACCAAGAATGATTATTCAAAAACGAGATACGAAAACGTCATAGGCATACCTTGAATCGAAATACATTAGACTGTCCACTGTATCAGATTAAACGTTGGAACTTTCCACTCTGGATGTCTCTGGATATTGGACGGTCCAAAAAAGAACAAACCCTAGGCTCCGGTAAAGAGAATATCCGCACTCAACCCAGCTATCACACAACATAACCATGCTTTCCCAACAGTACACCTGCATCGCCTTGTTTTCTTTTTCAGAGCCATCTCTTCTTCCTCGGAATATATGACGCTAAATGAACCCTGAGGCTCTCGCAACCGTGCTCGGTTCCCCGCGTTGGGGCCGCTCCGCAGATACCAACATGACAACACCACACCCACATAGCCCGTCAATGCTTTCTCCGAATGCGCGGTCGCAAGTACATATGCAATGTATTTCGCGACGGTGCCGTAAGCATGGATCCTTGGCAGAGATTATATCGCTTTGCTGCTACTATCTTCCTAATCTAGTTTTATTTATCCGTTGATCGAAATCGGTATAGTTTACGTGAGGAATACTGGAGTACAGAAGAAACCCATAGTTTTCAGAGAGAATGGCGACTACCAACACTGCTGCAAGCTACTTTACGCTTAACCCTGGCGGCAGCAATGGAACTCCCCACACCAACGGTACTTCCAACATCAATGGCAGATCTCACACCAATGGAACATCTCACACCAACGGTACATCCCGTACGAACGGATCATCCCACATGAATGGCAAAATATCGAAAAATCTTCCAATCGTGATAGCTGGAGGTGGCTGTGTCGGTCTTTTTCTTGCTCTTCTTCTAGCCCAGTCGGATATCCCTAACAAAGTCATCGTCATCGAACCCGAGCAACCTGACCCCAGCTCCACACGAGCAATGGCTCATCAGCCGCCGACTTACCCCATATTCTCAAAAGTAGAAGGATTACTGCCTGAACTAGTTAAAACTGGAAGTTTGAGCTCGGGATTGTGCTTTCGAAATAGTCTGCAATATGGAAACAAGATCATCGCTGAAAAGACGTTTGAGAACTCAGGAGAGGGAATGAAGGAGAAAGGACAGTTGTTGTTGCCCCAGGGCAAGTTTCAACAAGTACTCATGAAAAGATTAGCTGCCTTGGATCAAAAGGCAGAAATTCGCCTCGGGGTCAGTGTCACTGGATTAAGACCGTCACGGGACAGCGTTGATGTCAAGACGACGCCTACACCTACCTCTTCGCGTCTTGGGATTGAATGGATAGAAGCAGCATATCTCGTCGATGCATCTGGAGCCCACTCTACCATCCGAAAAGAGCTCGGTATCAAACTAGAAGGTGAGACGCTCGCGGCCCAACTCGTAGCCACAGATCTGTACTTTGACTTTCACAGTCACGGGTTCTATGATGCCAATTTCATCATCGATCCCCAGAGCTATGGCCTCATCGGGCGGATCAGCCATGCCACAGACTCTAAGCCACCTCTATGGCGCGTATCCTACGGCGTGCCTCTGAGTACTACAGAAGAGGAGATCAAGAAAGATGTTGACGAAAAGCTTCGTCTTATGCTCCCAAACAAAGGCAGGAACAGCGAAGGAGCCATCGACTACGAAATCACCCGGATAGCACCCTACAAAGCACAACAGCGGCTCGTTGAATCACTTTACCACGCATCCTCTCACACTTGCCTCGTAGGTGACGCTGCGCATCTAACGAATCCTTACGCTGGCCTTGGTCTTGCGTCCGGCATGGCAGACGCCTCGTCCCTCGCTGAAGTCTTGATTCATATCATGGGCGACAGAGCACTTAACGAGGAGCGGCTACTGAAGGCATGGTCGGAAGCAAGGAGACAGAAGTTCCTGAGCGCAATTGATATGCCGTCGAGGATGGCGTACCAGCGTGTCAAGACAGATGTCAGTACCGACGAGAAAATACAGGAGTTCATGAACAAGGATCCGCTGGTGGGCGCGCTGAAGAAGGGTATGCCCGTCCAGCCACCCAGTTTGGAAACCAAAGTACAGGAGTTGGAAGGATGGTGATGATGTTGTCTGTTGTCGTGCACAGTAACGTCTTTTTTTTTTGATGTTATTGTATGTTAAACTCCATCATGTCGGAATCGGTAGGAAATGTAACCAGCAAAACCCGCTTCCGAAACTGTGTTCTTTTTTACTAGTACAACTGTTACTCGTTTTCAAACTCCTCAAGAGTAGTTCATTAAACATTAAAAGCGAATTTCAAGCATCATAAAAGTCATCCAGCGGACACACGCCCTGCGGCATGACATCGTCGTCAACCACCGAATTAATAAATTGCGTCCACAAATCCGGGTCGCGTGTGAGATCCTGCAGTGTCTGTCCCCGCCGCTCTCTCGCAGGGACCTGCTGCTGCTGCTGTTGCGGCAACGGTGGCAGCGGCGCCGCCGTCCTGGACCTGGGGGCCTCAGAATGCCTAATCATCTTCCTATACGCGAGGTGCGCCAGCGCAACCGGATCGTGATCCGGTGTAAAATACTCAAGATAGTCTTGCAGCTGCGGGACGGGATTGCTCTCTGGATACCCCTCTACACGCCCCGTGGAATGCTGGTTCCACGAGCAAAGCACAGTGTGCAATTGCATGCCCTGGATGATGCTCCTCCACTCGTGGGAGACGACGGGGCGCTGGAGCAGCGAGTGGATGACGTTGCTGTGGATCCAGTCGGACTCGGTGAGGCCTTGCTTCTCCATGTGGTGCGCGAGGTGGTTGCAGCGTTCGGTCCAGTCGGAGCTGAAGTGGCAGCAGAAGCCGCAGCCCCAGCCCGTACGAGCCATGCGCTCTTTGCGCGCGGAGAGCACGTGCGTCTTCTTGTGGTATTTTGTGGTGCCGCTGCAAGGGGCGCAGCGGTGCGATTGCCCGTGGTGTGCGGTAAAGTCTTTCTCGAGGAAGTAGATTGCGGGACAGAGGTCGCATTCGAACATTTCTGGGCGCTCTTGGTACGTTTCTTCGTGGCGCTTCCAGTCTGCCTTTTCGACAAAGGGTTTTTTGCAGCTGGTGCAGAAGTACTTGTGAGATTTGGTGCAGGTTCGGGATTGCTTGTGGGCCGAGACGCAGGTTTTGAAGTAGTCCTTTTCTTGCATGACGGGCTTCCGGGAAGGTCGCCGCTTGGATGTGATGGAACCGGTTTCTTCTATGGGGCTGGAGAAGTAAGGGGACGGGGCTGATGAACCGTGACTTAACATATACTCGGTCTGTAGGACGTGTTGGTCTCGACCCATGCCAGATGTGCGGGACCATGAGGAGGATGACGATACTGAATCTCGGAAGGAAAGGTCTGAGAATCCGCTTGTTTGTGATGATCGTAAGCTTGAACCTGCTGAAGAGAAACTTGAGGAGGAGAGGTGCTGCGCATGAGGAAAAGACTGGGGTGGGATATCTGTGTTGGACCAATGGCTATTGTGCTGACCATGACCACCTATACATCTTGTTAGCCTCATTGGATACGGACACCCTGGGGCGGTTATCGCGTATAGTATACCTGTAGAGCCCTGGTCGTAGCCATGAAACTGCAGCTGCTGATTTTGCAGGTGCGGCCATCTAGGCTGCACACCCTCGAATGAATCGTCTTCCAAACCATTCGTCATATTGTACATGTATTGCGAGCCAGCGCTGAGATCCCTGTAACCATTCATTATGCTACAGATGAAAAGAAACAAAAAAAGTCAAAAAGCCAGATAAGTATGCTGATGCGCGGAGCAGAAAGAAAAAACACATTAGGACATCATCTGCCGCGGTAAAGAGAAAAAGCCCTGCATCGTCATTCATATAGTAGCCTGCAGCTGTTTGCCGCAGGCAACCAGAATTATAGACCAATTCGTGCTGTCAGAGGCGTGAAGTTCACCTGAAACGCGGCGAAGGCCCGCTGACATCTGTTGTTCGGGGGGCCCGTGTTTCGAAACATTCGCCACCGAGGACTCGACACGACCGTGATTGGTGGGTTTGCGCATGTAGGGAATGAATGGATGCATGCCTGTCTTCCCACCTCGGACACAGTGCATTCATCGGTCTAGATGGAGGGAGGCGGTGCAGTTGCGGTTGGTTGTGGGGCTGAAGGCCGAAACACAAACTAGCGAGGGAGGCTGTACGATGGGCCAATGATCAAGATTCAGCCTAGCTAAAACCCGTATAAACCTCTGCACCCTGATTATCGACAATCTGCAGCGGAACTCATTCTCATACGTTTTGTTTCTAAAAGAGAAAGAGGCCGCTCCGCAGGCTTGGCACAATCAGCCTCATGTCGTCATTCTCATCTTGGTGTTGCTGCGTTGTCGTGTGTCCAATTTCCCCAGGGTCTTGATATCTCTTTGGCGCCAAGATCATTCTGACTTGTTCAAAGATGGATTGGGATATTTCGAATCGTCCTGCTCATGAGATTGGCTTTAGACCCCCTGAGCCATTAGCCACCTCCACGGTGGAGCACCAGACCAAATGTGCGCGCCAAGCATGCGTCGGCAATCTTCTTCAGCCACACCCATATTCTCCTTATCCAGTTCCGCTGATCACTGATCCTGTTTCCAGCTTGATGTTGTTGCTCACTCTGGTTCACTCCCTGGCCAATGTGGTTGTTTTTGTTCTTCGATGTAGTGTACGGGGGCCCATTTTCGAAACTCTCACAACTCTCTCCGTCTTCTTGGGGGGTATGAGTGCCATCAAAGTCGGCGAAGTGATCTACGCCATCTTCATAGGACACCTCAGAAGGTGTCCTCATAGATGGCATTGTGGAAAAGGAAGAGCTGCATGAGTGTACCATTTTGTTGTGTTTCTGTGGTGGCTAGGTGCTAGGTATGAATTCGGACGGATTTTGAATTTGAATACAACCACTGTCGAGTTTTGGTGCCGAACCGTTATAGAGAAGGGGCCATGTGAGAGGGTCTGGTTATGTTCAGTAGGAATACGTGAATAAGCACATCAATGTAAAGGGAATACCAAGATCATTAGTGAATCACAGCTTGTAAATGGCTGGTCCTTCTTTCCCAGCGAGCCCGCATTGGTACTTCCGTGTCTTCCGTCATATCAACTGACTGTTTGTCGTCCCATAAGCTCGTGCTCGCTTTGCGCTCCAATGGGATGCGCTGCTAAATAAACTTTTGGTTCAGTGGCACACCAGGGGGTCACGACAGAAGCTTCGGGGGAGTAGCCTGCGAGTCTATTCACCCTTAATACTGAAATCAAGATGGATTTTCAACTAGTTTCTTCATTTCCAATAGTCTAGTCACATGATCAACGAAGAAAAGGGGGTTGTCCTGGAAGACTTCTGGTCTAGGCGGCAGTGATCGAAGTATAGTACATCACACATTTTCTTCTCATATGCAGAGCAGCCTCAGTGATGTATCCAGATGTGGCAAGGCATAATTTTCTCGTCCCAAATTTGCAAGGTAAGAACAGACTGAATCTGTTGTACCGCTTTGAAAACACCACTGCTCATTACTTGAACATTCGAGGAATTGGCAGAAGCTGGTCCAGTCGCCTGGCTGTTGTCGTCAACTCATTATCCCATGAATGAATACGCTTTTGCAGGAATGCTGTCCAGTCTTGAATCTTGTGCAATTCCAAGCCAACGAGCGCAGCGTCAAGGGCTGACCGATTTTCATGGGAGAGGTTGGAGTTTGAAAAGTCTAGGCTCTTGATCGCGCCGTGATGCACCTGGATTTCAACGCCAATGTCGTCTTTAGGGTCAAGCATGAGACTAAACGCTGGAGTCTGTGACCACATCCACTCTTCGGACTGCGGCTATTAGCATTGAGAATGATGAACCGCAGAGCTTTCAACATACTTGGAGCTCATCGTAACCCTTGCGGATATCTGGGATATCTAGAAATTCGTCCCCAACGGTCTGTAGTATGCTCGGTAACCCCAGTCCGGCATACATGAGAGAGAACTCTTCTTGAAGGCGGAGCTGAAATGTCTTGACGTCTAAACCAATGTTTGCAACAGGCGAGCTCACGCTTTCAACACCTCGAGTGAGAATGACACTCTTAGCTGGAGAGCGGAGGTAGTGTGGTATGATGTGTAGATTCGGGGAGCTCAGCAGGGTGGTCGCGTGATGCAGGGCGCGCTGTCGTGTGAGTTTGTACGCCGAGCCAGAGACCTTGAGGGGACGAGGGAGAGCCGCATTCTGTATGGTAAAAGGCGTGCGATGGGTATCTTCGGGGTCAAAAGGCTGCCCGTCATTGCCTTGGCCTTGATCGAGAACGATGTCGTGACGCTCATTGACCCTGGCGCGTTGAACACCCAGCTTTCGTAGTGCGCGGACGACCATCTCGGCATGCTTATCGCGCGTGAAGTCGGCGCGTGGGCACGTTATGCTCCAATTGAGATTTCCCTCATCGTGGAAAACAGTGCCTCCTCCCGAACGGCGGCGCACAAGATCGACGGTGCCAATGCCTGGAGGCTCGGTATCCTTGGGGTCATGTGTCCCACGAGCAGCATCTAGGATGCCTAGATTGACCTCGGACCATGGGTTCTGGTTGCGCCCGATGACGACGCAGGGTCGGTTCACATAGAGGAAGAGAATAGTGCTGTCTGGCGGGCTTTTGCGTAGGATATGGTCTTCGATGGACAGATTGAGGTAGGGGTCGCTACTGGTAGAGATATAGCTTTGCAGCTTATTAGCAGGGTCGGCGAGGGTGTCTGTAAAGGTCGAGTATGAGCATTGCTGGAAGCTGCTCAGCCTGTAGTGAGGCGGGCGGAAAAGACGTGTCTGGCTGATAGGATTGCGCGACACCCTGTCCGCTGAGAGCGAAAAGAAGTTCCGACGAGGGGGGATGACGTATCCCGAGAGAACCCTCTGCACACAGGAAATAGCGCGGCCTCTCGATGGGGCCATGATGATAGGGACGGGGGATAGGATGTGACTTTGTCCTGGTGCAGCTCGTTAATGAGGTTCCCGCCGCCACATGTCTGAATGCGCGTTCAGAACATGCAACCTGGTCGCGTAACCTAGCGTTTTCCGAATTACCCAGGTCAATGTCTTTCAATTGCGCCTGGAACCATCCATCGAAGTCTTGTCTTTGGTATTGCTGCCTTTCCTGACTCACAGTAGATTCGCACCCTGTTCCGATAGATCCTGGTCTTTGCATGCCAAGACAACCAGCCACCTAACCATGAGCGGGAGACCTCCTTGCTCTTCTCTTTATTCACGACACCAACAGCAAATCTTACGGCTCATGAGCAAGGTCATCTTACGTGTTTCCGCCATGGTGCTCATGTTACACGCGTTCTCTCCGCACTGTGAACCCGTCATATAGTTCGGCCAGCGACGCGTCGCCACCATCGCACTGCAGCCGCCACTAATACCTACCCAGTTCTATCTTGTAGTCGACGTTGGGCGTTACACACTCGCAGTCCTCGGACTTCGTGTGTGGGTTCAGCAGCTCGGGTTTTCCCTCCATCTTTGCATGATTAGCTGCTGAACAAAGGCATCGCCCAAGAACAAGGCTTTGCGATCCGGTGTCCACCATTTGCTTTGCAACTGCTGCTGACCCGTATTTGCAATGCTGTGAGCCTATCTGGCGTCTTTACCCTGCCATTGCATCCTCTTTTCTTCTGGTCTTTCGGATCAGCGGGGTATTGACGGGCGCATGGCATAGGTGGGATTGACGTTTCGTTTCAGCTCATATATAGTCTATAGATTATGTAGTAATTTGCTTCTTTTGTCAATTTTCTTGTGCTTATTTGCATGCTGAAGGGGCTGTATTGGTAGCTTTGTTTGCCCAGATAGTCGAGTTCTTAGCTCTGCACTACTGTGAAAGAGATGCTGATTGGTACTGTCCTACCACAACGTGATCAGTCTTCTCCACGACTAGGCAACCGTCTTGTTCAAAACCATCGAAACTCATCTTCCACAGAGCCAGAAACAGCGCTATATAAAGCCATGACCTTCTTTTCACACGAGACGTTTTTAAAAGACTATCTTTTCCCGCTTGAAGCAGTACATGACTTCGAGAATGCTGGTGGAGCGGCTCAGTTGGCCGCCTGTCATCCGAAAGAATGGACGCAAGCGGACAACGTTCTTGAGTTCGGTGTTCATCTAAACGAAAGCGATAAGGGTAGCTTCGCATCCTATTGCACGGCCATCAGCTCCGATAAAAAGTTGCTGGCCATCAGCACATCCGCAGAGAAGATATTAGTTTATGACATTGCGTCTCAAGAGCTACGAGAGACCCTCGAGGGAACTGGAGAAGTCTACTTTCGACCTACGGTACATACTAAGTCCGATACTGGCACTGCAGACCAGACTCTCAACATATATGCTACACACTCTGCTGGTTATACCCTTGTGAGCGTCTCGACCACAGGACGAAACAAGGCATCATCACCCAGCCAGCTGATTCTCTGGGATTTGGACCAACATGGGCGGATTCTTGACAAAGAAGAAGGGATCGACGCTAACGCTCTCGCCACAAAAGCAATCAATGCCATTGCTCCAGAACTGGAAAAGCGCCATGAATGGACCCAAAACTTTATCCATACTTCCACACTACACACCATGTTTGCGGAGGCACTAAATCAAGTTGCCACAGATTATCGCACGCGACACAACACCACTTTTGATGACGCACAACTTGGAGGCTTTGGTTCGGTGTCTATGAGCAATGATGGCAGGTTGTTTTTGTACCATTCAAACAACAATTCATCTCAGCAAGGTTCCCGGGAGCCAGACAAGCTACCACAGGTGGTCGTCTACGATTTGGATGAAGGCATCGAACTCTATCGTCTTGCTGGACACACTGATTCCATTGTGTGGTCTGCTATCAGCCCAGACAGCGCCCACATTGCGTCTGTATCCTGGGATGGCAGTTTACGCATGTACTCTGCCCTTAGTGGAGAGATTGAGTGGGTTGCCGGATGCTCAAAAGAGCAAAGCTGGGCAGGTGCATTCTCGTCGGACTCGCGTTTCATTGCCTGGAGCTCCACATGTGGTCAGATCGTTCAGGTCCACAATGTGTCTGATGGAAAGAAGCTCGCCACATTTCCAGTAAAGCTATCAGACTGGTGCAGATCTCTCCACTGGCATTCTCATAAGACTCAACTTGCTTTTTGCGCTGGCAAAGATGTTTATGTGTGGGATGTTCTCAACGGGCCTGACGGTAAAATGTTACAACACTTTCAGATTGACGAAGGCTGCGGCACAGGCAGTCGAATGGTCTCCATTCAAGATATTCGTTGGATGGATCAAGAGCCTACGCTTTATCTCGAAATCTCAGAGGGAACAAAAATTGTTTACAATACTGAGACTAATGCCAAAGAGATATTCAGACGACCTGCCGGTGTTGCGACGGGGTACGTTGATGGTGGGATGTATGGAGTCTTCTCGAATGATGCAGGAGACGAGTACTACATCAGCATCGATGGCGATGCAAAGGTGCGGTACTGGCGACGAGGTATTGCTGCCTCGACATCTTGGTGGGAGAAAGATGCCGGCTCTGTAGCCAGTCCGAAGAAGATGTTTCCCGATACTGGAAAGTACGTCAAGATTACTAAATCCGCCAGCAAATCGGCAGAAAAATAGTAGAAAGAGGGAGACGAATGAGTGGCAATAGGGGCAGTTCTCTCGACTACCGAGGTAGTTTCTTGGTGATGGCGTTGACGATGTCATCTGACTTGGATCCGATCGTGATAGCTACTTTGATGATGGATTATCAATTGCTTTACTACTTCTCTCGTGACAGGTCGTGAGCTTGCGTTTTGGTCCGGAAAATCCTGATTGTGAAAAGAAAAAACCAGACCCAGTCCATTGCAGCATCACGAGTTTAATTTATCGCGATCCTAAACGCGGTCAACTATGCGGAATTCGGCACAGACACGGTGCTCAATGGGTGTGTGTTGAGTAGGCACGAGGTCCGAGGCCGGATGCATGCTATAGCACCAGTAAACTCGTGCTCATATCCGCGTCAGCGCTATTCCCAAAAGCACAAGTCGGATCGTGCACAGGACGCAGATTTGGGAATCCGGCGGGGAATCGAAGATGGGCAAGTCATGGCATTGTGTGTGCGGATGGGGGTGGCGCAAGAGCTGCCTCGCAGCTGGCCAGCAAAGGCGCTCCGGACCGTGTAACCGTCGCGGTGCCTCCATCTCCAATCTTTCAGGCTGAACCCCACACCGCCATTCGCTTAGCCCCACGCCGTGCGGCTCCCTCTGCTGCTGAGGCCTGTGTAAGTATATGAAGTGCCCATGGCCGGTGGATGCTCGCTGAAAATCCCTCACTTCCTTTTGTTCCCTGTACACGCTGGCCGGGGTTCTGCTTTCGAGGTCTGCTCGAGCTTGCGTTCATTTCGGTCCGTCGTACTAAAAGAGTACTTACCGGCCAACTGTGTTCGCTCTTTGATGGTCCCAACTGACCAGCACCAACGTCTCATTCTCGTATTGTAGACTGAACTGGCTGCAAAGCCAACAGCGTTGTGGCTGCTGCGCATTCTCGTCCTGCAGCGCACCCGCAATCCACTTGTATTCTGCTGTATCACTAAAACACAGTAAGCTATGCCTCCTACGCCACACCGGCACTTGTGTCTTATATAACCAACCAGCCCTTTGCGGTACCCAAAGAATACCGCCAACGCTATAGATACCACTCATGCCTGCCCCTTCAGCCATGCTACGACCAACGGAGAATGGCGAGCGATATGAGCTCACCAGTCCAACCGAGATGCCCAAAGCCGGTGCATTTCTTTGGAACCAGCGTATGATGATACAGGTGACTTGTCGTGGATTCGCGACCGCCCAGTACATGCAACCTGAGCCCGCCAAATACGCCTATGCACCAAATCTCGAAGCAAAGACGTTTATGCAGCCCGAGCAAAACTACTACGCACATCATCCAGGCCGCTTCGTTTACATCAAAGACGAAGAGACTGGCGATCTCTTTTCGGCTCCATATGAGCCGGTCAGGGCAAAGCTAGATCGATTCGTCTTCAATGTTGGCAAGAGTGACATCAAATGGACCGTCGAGAAACTTGGCGTTCGCGTCGACATGACGTTTCTTCTTCCCACAGATCATGTTGCTGAGCTATGGAGTATCAAAGTCACCAACATCTCCGGCCGTGACCGGAAACTAAGTATTTATCCTTACTTTCCTCTTGGATACATGTCCTGGATGAACCAGGAAGCACAATGGGATGAAAATGTTGGCGGTATTGTTGGCAGTTGTAAAACGCCATATCAGAAAGCTGAAGATTACTCCAAGACAAAATATCTCAAGGATAAGACGTATTTCCTTTGTGAAACAGCACCAGTAGCATGGGAGGCCAGACAAGAGTCGTTCGAGGGTGAGGGAGGACTACAATCGCCATCATCGATAATGGAGCCGGAACTTTCAAAAAGCGATGCACGGTACGAAACACCAACCGCGGCTGTACAGTATCGAGCTCAGCTCAAGGAAAACGAAAGCAAAGACTATCGCTTCCTTTTTGGCCCAGCATATGATGAAGCCGAGATCCTTGAGATGCGCAAGACGTATCTCAGTAAGATTGCATTCGCTCAAGCCACCAAAGACTACGAAGACTACATTCAGCGAGGTAGCGGCTGCATTCGTTTGGAAACCCCAGACAAGGATCTTGACAACTTAGTCAACAACTGGCTACCGCGGCAGCTATACTACCACGGCGATGTGAACCGTCTTACAACCGATCCACAAACGCGAAATTATCTGCAAGACAACATGGGCATGAGCTTCATCAAGCCCGAAGTAGCCCGGAAAGCAATTCTAACCGCAGTCGGTCAACAAGAAAAGAACGGCTCGATGCCAGATGGTATTCTGCTAGCCAAGGGCGCAGTCCTCAAATACATCAACCAAATCCCTCACACCGACCACTGCGTCTGGCTTCCCATTGCTCTCGAAATCTACCTGAGCGAGACCGGAGACTACACTATCCTGGATGAAAAAGTCAACAGCATGTACGGCGACACATATACTGTTTTCGAACGCTTCAGCCGCGCAATGGACTGGCTCCTCTCCTCCAATGCCCGCGACGACCGCGGTCTCTCTTACATCGCCCAAGGCGACTGGTGCGATCCCATGAACATGGTCGGACCCAAGGGCATCGGCGTCTCAGGCTGGCTCACCGTCGCAACTGCCTACGCCGTGAACCTATGGGCGCAAATCTGCGAAGACGCCGACAAACCCGACATTGCAAAGAAATACCGTGCCGGCGCCGAAAAAGTCAATCAGTCTGCAAACGAGCATCTCTGGGACGGCAACTGGTACGCTCGCGGTATCACGGATGACAATGTCACATTTGGCATCAAAGACGACAAGGAAGGCCGCATCTGGTTGAATCCCCAGGCCTGGTCGATTCTCGGCGGCGCGGCGTCGCAGGAGCAGATTGCGAAGATGCTGCCGCAGATTGACCAGCAGCTTACTACGCCATATGGCGTCGTCATGTTTGGCCCGCCGTTCACCGCCATGCGCGAAGATGTCGGCCGTGTGACGCAAAAGTACCCTGGGCAGGGTGAGAACGGGTCCGTGTATAACCACGCTGCTGCCTTTTACGCCTGGGCGCTGTATACCATTGGCGACGTTGATCGCGCGTATAGCACGCTGCGAGCTATGATTCCGGGGCCTGATGAAGCAGATTTGATTCGTCGTGGCCAGCTGCCTATTTTCATTCCGAATTACTATCGTGGTGGGTACGGGATTAAGCATCTTGATCGTACCGCGGGGCGCTCGAGTCAGCTGTTCAATACAGGAACTGTGAGCTGGGCGTATCGATGCGTCATTGAGGGGTTGTGTGGCCTGCGCGGTGTCAAGGAGGGATTGAAGATTGATCCCAAGTTTCCGAGTGATTGGGACGAGATGAAGGTTAGGAGGGAGTTTAGGGGTGCTGTGTTTGATGTGCAAGTGAAGAGGGGGAGCGCAGAGGGTGTGAAGGTGACGGTTGATGGGGAGCAGATTGCTGGTAATGTTATTAAGAACGTGGACAAGGGACGGACGTACAAGGTGCAGGTTGATGTGCCGAGGGCGAACAAAAAAAAGCATGGGGTTTTGACGAATGGACATGGGACGAATGGCACGAATGGGACCAAGTAGAAGCATGTGAGAGATTCGTACTTTTTTTTTAGATGAGTTGACTAGAGTACGTTTTACGAATGACAAAAGTTTGGATAGCAAGTGAGATAAGATCAATCGTGTTTTTTTTTTCATAGCTACGTCTTGCTCACGCACTCGTTGATTGCGAGAAGAACATGGTTATACTATTACCCCACGCACTCTCAGCCACCTCCTCAACACTCAATCCCTTCAAGCCAGACACCACGAGCGCCACCTTCTCCACATTACAACTCTCATTACGCTCCTTAACCATATCCCCTAAACTAAACTTATCCTTCTTCTTGCTCCCCCAAGCCCACTTCGTCGCATTCTGCAAGTAAGCCTTCGCAACCTCACTCGACACCTGAATCTCACCCCACGGCGCATCCGTCTCAACCTGCAGCTTTTCAAGCGGCACATCGCGAACCATCTCCAAACTATCTCTATCCCGGAACGCAAAATTGTTAACACTGACATGCAAGCCCATGCTAACGAGCTTTTGCATCTGCTGCGTAGTCCCCACAAACGAATGCACTAAGCCCGAGCGAAGGGGGAGCTTCTCCCAGTACGACTCGAGGATAGAAACGAAATCCTCAAAAGCAGCGCGACAGTGTAGGAACAACGGTAACTTCCACCCCGCAGTCACAATCATATCGAGCTGGCGCCTGAACACGCGGATCTGGACTTCCTTAGGGGCGGCAGCTAGCTTATCGTAGTCGAGCCCTAGTTCTCCAAAAGCGGCCAGGACATGCGGCTCTTGCTCCATAGTCCGGGAAATGGTTTCGGAAATCGACGCATAATACTCCTCGCCACCTTCATCTGCCTCAACCGCATGGTACGGGTGGACGCCAATGGTGATTTTGCATTGCTCTGGCCGCTTGTGGGCAATGGCAATGTTGACGGGTACGTCGGCGGCGTACATGCCTGTCAACATTACTTTCTCGACTCCAGCGGCTAGAGCGCGGTCCAGGACAGCGTCGAAGTCGGGTTCATGGTATTGCTTGCCACGATAGAACCCAGCGAACTCCTTTGCTGTTGCTGTTACAGCGACCTGTAGGTTGCGTCATTCCGGTTTACTGCCGTCGTGGTTGATGTGGGAAAAAAAAGGGAGGCTGGGCATACGTCTGCATATCGGAGTTTTTGTGCTGTTGCAGACGGTGCCTTGGTCGGGAAGCCATCAAGGAGAGATGGCATTTTGGCGTCTAGCGCTTGGAGAATGGCGAAGTCCTTTCCGGAGATGAAAGGATTGTCGTGTCGTTGCGGATGCGGATGAGAGAAAGATTTCGGGAATAGTAGAGGGCGCGGCTCGAAGCGTCGGAAGGGGACCTTCCGGGTTCGGAACGATTTCATTCTGGGCATTTCTTGGCTTCTGAATCACGTCTTCGCGCCGTCCAAAACTATTTTCTAGTAGACTTTCCTCATGACTGCCTGTGGCTTTCCTGGCAATTTCGTTATGTAAACGAGTGTTGTGGTTAGAGGTACTGGAGAGAATCCATGTACACTGTAATTGAAGGGGGCCGGACACCGACTGGACGCCTAAAGGTACGGACGACACTCGGTGATAACAGACAATTGGGATTGGTTTCAAACATGTCCTTAAAGAAGCGAAGCCCATTATCGCGATGATGTCTTGGGTTTTGGTTACAGCGAAGGCACCGGATGATTTGTTATCAAGCCATGGCCTAGAGGATTCGGCAGATAAGCCGGTGGCTTGTTATGTTCTCTGGTGGAGCGGCCAGCACATACAGTATAACAGTAAATTGACAAAGTGACGTGTAACTAAAGCTTTACTACCCTTTCTTCAGTGTCGATCACAGACTGTTGGTACGCGGGTCTGGATACAACTAGCCGGCAACATAGAGTGTTGGAAGGCCTAGACTGCACCTTCCAAAGTAGATCAGCAGATCAACCGCGACGATCTTTACCTTGACTCGATTGCCACTGCAAATCAACGATAGACCACGGTGATTCCGTCTACAGGGCTCTCTGCCAGACTCATTCTACACCTACCAGAACGAACTCAAAGCCCAGACATGGCCGTTTGTTTTACGTAGTGCACTGCCAGGCTCAGAAGGTAGGCCGCCAAAAGATATCTTGGGATCAACAGTGGCGAACCAGTCTACGCAGTACGCTGCCAAAACAATTTGTATCAACCGAAGCGAACGTACTTCAATTACCTTGCAATATGAGGTCCTCGGGTGTGCCTAGCACATGGCTTTCATTCTGTTTGTTGTGTGGTATCAAGTCGTTACTGAGTGGTCTCAAGACAAAGCGGGTTCAGCCGTGAATACGAGCCTTTCCCTCAGTACAGCTTACACACAATTCTCCGACATGACGTCGCTATCGTATGACTATGCAAGGACGCGGCTTGGTACCTGATACACATTGGAGTGAGCACCACGAAAAGCAAAGTCAGCATCACAACTGCCTTAATTGACTACTCCGAACGAAATGCCAAGTGTGTGCCTGGTAAATGCAAGAGAGCTTGTGATAACGACAACGTCAAGGACCAGGCAACTATTTTGGACGGGAAAACCTATGTAATAAGCACGAATCAAGGCTATCCCTACTCAATAGTGGGGCACCGTTAAGCATTTGGGGGCTAGTACTACTTAAGCAGGCGTTTGCTCGGATTGGTCACGAGGGTGTCGGAGGGAATAGGGTCGGTTCACGCATTTCCGGGCGTCGTCTTTCTCAAATCCATAATACTCGATTTTTTCAGTCTTCAACGCAATAAATATCTTTGACTCCGAGTATATATGTCATCACCAAAAAAGGAAAGTTGAACACATGAACGAAGACCAGAGGTTCGTATAAGATTATGTGGCATCGCGACCAGCATGTGTGCGGGATGCGTGCACAGATACCGGACAGGGCTACGGGTGATTGCACCATCCCAGCCGCCCCTGGCTCTTCGCGATCGCAATATTCCGCCCCGCTTACTCTTCCCCTTTGATCGCCCCCCGTCCCTTTTTCCTCGTCATTCCAATTGGCCTGTAGTTACGCCTGTTTTATTACACATTGCCATAGACTTTTGCCAGCAACTCATACCGGACGAGCAGTAATTTAAAAAAACATAAGCACACGCACATATACCATCACGCCATTAAAAACCAACAGCATTGTAATCACCGATTACTCGTAGCCAGCAAAGACACTGCTTTTAAGCTAATGACAAAGCTGGCAATGATCGACGTATAGAATATAGTTAACGAGTATAGGAGTAAGTAGTAGTCGCCCATCGCGACAATCTGACAGCTTTAGCGACCCTGAATCTACCTATGTCGTCTCCACAATCGCCACCTCGAACATACACACAGCTTCTATTGCTTTCTAGTCTACCCGCCCATTGCTTCTTTTTCCCCTTTTCACCTTTCTAATCTTAAAAACAACCAAGGATCTGACATTCGGCTGTAGTCTCGAGTTTCACCAAGAGGGGAAACGTGCAGGGCGATCGGCACTGCGAGGTGGGTGGGGGTTCGGCCAATCACGCACCCCCATGTCGGCGCTGCTATCTACTAAGCGCGTTGTCGATATTGGAAGCGATAAAGGGCTTGGGGCTTGGCAACCGGACATGCGTTTAATCGGGAAGGTAAATTCGAGAGGTGTGTATGGTGTTTTCTAGTCTGCCATTATGTCCATTCCGGGTTTATGGCCTAACGCTGCCACATGACACAGCCTAACCGATATGTTACTACTGCATCTCTATCATATCTCTGCCTCTCCTTCCTGTTTGGATACTGGGGTAGTGTGGGTAGAAGGTTCATGTGTTTTGTTGACTTTCCTGTTAAGAGCAGCCGCATCGGCACTTAATATTACCCTAAGGCGAGTTGTCTTGTCAAGTGCCACTTGTGGAGCCGCTGTGTAGGCGAATGTCTTGTCAAATGCCTTTTGTGGTGTAACATGGTAGCAAAATGTCTTGTGAAGTTCCTTTTGAGGACTGCCTTTCCGATGCTGTTGCAGCGTGTAGGAAACATCTTGCCGCCGATGAGGAAGGAGGCATTTCGTAGCGGCCAATGCAACCTTGTGCTCTATCTAGGACGGACACTTGTAGATCATGATGCAAAGTGACAACAGTCAGAGGTCGAGTATGTATAAATATGAAGCAGTGTTCCTGTCCAATGTCGATACTTCATCAGGATACCAAGGCAAGTCTTCTACAGCCATCCACTTCACAACATCGACACTTGACTCTTGTTTGTTACTTCCACAATCCTGAACATGGAGCTCACCAAATTCCTCGCTGCTCTCGCAGCCTTCCTGCCCATCGTCTATGGTGCCCCTACCACCGCCGCCAACGACCTCCACCCCGAGATCCTGGCTGCCATGAAGCGCGACTTGGGCCTTGATGCCGATGCTGCTCGTGTCCGCGTTGCTCGCGAGATCCAGGCCACTGAGGTCATTGAGCAGCTCGCCGCAAAGGCTGGCAGTGCCTTTGGTGGTGCCTGGCTCGTCGACGGCGAGATCAAGGTCGCCGTCACTGACGAGGCCTTGACCTCCGAGGTCACTGCTGCTGGTGCCACCGCCTTGGTTGTTGACACTCCCCTCGAGAAGCTCCAGGAGGCCCAGAAGGCCATTGACGCCCTCGACATCGAGTCAGCTTCTGGCAAGCGCTCAGAGGAAGCTGCCAGCGGAATCGCCTCCTACTATGTTGACGTTGCTGCTAACAAGCTTGTCTTCGAGGCTGTTGCCAGCGGTGCCGCTAAGGCTCAGGAGCTTGCCAAGAAGGTTGGCCTGACTGAGGCTGACTACGAGGTCCGCACCGTTGAGGAGCTGCCCACTACCTTCGCCACTGTCCGCGGTGGTGATGCCTACTACATTGGAGGTGGCCGATGCTCCGTCGGTTTCTCCGTCACCACTGGCTTCGTCTCTGCCGGCCACTGCGGTCGTGCCGGTACTGCTGCCACCACCAGCAGTGGTGCTAGCCTTGGAACCTTTTCCGGCTCCGTCTTCCCCGGAAACGACTACTCTTTCATCCGTGGTACCAGCGCAAACACCTACCAGGGCAGGATCAACAACTACAACGGCGGTACTCTCCCCGTCTCAGGCAGCACAGTCGCCGCTGTTGGTTCCAGCGTCTGCCGCTCCGGCTCCACCACTGGTGTCTTCTGCGGTACTATCCGCGCCTTCAGCGCTACCGTCAACTACGCTGAGGGCCGTGTTACCGGCCTCACCCAGACTAACGTCTGCGCTGAGCCCGGTGACTCTGGCGGTTCTTTCTACTCTGGTGCTCAGGCCCAGGGTGTCACCTCTGGAGGATCTGGTGACTGCTCCCGTGGCGGAACCACCTACTTCCAGCCCGTTAACCCCATTCTCTCCGCCTACGGCCTCACCCTTGTCCGTGGTTAAATAACTCCTTCATGTCTATACTTGTTTATACCGCTGTTGGAAACGAATCATGGTCGCAGCCCACGCAATTTGTACATATCTCAATTTATCTATATCCATCTAACAATGTGCCTCATGCTTTTTGGTGAAGTCATAATGCTTAGCTGTTGAGTAATTTTTCATGAAAGGTTAGTGTTGAAGTAAGAGCGTTTTCAGAGAAGAACGTCCCCACTCCAGGGGCTTTGATAAACCCCTTTCAAGTGGTTTCGGTGAAGTGAGTAGTAATATCATCCAAAGCTGGAAGATGGCTGTCGTTCTGGGGTGCTGACCAAGGTGATAGGTATGGCAGAATGAACACTTGCTAAGGACCATGATATGGCTGTCAGCTTGAAGAATTCGTCGTTGGGTGTGCGTGGCAATCGGTACAAAAAATGGCCAACATGGTGGTTCGATTGTACTATGACAGTTGCGTGGCGTCCAACATCGCACGTGCGTTTCACGGGTACCTGGCATGAACGAGACGTTCAGCCTCTTTCCGTGCGCCAGCCGACGCCCCATTTATATCTCCCTTTGTAGTCAGCAAGGTTGGTATTCGTCAAGGCTTCAGCGCCTTACAAAATTGCACGTTAAGCTTCGAATAAATGCTTGGTCCTCAAAAGGGGTTCGATAATTTCATAGAATGCGAAGCACTCCAGCATGGCTGTGCATGTGTGAAAGCTTGGGACTGGTCGCCGTTAAGATGCGCCGCCTCCCTGCGGTGCCATGAAACCGATGAAGCCGATGACCCTTTCTCGAGACCTGTGCAATTTTTTTTGTCATTAGCATTTTCTTGTCCCATACTTTTTCTTCAGTAGCTTCGTCGGTAT